GAGGAGGGTCCGATCGATAGTTGAATCTCAGATTGAGAAGGAGCAATGTGGTTTTCGTCCTGGCCGTGGAACTGTGGACCTGCTCTATACCCTTGCAAGGGTGATGGAGGGGACATGGGAGTTTGCCCAACCAATCTACATGTGTTTTGTGGATTTGGAGAAAGCTTATGACCGTGTCCCCTGGGGCACCCTGTGGGGGACGCTCCAGGAGTATGGGGTGGGTGGCTTTCTGTTAAGGGCCATTCAGTCCCTTTACCAGAGGAGCGTGAATTTGGTCCGCATTGCCGGTAGTAAGTCGGACCTGTTACCGGTGAGGGTTGGACTCCGCCAGGGCTGCCCTTTGTCACCGGTTCTGTTCATTACCTTTATGGACAGAATTTCTAGGCGCAGCCGTGGTGTGGAGTGTGTCGAGTTTGGTGGCAGGAGAATCTCGTCTCTGCTTTTTGCGGATGATGTTGTCCTCCTAGCTTCATCCAGCTCTGACCTTCAGCTCTTGCTGGATAGGTTCGTGGCCGAGTGAAGCGACTGGGATGAGGATCAGCACCTCCAAATCTGAGACCATGGTTCTCGACCGGAAAAGGATGGCTTGCCAACTCCGGGTCGGGAGAGAGGTCCTACCTCAAGTGGAGGAGTTTAAGTATCTTGGGGTCTTGTTCATGAGTGAATGTAGGAGGGATCGGGAGATCGACAGGCTGATTGGTCCGGCGTCTGCAGTAATGCGGACGCTGAGCCTATCTGTCGTGGTGAAGAGGGAGCTGAGCCAGAAAGCCAGGCTCTCGATTTACCGGTCGATCTACATCCCAATCCTCACCTATGGTCATGAGCTTTGGGTAATGACCGAAAGAACAAGATCACGGATACAAGCGGCCGAAATGAATTTCCTCTGTAGGGTGGCCGGGCTCGGCCTTAGAGATAGGGTGAGGAGCTCGGACATTCGGGAGGGACTCGGAGTAGAACCACTGCTCCTCTGGATCGAGAGGAGTCAGTTGAGGTGGTTTGGGCATCTGGTCAGGATGCCTCCTGGACGCCTCCCTGGGGAGGTGTTTCGGACATGTCCTGCCGGCAGGAGGCCCCCAGGTCGACCCAGGACACGTTGGAGAGGTTACATCTCCAATCTGGTCCGGGAACGCTTTGGGGTCCTGCCGGAGAAGCTGGTGGAGGAGGCCGGGGAGAGGACGGTCTGGAGCTCCTTAGTTGGGATGCTGCCCCGCGACCCGGACCCGGATAAGCGGAGGAAGACGAAGACGAAGACAGCTACAACGACGACATGAAAACTATTACTTATTCAGGTACTTTTACTATTAATATCAGGTACTGTTCATATAAATGAGTCAAAACTGAGATTAATCTGTGAGCAAAGCTACTTACATTCCATTCAAGGAGACAAAATTCACAAATTTTAAATATAAGCTAAAAAGTTAACTCTCTCAGGCTCTAAATAAATTTTGATAAAAGGACGAGCAACTAAGTCCTTCAGGGATACTTCTGAGTTAAAAAATGCTAAAGAAATACGTATGTTGAGTAACCAGGTACGTAGGTTTTAAAGTTGCAAATCTGCAAAGCCTGCCTCCAGAGGGTTAAACAGCAATAAAAAAAACATAAAAGTAGAAATAATGACATTAGCATCATCTACAGCCAAATCCTTGGTGAGGTCAGTCTTTGAATAAATCTAACTCTTTGTTATTTTCTGTTTTGAAGAACTAAAGACTTGTCTGGTCTGTTTCTTTCGAGTAAAGATTCACACTCACACGTTCTTGTATTTGTACCCATGTTAGGACGTATTGACTTCCATTCATTTTAGTGAGTCCACTATGCCTATCCCAAACCCAAACCCTAACCCTAACCAGTGTTTTCCTAAAGTTATCAGTAACAAAAACTCCGCATTAGGATCGGGTTTTGGTCCTAACAAGGACCATCGGCCGTAAGAAGGTTAGTAAATATCCCAAATCCGGTCTTCAAGGGTACAAATACAAGCCCCCCCCCCCCCCCCCCCCCACACACACACACACACACACACCTTCCAAACATTTATCGGCTAAGAAGACTCTGTTTGCCATGTGTCAGACCGAGACTGTGTTTGTATTCAAATGTGTGCAAAGAGAACTTGTGCTGTTACAGTGACCAAAAAATTAAACATTGTGGACTTTGACGTGTTTTGTGGGAAGGTTCTTCTTCCAGAAGCGACATCCTGTTTGTTCTGTAAACACATGAAAATATGAGCAGCAAGCACAGTGTTGGTTTCGGTCCATAAAAAGAGAATAATAATGAGAAAATTTGTATTACTCACAATCTTACCTATTTAAGAAGAATTTTGTGGAATTAGACATTTAAAATGTCTTTGTTACAATGATATTGAGACCTGACTTTTACCGACTCACTTGTATCCAGCCAACAGCATGTTTGTGGAATCAAAATAACATTTATCATCATTATTATTTCATTTTTATCTTTTAAAATGACAAAAGCAGGATTTTAAATAGGAGATAAACATAAAAATGTCATTCAGACAGATAACTCAGTTTACCTCTGAGTTAACATATATAAACAAAACTACCACACCCTCCAGCCTCCTGGCATGAACCTGTGCACAGGTGAGATGTAGTAAAACCTCTTCTACACACTGTCAACAAAGTAGTGAAATAACATTTACAGTCTATTTTTTACTTTATAGTTATGGATGTGCAATATTTGCAAATATCTTGACACTGATCAATGGTTAAAAAAATTAGATAAAACCACTAAATAAAGCTGTGGAGGTTTGTCAATAAATATAAAATACATGAACAGACAAGTGAAAAGAGGGTTGCAGTAGTCTGAGAGTGAGGCGATGAATGAATGATTAACAATCTCAAGTTCAAAGAATTACAGAATTGGACTCAGCTTAGAAACGTTCCAGAGATGGAAGAAAGAAGATCGAACAAGAGAACTGACACAAGAATCCAGGGTGAGAGCTGGGTCAAAGGTCACACCAAAATACCTAATAGAAGGTTTGGAGTGAGAAGCAAGCTGACCAAGAGAGTCTCTGACTTTGGGAACTAACTTGTCAGGGGCACAGATGAGGATCTCAGTCTTGCCCTCATTTAGCTGTAGAAAGTTCCCAGCCATTCAGTTTTTAACAGAGTTAGCAGGTGTGCAACAGCTGCAGCTTAGAAATCTCATTGGGGCATAAATGTGTGAAAAACAGAAAAATAGGGATGTGTATTGGTGAAATTCTGGCGATACGATTCGTATCACGATACAGGGTGATAATCGCGGCTCTCCCTCCTACTAAGCAAAACGCGAAAAACGAGCGTGTGAAGTTTTGCACTCATGCACGTGTCGTGCACAGGCGACCCAGCAACACAATCCCAGAAAGTTTAAATATTTTCAACTCTTCATCGCTGTTGCTCGGACGAGGACCAATCAACAGAGGTTTCATTCACTGACTAATGAGCGAACGGGATGCTCCGTACATCTCCGAGCAAACATGGGGGAGAAGTTAATACTTGCTGTGACGGATTTCCCAGAACTGTACAATATTTCTACCAAAGAACATAGCGATAACTCTAGCAGCACCTTGTGAAACATCATATCTACCGCTTTTTTAACTCTGAACCGCTCAAATAACCTTAATTCCCTCCAACCTGACACAGCCAATCAAAACAATGGAAGATTCGATTTTGCCATGGAACAGAACACGTCGACGGCTTTGCCGCTGGCCGCTGGCGCGGGTCGCCTCACGTGTGTCAGGTAATAAAAGTGACAGCGACGAATTTCGCTGATCGCGGCCGTTTGTCGCCTCCCGTGTATCGAGCCCATAACAGAGGGATTAACATTTCAGTGGTGGAAACAAAACACGTTGCACACTGCTGCCAACTAGCAGTCAGCATTTGAATTGCACCAAAAGAAAAGAAAATACACAACTTATTCAACTTTTGAACATCGATATAATATCGCTGGGAATCGTATTGCGACATACTGCTATACCGATATTTTCTTACATCCCTACTGAAAAAACATTTTTAAATTATTATTTCTGATTATAATCAGTCACTGAGTTTTCATGCAGGCTAAACATGAAAATGGCCTCCTTGTCACGGCGATGACTCACCCCACAGCTGGAACTGGTGGAGCGGGAAACAGGAAGCGGCCGGCTGGTCCAGACTTGGGTAGGACTCACTCCGGAGAGGAGCGGGAGGTTGTGCTCCGGATGGGAGTGAGAAGTTCAGAGTTTGTTGATAAAACAGCTCAAGTATTGAGCATGAATGATCCTTGATGGCTGAGGGGGTCTGGGAGAATACTTCCAACTTTTGTGGGTGACATCGGGTACGTCGGTGAGCGTCGGTGAGCTCCGGGGGCGCGAGGCATGACAGATGCTGGAGTTCGGCTGGGCCCGCTGGGGGTGGATCCAGCAAGAGTGGATGTGACACTCCTACAAATATCTCCTGCCTTAGCTTCTGATAGAAAATAGACATTCAAATATTAGGATTTGAAAAGTCTGACAGATCTACTGTCACTTAACATACATGAACTTATTCATCTTGACTTAGCATTAGCAACTTCACCACGGAGCAGAACACCTTCAGGCTTCTGTTATTTGCCAAGATTAAACATCAACATTGCAGAGGAAACAGAGTCAGTGGTAGAGTCGCAATGGGTTATCCAATTTGAGGTGAGATATTTTAATATCAAGAAATAAAGATCTTAAAGATATTTAAAAAATTGACTGGCACTGAAAAGCAAAGCTCATGTCTGCAGACAAAGGCGATGTAGAGCTCTCTGATGTTTAAAACACACTTTAAGAAAAGCCTTCTTCTCACCTGGATTATTGCTCGTTTCCCGCTTGTCCTCCAAGTTTTCACCAGGATCTGAAAATCATTGATGGAGGCACTTTGCTCGGATCGTGCGCTAGGCTTGGGTCCAGCACCCCACGAATAAAAACAATGCGGGAGGTGAAACCATGATGTATCTTGGGAAATCACAGACGATAAAATGATAAAAGAGTCTGCCGATCATACGAGATGGTAGCCAGGACGCCACTGAAGAAGACCGCAGACAAAAGCACAGGGGAAAGGTGAAAGTTAGCAGAAAAAAGTTGGAAATAGTGACTAATAATAGCAACAAAGCCAAGCACAGATGCCATCTTTTACTGCTCGTTGATCAGCTCCTTCACCCAAGTCCAGCTCGTGGGATTTTATTCGGACGACAAAGCATACTTACCGAAAAAGGAAAAGAGCTATACGGTGCTGTTGCATAATGGGATAGCTGAGTGTATAAGCAACGGAAGCATTGGTCACTTTGTGTGTTGTGAGCTTACATTCACCTAAAGGGTTATCAGGAACACCTGTCCAACTTCTGCTTGTTGCAATTATCTAATCAACCAATCACATGGCAGTTGCTTCAATGCATTTAGGGGTGTGGTCCTGGTCAAGACAATCTCCTGAACTCCAAACTGAATGTCAGAATGGGAAAGAAAGGTGATTTAAGCTATTTTGAGCATGGCATGGTTGTTGGTGCCAGATGGGCCGGTCTGAGTATTTCACAATCTGCTCAGTTACTGAGATTTTCATGCACAACCATTTCTAAAGTTTACAAAGAATGGTGTGAAAAGGGAAAAACATCCAGCCCTGTGGGCGAAAATGCCTTGTTGATGCTTGAGGTCAGAGGAGAATGGGCCAACTGATTCAAGCTGATAGAAGAGCAACTTTGACTGAAATAACCACTCGTTACAACTGAGGAATGCAGCAAAGCATTTGTGAAGCCACAACACGCACAGCCTTGAGGCGGATGGGCTACAACAGCAGAAGACCCCACCGGGTACCACTCCTATCCACTACAAATAGAAAAAAGAGGCTACAATTAGCACAAGCTCACCAAAATTGGACAGTTGACGACCGGAAAAATGTTGCCTGGTCTGAGGAGTCTCGATTTCTGTTGAGACATTTAAATGGTAGAGTCAGAATTTGGCGTAAACAGAATGAGAACATGGATCCATCATGCCTTGTTATCACTGTGCAGGCTGGTGGTGGTGGTGTAATGGTGTGGGGATGTTTTCTTTGCACACTTTAGGCCCCTTAGTGCCAACTGGGCATCGTTTAAATGCCACGGGCTACCTGAGCATAGTTTCTGACCATGTCCATGTCTTCATGACCACCATGTACCCATCCTCTGGTGGCTACTTCCAGCAGGATAATCCACCATGTCATAAAGCTCCAATCATTTCAGATTGGTTTCTTGAACATGAGAATGAGTTCACTGTACTGCAACGGTCCCCACAGTCACCAAATCTCAACCCAACAGAGCATCTTTGGGATGTGGTGGAACGGGAGCTTGGTGACCTGGATGTGCATCCCACAAATCTCCATCAACTGCAAGATGCTGTCCTATCAATATGGGCCAACATTTCTAAAGAATGCTTTCAGTACCTTGTTGACTCAATGCCACGTAGAATTAAGGCAGTTCTGAAGGCGAAAGGGGGTCAGACACCATATTAGTGTGGTGTTCCTAACAGTCCTTTAGGTGAGCTTATAAACCTGCAGAAAATGGCACACTTGTGTTGTGTGAAGGGTTGCCACGCCAGGTCACACAATTATAAGAAGCAAAAATTTTTTGGTTTCCTGCTTGGATAAGAGGTTCTGAACACAAAATGGGAGAATTAACAAAAAGACGCCTAGGTTACAGCTGTCGGAAGGAAGGGCATAACTTTTGAAACCCGTCTCCCCATGCATCTTTGCTCACAGTATTTTCATAAAGGCAAGTAAAATAGTTATTTTGTTTAATACTGAATGTCTGTTTTTGGGCTGTGTAAAGTTGCCATCTCCCTAACACGACGGGCAGTTGAATACAGAGGTGGGTCGTAATTTCCTTTGAAAGCCTTACTTCTGCTTAAAATGTATTATGTTGTGTTTTTTATTTGTACAATTTATTTTTTTGTCTTTAAAATTACATAATTTGTCCATAGATTTATACGTTTTGTCTGAAAGATGGCATGATTTGATGGATCTGATGTTACTCAGTACTCAAGTAGTGTTTTACTAAACATTTTTACTGTTAGCGGAGTAATGTTTTTGGACGGCCACTTTTAACTTTTACGTGATTAGTGCTACGCTTACTCAAGTGGCATATTTTTGTCAGTAATGAAATGTCTGAGCTCCTTTTGTTTCCTTTGAGGTCGTAGGGATCCATGTCGTTGATTGTTGACAATTTCTGAAAATACCAATCCCTAGCCTCCTTCACAAGTTTATCCCTGTAAGCGTTTGTCCTTGTTCTGTTTATCCATCCTTTTGGCTCGTGTGCTGCTTCAACTTCGGCTGCGTCTTCCCAAATAGCAACAAGAGTCAAATGGGGGGGATCGACAGGCAGGTCACGTGTCTGACAAAGATCGGTGTGGGCAGCAGTACCTCAGGAGGTAGAGCTGGAAAGTTGAAGGATCGACCCCAGCAGAGAATGCTACTTAACTCCCTTTGCCTGCTGGTGGCGGTTAGAGGGACTGGTGGAGCCTCGCCTCTGACAGTGTGCCCCAGGACAGCCGTGGCTACAATGTAGCTCATCACCATCAGTGTATGAATGTGTGTGTGAATGGATGAATGATACACTGTAGTGTAAAGTGCTTTGGAGTCCTCTGACTCTGAAAGGCGCTATATAAGTGCTGATCATTTATCATTGAAACCATCTGTGGGGTCTGTGGTTAAACGGGCATCAGCTATAGAGATCATGCTTTAACTGCTGTTCTCATCTGCCCACACAATGAAGCTTTTGCAACAAAAAAAAACTCTTTCCTAACAATTTCTGTTTGTTGAGTGAACGACTTCCTGCTCTGCAAAGTGCTAATACAAACACCACTTTCCTGCTAAGCACCTCTCATTACATGCCAATCAACCCTGCGCACTGTCTGTTCAGCCTCCTGCCCTCTGGAAAGAGATACAGAAATCTCCGCTCCCGCACTACCAGGCTCACCAACAGTTTCGTCCACCAGGCTGTGAGACTGCTGAACTCTCTTCCCTCACAGATCCCAGCCAGCAGAATCACCAGGGTGACAGGGGTATAGGATGACAGACTGGACCCTACCCCCCCCCCCCCCCCCCCCCACACACACACACACACACACACACACACTACACACCACACACCACACACCACACACCTCACACACACACACACACACACACACACACACACACACACACACACACACACACACACACATACACATTATACAAAAAGGAAATAGTGGTTGAACCAATAATGGGGTAAACATTTCTGATTGTAAACAACTACCTCTGCATAGAAATTGCACACACCTGCTGCTACATGTTTTGTATATTATTAGCGATATTTACCTGTTTAATATTATCTTATTGTTAGGGATGTTTTTTGTTTTGTTATTGTTGTGCATCTGCACTTTATGTAAATGTCTACGCATGGGACAGTGTGAAACGTAATTTCAATTCCTTGTATGGCAAGCACATTCGAAGAATTGACAAATAAAGTATTCTATTCTATTCTATTCAAGTTTGATGACGGTTCTCACAAATACATTTTTACCTTCCACATCTTGTACTCATGAAACTTGGCCATCAGCAACTTCTATACTATGATATGGAAAATTATATTAGTAAGGATGTGCACCAGCTTTTTATATGGCCTGCAAACATTTTCATTTAGGCATTTTTGACAGTGTCTTTAAAGCTTTAGGCCCCCTTGCTCTATTGTCTACGATGGAGTGCAAACACGCACAAGAGCTTTTTCCTCAGCTTCCCATCCAGGCTTCCAATAAGCTCAGAAATGTGAGTTTCTTTACTTAGTTATACTTGCATGATTTCATATTTTCAGATTAACAGACATTAAAAGATATATACATGTCACACAAAGGCAATTGTTCACTGGAAAGACAACTGAGAAAAGTTCTATTTGTCTTTTCATGAAGTGACCCAGGTATTTTACTACGAGTCACACTTGGAGATTTAAATTGGATACGTGAACTGTCCATTTAAATTTGTAAACAGTCCAAATGAAAGGTGGGACCAAAGTAGTAGGCAATCTTAATATAAAAAACGGGTTTGGGTTTACCTTTGATTTGATCAGCTTTGGGCCATTATCACGGCAACAATGCAGTGGAGCATCGTGTGGTTGTTCTTTTTCAGTTATTCTTCTGAAATCCAAGCCAGCCAGGGTAAGACTGCATGTTTTAGGTTTTTTTGACTGGGTTGTATAATATAAGTTTCATAATTGTAATAATCTTTAAATTATGCGCTAAATTTATTGATTGGTAAATCTCTCTTTGGTGTAACAAACCCTTTATTATTCATGTTTTTTAATATGAATGTGCATGTGAAGAAATCCATCCATCCATTGTATGAACCCGTAGGGTCGTGGGGGGGGAGGGAGGGCTGGTGCCTATCTCCAGCGCCAGTCCATCGCAGCATGTGAAGAAATATACATGTTATATTTTTGATTTATTTTTTAGTTGAGAACCACGTCAGCAGCATCTGCAGTACATGGGGAAAGGGACATTTTAAGACCTTCGGTGGAGATGTGTTCCAGTTTCCTGGTATGTGCGAGTACAACCTGGTGTCAGACTGCCGCGACTCCTTCGAGAAGTTCTCTGTTCACATCAAACAGGAGGAAATTGATGGAAACGTTACAATAAAATACATGGTGGTCACCATCAATGAAAATGCGTTCTTCATCAACAAGAGCCTGGTCACTGAAAACAGCAATTTGTAAGTTAAACACAACAAAAAGATAAATACTTTTGTTTTGTTCAAATATATTGGTGAAATTATTGTTTAAGTTATCATTATCTTCTTATTCAGCATCACTCTGCCACACTATAACATGGGGGTAAAGATGGAAGACAGCACTTTCAACATCACGCTCAAATCTAAAGTCAGCCTAGCAGTCACATGGAACCGTGTAGATGCCGTCATGGTAACGTATCAAACATTTTTTTCTAATTTCTCACTTTGCATTTGTGTCTAAATGCAAAGCAAATACTTAAAAATTACAATAAATTAGACAAAAGTTGTAAAAAAAAACCTTTTTGTGTTTTGCAGTATTTTATTTTAGGAGTTGTTAATGGGACTAAATTATTTTTGTGAAAACAAAGTTAGTCCAACACCTTATTTTAATTTTATTTCTGTTCTGCTTGTAGGTAGAACTTTCAAATGACTATGCAAACCAGACGTGCGGACTTTGTGGAGACTTCAATGGCGTCCCTGTTAATAATGAGCTCATTAAAGATGGTTTGTACTTTAATTTATAATTAAGCACACCAAGAAATAAAGTAAAACAAAGAAATACAAAAACTTGTATGATTCATTTATATATTATTGTGATTATGCAGAACGTAAAATCAGCTACACTGAGTTTGGCAACAGTCAACATGTCCACCTTCCTAATGATGATTGTAAAAAACCCCGAGAAGAGGACGATGACTCTTTGGAGAACAGATCGTTGCCACATTCATGCAATGAATTTGTGAGTTTATATCTAGGTGTTTTAGTTGTTGTTGCCAGTGCATTACAATAAATAGTAACTTAGCTTCCATCTTTCTGCTGTTTTGTTCCTTAAAGGTGATCCATTGTACAGGAAAGTTCCACTCAGAGTCCCGGAGTTCGTGCACTCAGCTGATTGATCCTGAAGCTTACATCCAGGCGTGTGCGATGGACATGTGTAATTATAACAACAGCATCGATGATTTCTGTGTCTGCAGCTCCATGTCGGAGTTTTCCCGACTGTGTTCTCATGCTGGAGGACAGCCTCCCAACTGGAGGCGCCCTCACTTCTGTGGTAAGATGTGTTCGTGAAAAAGAAGAACACACCTAGGCTGCCTTAAAATCCTTCAATCATTATCTAAAGGTTTTTCACTTAAATTTTCTGCGTGTCAGAGTCAGATGTGCGGACTTTTCATTAAATCTTTCATGTCTAACTCAAAATAACATTAATCACCTTCATGCATTTGTTTCTACTATGCATTTGCAGCTAAACAGTGTCCTTACAACATGGTGTATAATGAGAATGGTTCGCCCTGCATGGATACGTGCAGACATCAGCACACGAGTTCAGAGTGTGATGACCACCAAATAGATGGATGCTTCTGTCCCTCTGGTGAATTTCATTCACACACAGAAATATAAACACCTTACAATTTTTAATCCACCATCACTTAAATAAGACTGTCTTTTTCAGGAACTGTGTTTGATGATGTTTCCAAGAGGAGGTGTATCGATAGGTCTGAATGTCAGCGCAAGCACAACATCTACAACTCTGGAGATGTCTACCTACAGGATGGGAAGAACTGGTGTGTATGTGTGTGTAAGTGTACATAATACATATTATTTACTGTGAGCTGAAAGGTTTTATTGCTTTGACTTTTCAGCACATGTTGAAGGAAGATGGGACTGTGAAATCTTTGAAACATCGGCCACATGTGCAGTTGAAGAAGGTTCACATTTCACAACTTTTGATGGAAAAACCTTTACCTTCCATGGAGATTGTTCCTACACTCTGGCTAAGGTGGAAAGCAAGGTAAATTAGGTATTTAATGCTGAGAAAATATAAAATCCTCATAAAAATAATTAAGCTTATTTAGTGGTGCTTGCTTTCTGTGTTTAAGGACGAAAGCAGTCCAGATTTTACAATCGAGGCCGAGCTGGTGCCGTGTGCAGACTAGCAGTTTGACACCTGCTTGAAGACAGTTAAACTCTTACCAGACAACAGCAAAGACAATGTAAGTAAATTATTCTAAAACATTTCAGTTTTTAGTTCACTCTAATATCTGTCACACTCTCATCACCTATTCTGTTTTTCTTTTTCAGTTTTTCACGTTCACACTTAATGGTGTAGTTGAGCAGAACGCACAGAGCCTCAGGTTGCCGTATTATTCAAGTGAGTTCAGTGAAACATTTAACCTTTGAGTAAAACTTGTTGTCTTCTTTGAGAGACCGTCTCGACTTCATTCTGTTACTCTCACATGCATATTGTCTTTACACATGCACATGCACACGCACACACACACACACACAGATATATTTATATTTGTGTGTGTGTGTGTGTGTGTGTGTGTGTGTGTGTGTGTGTGTGTGTGTGTGTGTGTGTGTGTGTGTGTGTGCAGAGAATACATATATATATATATGTATATATTCTCGAACCATCCATCCATCCATCCATCCATCCATTTTCATCCGCTTATCCGGCGTCTGGTCGCGGGGGCAACAGCCTAAGGCAAGAGGCCCAGACTTCCCTCTCCCCAGCCACTTTGGTCAGCTCCTCCAGGAGAATCATAAGGCGTTCCCTGGCCAGCTGAGAAACATAGTCCCTCCATCGTGTCCTGGGTCTTCCTTTGGGTCTCCTCCCAGTTGGACGTGCCCAGAAAACCTCACCAGGGAGGCGTCCAGGAAGCATCCTGACCAGATGCCCGAGCCACCTCAACTGGCTCCTCTCGATGTGGAGGAGCAGCGGGTCTACTCCGAGCCCCTCCCGAATGACTGAGCTTCTCACTCTATCTCTAAGGGAGAGCTCAGCCACTCTTCGGAGAAAACTCATTCCAGCCGCTTGTATCCGCGATCTCCTTTCGGTCACTACCCAAACTCATGACCATGGGTGAGGGTAGAAACGTAGATCGACCGGTAAATCGAGAGCTTCGCCTTCTGACCCAGACCCATCTTACTCCAGACAAACTTTGGGTTGCAAATTCAGATCCAGTACATTCCTCGGATGCAAGTCTACATCAACTTGGAAAACAGCTACAAAGCAAAGACACGGGGTAAGGTTTCACAAGAAACTTCACAGCAGAAAATGTGTGCTGGGTTAACATATGTTTGGCTTATTTTTCAGTTTATCACAAGAGAAAATTAGTATTTGTGTTTTATGTTCAGGAAAATAATTATACAAAACCTTGTGAGGAATATAAATTTAAAATTAATCCATTCAAAATGTAAGTATCATCAACATTTTGTATATTTAGTTATTGTTGCTCTAAATGATTTTTTCAGGTATATGTGGGAACTTCAACATGGTCCTAAATGATGACATGAAGGTCCTCAGGAGATGGTAGGAACTGCAGCAAGTTACAGCAACTCATGGAAGGCTAGGATTGCATGTAAAGACAAGGAGGAAAGATCTGACAACCCGTGTTCCCTCAGTTCAAAAAATGGTAGTGTCCCCTTGACTTTATTCATTACCAGTGTAACACAATGGAGTCACTAAAACTGTCAAAAGGATTCCTTTAACTCTTAGAGGAATACGCCAACCATTGGTGTGACCTCGTCCAAAACCCTAAGAAGACATTTGCAAAGTGCCATTCTGAGGTGGATCCTCTTGTTTTCTACAAGGTACAGCTAAACTCTGAGATTTAAATTCACTAGGTTTAATCAGAGGGTCATTTCCAAAGTATTTACAGATATATATTTTCTTGTTTTGTTTTGTTTTGCAGCGCTGCATTTATTCCAGCTGTAACTGTGAGAAGAGCGAGGACTGTTTGTGTGTCGTCTTTATCTCCTATGTTCGAGCTTATGCAGCAAAGGGAGTCACCATGAAAGACTTTGGAAACGATGTGTGTGGTAAGTTTTTATTATTATTATTATCATTATTATTATTATTATTATTATTATTATTATTATGTGTTGGTTTCTAGATTTTAGTTCACTCTAATATAAGACAGAAAAACTTGAGCATATTGATATTTTCCAAAGGGGTTCGAAAGAAGGCATCTGGACTTCTCTGGTTGCTCATCAAGCAACAACAGACTGCTACAGTTTATAAACTCGATTCTCCCATATTCCAGTCAGAATTAACAAAGCTTCTTGGATGAGAAGCGAAACATCTTCGAGAAACAAAAGAAGTCCAGTTATCTTCATTCGAACCCCTTTTGGTTACCATGACCTGGATGACTGAGAACCTTCACCAGCACATTGATGTTTCCTTCAAAACAGAGAAACAGAAAAATGCATGCCCAGAGTCTCAGGTATTCTCTTTTGAGCAAGAATGCCAGCCGACTTGCAGTTCACTGAGCTCAGAGCAACAGAGGTACCGGATAGCCAAGCGGGGTGCAGCAGTGGCAGTTGCCGAGGCAAAATCTCGGGCGTGGGAGGAGTTTGGTGAGGCCATGGAGAAAGACTATAGATTTGATTTGATTTGATTTGATTGAAAACTACACCTTGAAGAATCATAACCTCAACGGAACACCGAATTTAAAGGTTACACAAGCTTAATTGTGTAGTTCTGAAATAGGTGTTTGTTCAGCATGTGAGACTAGGCATTGCTATGTTTCATAAGTTGTACAATTTTTTTTACCCCGAGCTAAGGCCAAAGTCGTGAGGAAGAACCATCATACTGTTTATGACTCAGTTTTCTCATACTCACTTTCTTAAGGATGTGCTCTAAAGATAATCTTATCAGATAAAAATTGACAGCTAAAGGCTCGTTGGCATGTTAGAACGTGGTGTTTGTTAGTCTTTGGCAAATGTTGGTTTAAACTATAGTAGAGTCATTAATGGATTCATCTTAAAACAACTCATATTCATGTTCTTTTTATGTAGCCCTCAGCTTCAAATACTATAACTTAATAATAAAACAATGCAATTCACATTTAAAGAACCCTCACCTTCCTTTAATTTGACCCAGGGGATGTCTAAAAGTTTCCCAAAATGAAGATAGAAACATCTTTTTATCTGTATGAGTTAGACAGATTTTTGTTAATTTACACCTAGAAAACAAATAGCAAAAACAATCTGCAATTACTTCCTAACTCGTAAAAACAAATATGAAATGTTTTTATAAGTTCCCCCTCTGTGGGTGTGATCTTGATGGAGAGAGAAAACACAAAGGTTGACACCCGGAATCTTGTTTACCCCTCCTAAACTGCAAACATCTGAGGACTATATTACACGACGCCTATGAGAGATGTACCAGTTTGGTGGCAGGTTCACGGGACAGGAACGATTCAAGGAGCATGAGAACAGCCAGGATCCTTCTGGAGTGGGTGATACCATGGCTCACCCTGAGCATTGGAGAGTCTGCATTCAACATGGGTATGTGGACAAAACATGATGAGGCCTCATGAAAAATTGCCCAGCCTTCATTTTTCAAGGATTTTTTTTTTTCATTTATGATTTTATTCTGTATTTACTCTGTTAGACATGGATCAAGTGGCTAAAAAGGTCATCACCCTGCCACTGAAAATAGGTGAAAATGTGCTTTCTTTATATTAAAAATTCCTAAGCTTTGATTTTTTTTTTTTTGTATTGAATGAACATTTTGTCCTCCGTTGAACAGAAGCACTACCACCTCACCAAAACCAGTTCTGCAGCACATGGGGAAACTTCCACTACAAGACTTTTGATGGAGATTTCTTCCAGCTTCCCTCCACTTGTAACTACATCTTTGCCTCCCAGTGTAAGGCCGACTATGAGGCCTTCAACATTCAGGTCCAGCGTCAGGACTTAGATGGGGAAGTCTCTATCAAAAGAATCCTGTTGAAGCTGGATGGAATCGTTGTTGAATTAGCCAACATGTCAATCTTTGTTAACAATGAACCGTGAGTTTTAGCTTTAAACCACAATTCTAATGTAACTCTCCATTCATTACACTAATCTGCAGGTAAATTGGATGGAATGTCTAATCATCAAACTTTTTTTGTCTTTTAGTGTCTCCATTCCATTCAGCCAGGGAGGAATTTCAATTGATTCGTCTGTGTCTTATATTAAAATTGAGGCAAAGCTGGGCCTGATTTTCATGTGGAATCAAGAGGATTCCCTCTGGGTATGTTATGTTTGCTTTATACTGTACTGAGTACAGGTTGACGGAATAGAAAAGTGAATTAAGTGATACTTTTTAATGGATTTAATGGATTTCTCAGTGGCTTAGTGGGCTAGGGACTAGGTTGGGTCATGTCAAAGACTTGGGACATGGGACCCAATGCTTCCCTGCTTGACACTCGGCATTAAAAAGTTGGAGATTAAACGTCCAAATTGTTCCTGAGCGCAGCCACTGCTGCAGCTCACTTTTCCAAAACAGTCTCATTAGTCTAATGAGCCGCACTTGTATAGCGCCTCTCAGAGTGAAGGCTCTAAAGCGCTTTACACTACAGTGTATCATTCATCAATTCACACTCACATTCACACACTGATGGTGATGAGCTACGATGTAGTCACAGCTGCCCTGAGGCGCACTGACAGAGGTGAGGCTGCAGAGCACAGGCGCCACCGGTCCCTCCGACCACCACCAGCACGCAAGGTGGGTTAAGTGTCTTGCCCAAGGACACAACAGCAGAATTCTCTGTCCGGAGCCGGGATCGAACCTGCAACCTTCCGATTACTGGACAACCCGCTCAACCTGTTGAGATACTGCCACTAGTCTAATTAGGAGGATGTCGGCTGGTGTAAAAAATATATGATTTAGTGAAAACATCCATCTATTTTCTGTATCCACTCATCCATGCAGGGTCTCAGGGGGCTGGTGTACATCTCCAGCAGTCTCCGGGCAAGCAGGCGGGGTATACCCTGGACAGTTTACCAGTCCATGAAGGGGAACTCAGAGACACACAGGACAAACAACCAAACAAACACACACACATCTAAGGATAATTTAATCCTGGAGAGAACCCAGGCATGCACAGGGAGAACATGCAAACTACATGCTGAAAGACCTCGGGCATTTGAAGCAGGACCTTCTTGCTGCATGGCAGCAGCACCAACCATTGCAACACTGTGCAGCCCTTCAGTGATAACCTACATTTTAAAAATCAGCTCATTACATTTTATCTACAATTTTAAGGTGGAGCTGGATTCAAAATTCAACAATCAAACTTGCGGCCTGTGTGGTGACTTCAATGGCATTCAGGATGAGTTCGACCAGTCAGGTAAAAACCTAATAACTACACTCACAAAACAGGCCCAAATCTGTTTTCAAACCAGCTAAAATGTCCTTTTTCTCTGCAGAGGTTTTTGTAAGTGCTGAAGATTTTGCAGTGAAGTGGAAACTTGACGGTCCCACTGAAACATGCAAAGTAATCACCTCTCCACCACTGGAAAACTGTTCCAATGAGGTATGCATGTGAAACAGGAATTTTTGCAGTTATCCGCAGGATTTTACACAAAGTTAAAGTTATGTACATCTGAGCATAAATATTTTAATCCTCAGGTTGACTTCTGCAACAGCCTGCTGACTGGACCTGCATTCGTCAGCTGCACGCATCTGATAGACAGTGACTACTTCATTGATGCTTGTGTAAAAGACCTTTGCGCCTGCAGCGGCGACAAGAGTTCATGCTTGTGCTCCATCATGTCGGAGTATTCCAGACAGTGCGCTCATGCAGGCGGGAAACCACTGAAGTGGAAGACAAAGGAACTCTGTGGTGAGATTTCTAAACCACAAATGTTATAGTGTAATAGCATAAGATGCATTTTATTTATTTACTTTGCACTGAACAGCCAAAAAATGCCCTTTCAACATGGAATATAAGGAATGTGGTAGTCCCTGCACTGACACCTGCAGACATCCCCAAAAAAGCCGTATATGTGATCAACACTGCGTGGATGGGTGCTTCTGTCCAGAGGGTAAGTGTCCGATTCAGAAACACTAACAATGTGAATCATTTAAATTATTAGATTTTTAGATGTAATATTGTGTAAAATCTCTGTTTAATATTTGGTGAAGCTGTGTGTGTCCTGAAGTTGTTTTTTACTTTTTGAAAATACAGTTACTGAGCAGTTGGATGAAAAAGTTTGGGCAGCCTTGTTAATCTTCATGATTGTCCTGTATAAATCGTTGGTTGTTACGATAAAATAATTCTGTTGATTGTATCATATTAGAGACAAGCACGGCAATATTTGAGAACAGAAACAGAGTTTATAGGATTTACAGAAAGTGTGCAGAAATTGTTTAAACAAAATTAGGCAGGTGCATACATTTGGGCACCGCAAAAAACAAATAACTCAATATGTAAGTAGATCGCCCTTTTGCAGAAATTACAGCCTCTAAACGCCTCCTATAGCTTCCAGTGAGAGTCTGGATTTTGGTTGAAGGTATTGTGGACCATACTTCTTTACAAAACATCTCTAGTTCATTCAGGTGTGATGCTTCTGAGCATGGACAGCTCTCTTTAACTCACCACAGATTTTCAATAATATTCAGGTTTAGGGACTGAGATGGCCGTTCCAGAACGTTCTACTTGTTCCTCTTCATGAATGCCTCAGTAGATGTTGAGCAGCGTTTAGGGTCGTTGTCTTGTTGAAAGATCCAACCTTGGTGCAGCTTCAGCTTTGTCACTGATTCCTGGACATTGGCTTCCAGAATCTGCTGATATTGAGTGAAATCCATGCATCCCTTAACTTTAACAAGATTCCCAGTCCCTGCACTGGCCACACAGCCCACAGCATGATGAACCACCACCATGTTTTAGGTAGCAGGTGTTTTTCTTGGAATGCTGTGTTCTTTTTCCTCCATGCATAACGTCCCTTGTTATGCCCACATAACTCTGTTTTATTTTCATCAGTCCACAGCACCTTATTCCAAAATGATGCTGGTTTGTCTAAACGTGCTTTAGCATACCCCAAACAGCTCTGTTTGGCTGTGGGTGGAGAAAGGGCTTCTTCTGCATGTAAAGTGCAACAAATAGTTGAACGATGCTGAGTGACTCCAGCTGCAGCAAGATGATGTTGTAGGTCTGTGGTGCTGATCTGTGGGTTGACTCTGACTGTTCTCATTATTCTTTGCTTCTGTTAATCTGAGATTTTTCTTGGTCTGCAACTTTGAGGCTTAACTAGAATTGTGTCTGTGGTTTCCATTTCCTCAATATGTTCCTAACTGTTGAAACTGACAGCTGAAATCTCTGAGACAGCGTTCTGTATCCTCCCCCCTAAACCATGATAGTGACCAATCTTTGTTTTCAGGTCATGTGAGAGTTGTTGTGAGACCTCAATGTTGCTACTCTTCAGAAAATATTAAAAGAAAAGGGAAACTTACAATAACCCCCCAAATACTCTTTCTCATGATTGGATCCACCTGTGTAGGAAGGTCAAGGGTCACTGAGCTTACCAAACCAATTTTGAGTTTCAATAATTAGTTATGAAGGTTTTTGAATCAATAAAAAAACAACAGTGCCCAAATTTATGCACCTGCCTTATTTAAACAGTTATTGCACACTTTCTGTAAATCCTATAAAAGTCGTTTCACTTCTCATTCATCACTGTGTGTGTCTCCTATATGAAATATTTAACTGACATTTTTATCGTAACAGCCAACGATTTATACAGGAAAATCATGAAGGAGGCTGCACAAACTTCTGCATCCCACTTTATTTCACTCCCACCCCGTCTGTGTAAGGAAATGGGACACTATCCTGATAAATGATACCTCGGCTCATCTTTCCCATGAGTTGAATGTTTGGGTCATAAATGATTATATCACTGTGTATCTTCAAAGGAACTGTTTTTGATGATATTTCACGAAGTGGATGTGTCGCTGTCAGTCAGTGCTCATGCTTTCACCATGGCAAATCCTACAAACCTGGAGAATCGTACACCAGGGCGTGTAAAACATGGTGCGTTTTTCTAAGTCATTGTACACATTTACAGCGCATGTGCATATGATGGTACTGATGACAGGAATCTATCATTTATCAGCACTTGTGCGAATGCTAAGTGGAGCTGTAAGGAGAAGGACTGTCCTGGTATCTGCTCCATCACAGGAGGCTCTCACATCTCCACCTATGACGATAACATCTATAACTTCCACGGAGACTGTTCATACGTTTTGTCTAAAGTAAGAAATTGACATTCAAAACATCTTTATTAAAAGAAATTTGTTTTATTCCCTAACAAAGTTACATAAAAAACAAAATCTGCAGATCAGTTGATGTTTTTTCTCCTGGTTTCAGGCTTCTGATGGGAGTTTTAGTGTGTTTGGAGATTTGAAGCCGTGTGGCAGATCTGACAAATCAACGTGCATGTCCTCCGTGACTCTACTCCAAAACTCCACAGTAAAATAAATTTTTTCAAAAAACTATTAATGTTGGTATTTTTAAGTAACACATGCCAGATGTTGCTTTATATTACTTTTTTTCCTGCAGACGATTGAAGTTAAAGACAATGGGAAAGTCTATTACAACAAAGTAGAGTGTCAACTTCCTTTCTTCATGGGTGAGTACCTGGAGCTTTAGTATTTCATCATGTGAAAACAACGGAAATCATATTTACTCACCTTTTTCTGCTCTTTTAGACGATGTAACTATCTTCAGCCCATCCTCATTCTTCATTGTAATCCACACGACCTTCGGACTTGAACTTGAGATCCAGCTCAACCCATTATTGCAGATTTACGTAAAAGCCAGTGCATCCTTGAAGGAAAGCCTGCAGGGTGTGTTCTCCTCAGATAGCATTTAGTCGTGTTTGAATTACAAACTTATCACCCTGCTGGTTTTACTTTAAAATCTTGTCTTTGTGAAGGACTTTGTGGTGATTTTAATGATAACGCTCAAGATGACTTCAAAACCACTAACGGATTGATCGAGGGTGTAGCTGCAATCTTTGCCAACACATGGAAAACACAAATAACCTGTCCAGATGTAAACATAATACTTGGGGACCCATGCATTTTGAGTGTTGATAAAGGTACATCAGTGACATCTATCTATTGTCCATGTTTTATCTTCTTGTCCAAAGTGTTTCAGTAATTAAAACATTTGTTTGTTTGTTTGTTTTGTAGAAAAATATGCCAATGACTGGTGCTCACTCTTGACTGATCGAAGTGGAATTTTTTCAATTTGTCATTTAGAAATAGACCCATCGGATTATCAAAAAGTAAGCGATGCACCTTACTTATGAGCTGAGTATACACCTAAACGCATCATCTGCTTGTTGAAACCATTCATTTGGGTTGTCTCTGCCCCTCCTTTTGCAGGCTTGTATTTATGACACCTGTGCCTGTGAGAACAGCGAGGACTGCATGTGTGCTGCCTTGTCTGCGTATGTCCACGCCTGTGCAGCTGAAGGCATCAAAATACATGGATGGAGAAAAAATGTCTGCAGTGAGTTTTACCAGAAAAATCTGATGTGATGGGGATTCAGAGTGCAGTCCTACGAATGCCTCACCTATCCCTTACTCCTTTCAACAGATAAATATGCATCTGACTGCCCTTCTCAATTGGTGTACGATTACCACATGACGAGCTGCGGTCGCACCTGCCGCTCTCTGACTCAGTCAGATGTAACGTGTGGGATTGATTTTACCCCAGTCGATGGTTGTGGCTGTGCTGACGGGACTTATTTAAACGAGAAAGGAGAGTGTGTGTCAGCTTCTCAGTGCCCCTGTCATGTAGGAGACACACTGATACTGTCTGGGCAGGTCACCAAGGTCCAAGGACAAACATGGTAAGGATTTTAGAGAACAGCTGGACAACAAAGGACAAAATATTCAGGTTTTGATGTATAAACTTTATTTTTAAAAGGGCATCAAGGTCTGTCAGTGGCTCAATAAAATGATAACCACACACTGTTTCACAAGATGCACGGATCCACAACAGACCAGGCTCACTGTGGATAGAATTAGATCCTCAGTCAAACAACTGCTAAAGCTGAGGCACCAAAATCATAATTAAATAATTCTTAAACTGTGACCACCAGATCTGTCTGGTGGTCACAGGTTGATGGACATAGGAATTTTTAAACAATGCATTATTTGCACTATGAAGAATTTTGAGCGATAAAATTAAATTCCTATAGCAACGATAGATGCACAGGCTAAAAACAGATAAATATATAGCTACATATAGCTTAAGCACTGCTGTAAGCTGAAACTCAAAAAACTATATATATATATATATATATATATATATATATATATTGCTATACCACTTGTGCAAAAGTCTATTTATTTCAACTTAGACTGAGAGACCATCTAAAGGCTCAGGAACCCTTTGCAAGTGTTTTGTAATCATTAGCTGATTAGTCTCTGAGACACGTTGAGTCTAGAATATTGAACCTTTTCACAGTATTCTAATATTATGAGATTTTGCATTTGGGATTTTCATGAGCTGTAAGCCATAATAATCACAATTATAACAAATAAAAGTTAGAAATATCTTTTCATGTAATCAGTCTATCTCATTAATTAGTTTTACCTTTTAAGCTGAACTACAGAGAAAACAATCTTTTGCATGATGTTTTTTTTTTTTTTTTTTTTTTGCTTTATCTGTAATATTACACCAAAAATACAAAATAAATTAGTCAGCACTGCAAAACTGTGTAGTTTACACAATCATAGCTGCTATGTTTTTGACATTTAAATTAAAGCAATTAACATTTTTTAAACAATTATGAAACTGGTATTTTTTCCAGGGTTATCATTTTTGCAGAATTCCAAACTGGTTCGTGAAAGTTTGAAGTTTCAAATTTGATTTTGATTATTCCAAACAATTATTTCTTGGGTTGTTTACTCGACATTGCTTGTTTCTTCTAATTCCTTTTACCAGTTATAACACTGAATAAAATTATTCTCCTGATTCAACTCAAATTTTCAGCAAAAGCTGCTCAGAACATGTTAGCTGCAAATATGGCAAAGTGTAGAAAACTATAAAATATACAAATTATACAGATTTTCTTACTTGGGCTGTGATTGATTTCAGCTCCTGCCGTGGTGGACAGCTAACATGTCAAGGAGAACCAGTCATTCAATGTATGTATAAAGAAGACTCTGTAAAGAGGATTATTAGCAACAGTTCACAGAAAATCCTGTCCTTTTTAACTTTCTGTTGTTGTCACCAGCATGCGCCTCTCCAATGGTTTTCTTCAACTGCTCAAATGCAAAGCCAGGTGAAAAAGGAGCTGAATGTCAGAACAGCTGCCAGACGTTGGACTCAGATTGTGTAAGACTATGTTTTTGCATAAATAAAGGATGTATGTACATTAAACAGCTTACCTGCATATTAAAACATGCATTCACATTTGGTGGCTAGGTGAGTTCACATTGTGTCTCAGGCTGTGTGTGTCCTCCTGGCCTACTGTCAGATGGAAATGGAGGCTGTGTGAAGGAGAATGATTGTCCCTGTCCACATGATGGAAAATCATACAATCCAGGAGACACCATAACTGTTAACTGTAACAAATGGTGAGCTTTGATGTAATCATCTCTTGGATCACATTTTCTTGTAACCAGACACGTTTGACAGAATATTCTCCTTTACCTGATTATTTATTTTGTTTATTTGGAGTTGAGGACACAATATTTTACACATTTATTTTATTTCCTAGCACTTGCAGTGAAAGGAAATGGAGTTGCACAGAGAATGATTGCGGTGGAACCTGTACCATGTATGGAGACGGGAATTTCATCACTTTTGATCAAAAGAAATTTGCTTACAAAGGCAACTGTGGTTACATCTTCACTCAGGTAAAGTCATGTTCAGTCACTGTGACTGGTCAAAGTTAAACCTTGTGATACTGACATGATCGTAATACTACAGGATTACTGTGGAGGCAACATGAAGGGCACCTTCAGGGTCCTGACTGAAAACATCCCCTGTGTTTCAAGTGAAAGCATCTGTTCCACCAATATCAAACTGTACTTAGGGGTAGGTAACAGGGGAAATGCTTTATATTCAAATGAAAATGGATGCAGAGGGTTTTACCACTGACTACAATTTATTGTTTAAAAAATGCAGCTAAAGCTATTAAAGGTGCAGGAGGATTCGCAACAGTTTTATGTAAAATACTATGAAACATATATTTCTTAAACCTTCTGTTTTATTATTCTGTGTGTTTTATCTTTTTACTGCAACAGCAAATGTACAAAACAAGCTAGCACGCAAATCTCGCAAAAGTGCTTTTGAAAATATGTTTTTAGTATGTCATAATTTTCCTGATTTTTATTTTATTTTTATTTTTTTTTTACTGTTGAGAACTCTCAGGTATATGTTCAGGTAATGCGTTCATTTAAATAAATCAACAGTTAACACCTGGAAATAAAAGTTCCAGATTGTGGAAAACGAAAAGGCATCCCTTATAATTACAAAGGTGGTTTTGTTTCCATTGTGCAAATTGTGCCTTTACAAAGACAAAATAGTTTTACTCAGGCAAAAGCATTTATTTCATCATTTATAAATGACTGTTTTGGGGTTTGCTTTTTTTCCAGAGGAATGAAATTCTTCTTTCAGACGAAAGTGTCAGAGTTATCAATCAAAGCGAAGGTGAGGACATTCTGTTTAAAGTCCACACTATGGGTATATACATTGTCATCGAGGCAAACAACGGTCTTATTCTGATTTGGAATAAGAAGACGACACTCATGATTAAACTCAGCTCATCATTCAACGTGAGTGGACACACACACATGTTATGGGACTGATGTGCAAGTGTAATTTCATCACAAATTAGCTGTTTTTCCTTTTATGACAGGGAAAAGTCTGTGGTCTGTGTGGGAACTTTGATGGCAACATCAAGAACGATTTTACCACCAATGCCAAAGAAATTGTAGTTGAAACAATTGAGTTTGGAAACAGCTGGAAAGTGTCATCTGCCTGTCCAAATGTAAACACAACACAAGAACCATGTGCTCTGTACCCTAACAGAGTAGCATGGGCATCAAAACACTGCAGCATCATCAAGAGTGACGTGTTTTCTGCCTGCCACTTAAAAGTAAGTAAATTAAGGCATACAATCTTCCTGTTAGTGTTACTAGGTTTATTTTTTACCCGATTGTTTAGACAGAAAATGTTTGACTTAAGTTTAGTTGCATTAACAATTACTTCTTCATTAAGGTTGATCCCCAACAATACTTTGATTCATGTGTGAGAGACACATGTGCCTGTAATTCGGGAGGAGATTGTGAGTGTTTCTGCTCAGCTGTTGCAGCCTATGCAGCTGCCTGTAATGAAGCCGGAGCCTGTATTAAGTGGAGAACCCCCACCATCTGTCGTAAGTCTTTCTGAGAATAAGAAAAATAATAAATATGACATGAATGAAATTGCTGTCTTCACAGTTTACACCTAAAATTAGAGTCTCAATAAAAATTGTATGCAAAGTATTTGACATATTTTATGTGTTTCTGCTTCATTAGCACTCTTCTGTGATTATTACAATCCTGATGGAGCGTGTGAGTGGCACTATGCACCTTGTCAAAAACCATGCATGAAGACTTGTAAGAATCCTTCAGGAAAATGCTACACTCAGCTTCCAGCATTAGAAGGTAAGAATTATAATGAAAAATATTTTATTGTCGTCATTCAGGAATGATGTATGTGTCATGTTTTGTGGTGCTGAGGGAGGATCCAAGTGCAGAACAGACCATGGTAAAATTAAAAAACAAATTCTAATTGCATCAACAAAAACTTACATTGACTGTGGCAGAATATGAAATGGCTTGGATGACTTTAAAGAGGGGAACCAAGAAGAAACAATGACAAGAGGACGCTATATATGTACACAGGGAAAGGAGTGAAGAATAAAGTGGGAAATCAGGGGAAAGTGGAGACAACTGAAAATGTCACAGACAGAGGAAAATCAGAGAAAGTAGAAACAACCCCATGACATAAATTGCCCTTCGAATAAAACCATAAAGCAAAATCACAGTCAAATTCAAGTTTTCTTCCAACCTTCAAAGGAAAAGAAAAACATCTGAACTTCCATGAACGTCTTTATTACATGTTTGATTTGAATTTTACTTTTGACATTTTATTTTAGGCTGCTATCCAAATTGTCCAAGTGAGCGGCCTTATTTAGAAGAAGTTACCATGAAGTGTGTGTCAGAAAAACAATGTGGCTGCTACGATGATGAAGGGAACCATTATGAAGAAGGGGAAACGGTTCCAGTGCAAAATTGTTACAAATGGTAGGACAGTTTCAGTTACACAAATTTAGCTAACACTAGTTTTGTGCATCAGTTATTATTTTTCAACAAAAATAGATAATCAGGAAAATAAAACTGCATTTTCTTGTTTACCTTAACAGCAACTGTTTTTCAACAACTACAAAGTGTGAATACGATCAATCTGGTGAGTAGGATACATGGCTTATGTATGTCTGACATTGCTCTGAAAGTATTATTACAATAAAACAAAGGTTTTCTTAATTTATCTTTTTCCAGCATGTACCTGTGTCTATAATGGTCATAGCTACAAATATGGGGAAACTGTTTATAACACACATGATGGAGATGGAACATGCATTACTGGTGTGTGTGGAGTAAATGGAACTATTAACAGAAACATGGAAGTTTGCACTACAACTCCATTTACACCAACAACAGTCTTTACATTTACTACAACAGGTAAGAATATCACAGAAAAGCTGTGTGAGACATCTAAATATAACTTTGGATGTGAACAATTTGAAGAGAATGGTTTGTAATGTTTACCATGTTAAATCTTTGTCCATTCAGAAACAACTACTGAAAAGCGCACAACTACTCAAGCCATGACAACAGTTCTGACATTCTCAACACCAAGAGTTAAAACCTCTACGACACATTATGTAGAAACTACAACAAAAGTAATAACCACTACTCCAAAAACTACATATAAAAAAACACCAACAACAACTCTCACACCTACTACAACACCTCATGTAGAAACCACAACAACACCTCATGTAGAAACCACAACAACACCTCATGTAGGAACCACAAAAACAACAATCACAACAACACCTCATGTAGAAACCACAACAACGCCTCATGTAGAAACCACAACACCAATCACAACACCACCAACTACTACAACAACACCAATCACGACAACGCCTATCAACTGCTATATTTGTACATGGTCAGATTGGATCAACAATGACTACCCTCATCCAGGTCTAGAAGAAGGAGATTATGAAACAATTGCAAATATTTCTAATCCAGATTTGAGTCGTTGTTCAAAACCTTTGGAAATTCAGTGTCGAGCTAAATTCTACAAGGACGTAGATTTAAAAGACCTAGATCAAAAAGTAACATGTGACCCTACAATTGGGTTGATTTGTAATAACAAAGACCAAGATATTCCTCCCATTTGTTATGATTATGAAATACGAGTAAGGTGTTGTATTTACAAAGAAACCGAGGACTGCACAACACCACAAATTACAACACCATCAACTACATTGTCACTAATCCCAACAACACCTCATGTAGAAACCACAACAACGCCTCATGTAGAAACCACAACATCTCGTGTAGAAATAACAACAACAATCACAACACCACAAACTACAACACCCAAAACACCATCAACTACAAAAAAACCCACAACAACACCTCATGTAGAAATCACAACAACATCAATCACAACAACGCCTCATGTAGAAACACCAACAACACCTCATGTAGACACCACAACAACAATCACAACACCTCATGTAGAAACCACAACAACATCAATCACAACACCTCATGTAGAAACACCAACAACACCTCATGTAGAAACCACAACATCAATCACAACACCTCATGTAGAAACCACAACAATACCTCATGTAGACACCACAACAACATCAATCACAACACCTCATGTAGAAACACCAACAACACCTCATGTAGAAACCACAACAACACCTCATGTAGACACCACAACAACATCAATCACAACACCTCATGTAGAAACACCAACAACACCTCATGTAGACACCACAACATCAATCACAACACCTCATGTAGAAACACCAACAACACCTCATGTAGAAACCACAACATCAATCACAACACCTCATGTAGACACCACAACAACACCTCATGTAGACACCACGACAACACCTCATGTAGACACCACAACATCAATCACAACACCTCATGTAGAAACCACAACATCAATCACATCACCTCATGTAGACACCATAACATCAATCACAACACCTCATGTAGAAACCACAACATCAATCACAACGCCTCATGTAGAAACACCAACAACACCTCATGTAGACACCACAACAACACCTCATGTAGACACCACAACAACATCAATCACAACACCTCATGTAGACACCACAACAACATCAATCACAACACCTCATGTAGAAACCACAACAACACCTCATGTAGACACCACAACAACATCAATCACAACACCTCATGTAGAAACACCAACAACACCTCATGTAGACACTACAACAACAGCTCATGTAGAAACACCAACAACACCTCATGTAGACACTACAACAACACCTCATGTAGAAACCACAACATCAATCACAACACCTCATGTAGAAACACCAACAACACCTCATGTAGAAACCACAACATCAATCACAACACCTCATGTAGACACCACAACAACACCTCATGTAGACACCACGACAACACCTCATGTAGACACCACAACATCAATCACAACACCTCATGTAGAAACCACAACATCAATCACAACACCTCATGTAGACACCACAACATCAATCACAACACCTCATGTAGAAACCACAACAACACCTCATGTAGACACCACAACATCAATCACAACGTCTCATGTAGAAACCACAACAACACCTCATGTAGACACCACAACATCAATCACAACGTCTCATGTAGAAACCACAACAACATCAATCACAACGCCTCATGTAGAAACCACAACAACACCTCATGTAGACACCACAACATCAATCACAACGTCTCATGTAGAAACCACAACACCAATCACAACACCACCAACTACTACAACAACACCAATCACGACAATGCCTATCAACTGCTATATTTGTACATGGTCAGATTGGATCAACAATGACTACCCTCATCCAGGTCGAGAAGATGGAGATTATGAAACAATTGCAAATATTTCTAATCCAGATTTGAGTCGTTGTTCAAAACCTTTGGAAATTCAGTGTCGAGCTAAATTCTACAAGGACGTAGCTTTAAAAGACCTAGATCAAAAAGTAACATGTGACCCTACAATTGGGTTGATTTGTAATAACAAAGACCAAGATATTCCTCCCATTTGTTATGATTATGAAATACGTGTAAGGTGTTGTATTTACAAAGAAATCGAGGACTGCACAACACCACAAATTACAACACCATCAACTACATTGTCACTAATCCCAACAACACCTCATGTAGAAACCACAACATCTCGTGTAGAAATAACAACAACAATCACAACACCACAAACTACAACACCCAAAACACCATCAACTACAAAAAAACCCACAACAACACCTCATGTAGAAATCACAACAACATCAATCACAACAACGCCTCATGTAGAAACACCAACAACACCTCATGTAGACACCACAACAACAATCACAACACCTCATGTAGACACCACAACATCAATCACAACACCTCATGTAGAAACCACATCAACACCTCATGTAGACACCACAACAACATCAATCACAACACCTCATGTAGAAACACCAACAACACCTCATGTAGAAACACCAACAACACCTCATGTAGAAACCACAACAACACCTCATGTAGACACCACAACAACATCAATCACAACACCTCATGTAGAAACCACAACAACACCTCATGTAGACACCACAACAACATCAATCACAACACCTCATGTAGAAACCACAACAACACCTCATGTAGACACCACAACAACATCAATCACAACACCTCATGTAGAAACACCAACAACACTTCATGTAGAAACCGCAACATCAATCACAACACCTCATGTAGACACCACAACAACACCTCATGTAGACACCACAACAACATCAATCACAACGCCTCATGTAGAAACCACAACAACATCAATCACAACTCCTCATGTAGAAACCACAACAACACCTCATGTAGAAACACCAACAACACCTCATGTAGAAACCACAACAACATCAATCACAACGCCTCATGTAGAAACCACAACAACATCAATCACAACACCTCATGTAGAAACCACAACATCAATCACAACACCTCATGTAGACACCACAACAACACCTCATGTAGACACCACAACAACACCTCATGTAGACACCACAACAACATCAATCACAACGCCTCATGTAGAAACCACAACAACATCAATCACAACTCCTCATGTAGAAACCACAACAACACCTCATGTAGACACCACAACAACATCAATCACAACACCTCATGTAGAAACCACAACAACACCTCATGTAGACACCACAACAACATCAATCACAACACCTCATGTAGAAACACCAACAACACCTCATGTAGACACCACAACAACATCAATCACAACGCCTCATGTAGAAACCACAACAACACCTCATGTAGACACCACAACAACATCAATCACAACGCCTCATGTAGAAACCACAACAACACCTCATGTAGACACCACAACAACATCAATCACAACGCCTCATGTAGAAACCACAACAACACCTCATGTAGAAACCACAACATCAATCACAACGCCTCATGTAGAAACCACAACAACACCTCATGTAGACACCACAACATCAATCACAACAACACCGACTACTACAACAACACCAATCACGACAACGCCTATCAACTGCTATATTTGTACATGGTCAGATTGGATCAACAATGACTACCCTCATCCAGGTCTAGAAGATGGAGATTATGAAACAATTGCAAATATTTCTAATCCAGATTTGAGTCGTTGTTCAAAACCTTTGGAAATTCAGTGTCGAGCTAAATTCTACAAGGACGTAGATTTAAAAGACCTAGATCAAAAAGTAACATGTGACCCTACAATTGGGTTGATTTGTAATAACAAAGACCAAGATATTCCTCCCATTTGTTATGATTATGAAATACGTGTAAGGTGTTGTATTTACAAAGAAACCGAGGACTGTACAACACCACAAATTACAACACCATCAACTACATTGTCACTAATCCCAACAACACCTCATGTAGAAACAACAACAATGCCTCATGTAGGAACCACAACAACATCAATCACAACAACGCCTCATGTAGGAACCACAACACCACCTCATGTAGAAACAACAACAATGCCTCATGTAGGAACCACAACAACATCAATCACAACAACGCCTCATGTAGGAACCACAACAATGCCTCATGTAGGAACCACAAAAACATCAATCACAACAACACCTCACGTAGAAACCACAACACCTCATGTAGGAACCACAACAACACCTCATGTAGGAACCACAACAATGCCTCATGTAGGAACCACAACAACACCAATCACAACAACACCTCATGTAGGAACCACAACAACGCCTCATGTAGAAACAACAACAATGCCTCATGTAGACACCACAACAACATCAGTCACAACAACACCTTATGTAGAAACCACAACAATGCCTCATGTAGAAACCACAACAACGCCTCGTGTAGAAACCACAACGACACCTCATGTAGGAGCCACAACAACATCAATCACAACAACACCTCATGTAGGAACCACAACACCTCATGTAGGAACCACAACACCTCATGTAGGAACCACAACAACACCTCATGTAGGAACCACAACACCTCATGTAGGAACCACAACAACGCCTCATGTAGAAACCACAACAACATCAATCACAACACCACCTCATGTAGGAACCACAACACCTCATGTAGGAACCACAACAACACCTCATGTAGGAACCACAACACCTCATGTAGGAACCACAACAATGCCTCATGTAGGAACAACAACAATGCCTCATGTAGACACCACAACAACATCAATCACAACGCCTCATGAAGAAACCACAACAACACCTCATGTAGAAACCACAACAACACCTCCTGTAGAAACCACAACACCATCAATCACAACAACACCTCATGTAGGAACCACAACAACGCCTCATGTAGGAACCACAGCAACATCAATCACAACAACATCTCATGTAGGAACCACAACAACGCCTCATGTAGAAACCACAACAACACCTCATGTAGGCACCACAACAACATCAATAACAACAACACCTCATGTAGGAACCACAACAACGCCTCATGTAGGAACCACAACACCAATCACAACACCACCAACTACTACAACAACACCAATCACGACAACGCCTATCAACTGCTATATTTGTACATGGTCAGATTGGATCAACAATGACTACCCTCATCCAGGTCTAGAAGAAGGAGATTATGAAACAATTGCAAATATTTCTAATCCAGATTTGAGTCGTTGTTCAAAACCTTTGGAAATTCAGTGTCGAGCTAAATTCTACAAGGACGTAGCTTTAAAAGACCTAGATCAAAAAGTAACATGTGACCCTACAATTGGATTGATTTGTAATAACAAAGACCAAGATATTCCTCCCATTTGTTATGATTATGAAATACGTGTAAGGTGTTGTATTTACAAAGAAACCGAGGACTGCACAACACCACAAATTACAACACCATCAACTACATTGTCACTAATCCCAACAACACCTCATGTAGAAACCACAACAACGCCTCATGTAGAAACCACAACAACACCTCATGTAGACACCACAACAACATCAATCACAACAACGCCTCATGTAGAAACACCAACAACACCTCATGTAGAAACCACAACAACACCTCATGTAGGAACCACAACACCTCATGTAGGAACCACAACACCTCATGTAGGCACCACAACAATGCCTCATGTAGGAACCACAACAACATCAATCACAACAACACCTCATGTAGGAACCACAACACCTCATGTAGGAACCACAACAACATCAATCACAACAACACCTCATGTAGAAACCACAACACCTCATGTAGGAACCACAACACCTCATGTAGGAACCACAACAACACCTCATGTAGGAACCACAACAACGCCTCATTTAGGAACCACAACACCTCATGTAGGAACCACAACAACACCTCATGTAGGAACCACAACACCTCATGTAGGAACCACAACAATGCCTCATGTAGGAACCACAACAACATCAATCACAACAACACCTCATGTAGGAACCACAACAATGCCTCATGTAGGAACCACAACAACATCAATCACAACAACACCTCATGTAGGAACCACAACAACACCTCATGTAGGAACCACAACAACGCCTCATTTAGGAACCACAACACCTCATGTAGGAACCACAACAACACCTCATGTAGGAACCACAACACCTCATGTAGGAACCACAACAATGCCTCATGTAGGAACCACAACAACATCAATCACAACAACACCTCATGTAGGAACCACAACACCTCATGTAGGAACCACAACACCTCATGTAGGAACCACAACAACATCAATCACAACAACACCTCATGTAGGAACCACAACACCTCATGTAGGAACCACAACAACACCTCATGTAGGAACCACAACAATGCCTCATTTAGGAACCACAACACCTCATGTAGGAACCACAACAACACCTCATGTAGGAACCACAACACCTCATGTAGGAACCACAACACCTCATGTAGGAACCACAACAATGCCTCATGTAGGAACCACAACAACATCAATCACAACAACACCTCATGTAGGAACCACAACAATGCCTCATGTAGGAACCACAACAACATCAATCACAACAACACCTCATGTAGGAACCACAACACCTCATGTAGGAACCACAACAACATCAATCACAACAACACCTCATGTAGAAACCACAACACCTCATGTAGGAACCACAACACCTCCTGTAGGAACCACAACACCTCATGTAGGAACCACAACACCTCATGTAGAAACCACAACACCTCATGTAGGAACCACAACACCTCATGTAGGAACCACAACACCTCCTGTAGGAACCACAACACCTCATGTAGGAACCACAACACCTCATGTAGGCACCACAACAATGCCTCATGTAGGAACCACAACAACATCAATCACAACAACACCTCATGTAGGAACCACAACACCTCATGTAGGAACCACAACAACATCAATCACAACAACACCTCATGTAGGAACCACAACACCTCATGTAGGAACCACAACACCACCTCATGTAGGAACCACAACAACGCCTCATTTAGGAACCACAACACCTCATGTAAGAACCACAACAACACCTCATGTAGGAACCACAACACCTCATGTAGGAACCACAACAATGCCTCATGTAGGAACCACAACAACATCAATCACAACAACACCTCATGTAGGAACCACAACACCTCATGTAGGAACCACAACACCTCATGTAGGAACCACAACAACATCAATCACAACAACACCTCATGTAGGAACCACAACACCTCATGTAGGAACCACAACAACACCTCATGTAGGAACCACAACAACGCCTCATTTAGGAACCACAACACCTCATGTAGGAACCACAACAACACCTCATGTAGGAACCACAACACCTCACGTAGGAACCACAACACCTCATGTAGGAACCACAACAATGCCTCATGTAGGAACCACAACAACATCAATCACAACAACACCTCATGTAGGAACCACAACAATGCCTCATGTAGGAACCACAACAACATCAATCACAACAACACCTCATGTAGGAACCACAACACCTCATGTAGGAACCACAACAACATCAATCACAACAACACCTCATGTAGAAACCACAACACCTCATGTAGGAACCACAACACCTCCTGTAGGAACCACAACACCTCATGTAGGAACCACAACACCTCATGTAGAAACCACAACAACGCCTCATGTAGAAACCACAACAACTCCTCATGTAGGAACCACAACACCTCATGTAGGAACCACAACAACGCCTCATGTAGAAACCACAACAACACCTCATGTAGGAACCACAACACCTCATGTAGAAACCACAACAACACCTCATGTAGAAACCTCAACAACACCTCATGTAGGAACCACAACACCTCATGTAGAAACCACAACAACACTTCATGTAGGAACCACAACAACGCCTCATGTAGGAACCACAACAACGCCTCATGTGGAAACCACAACAACACTTCATGTAGGAACCACAACACCTCATGTAGAAACCACAACAACACTTCATGTAGGAACCACAACAACGCCTCATGTAGGAACCACAACAACACCTCATGTAGGAACCACAACAACACCTCATGTAGGAACCACAACACCTCATGTAGGAACCACAACAATGCCTCATGTAGGAACCACAACAACACCTCATGTAGGAACCACAACACCTCATGTAGGAACCACAACAACACCTCATGTAGAAACTACAACAACATCAATCACAACACCACCATCTACATCAACTCCCACAACAAAATCATCCACAACACCTCATGTAGGAACCACAACACCTCATGTAGGAACCACAACAACGCCTCATATAGAAACCACAACAACACCTCATGTAGGAACCACAACACCTCATGTAGGAACCACAACAACACCTCATGTAGAAACTACAACAACATCAATCACAACACCACCATCTACATCAACTCCCACAACAAAATCATCCACAACACCTTATGTAGAAACAACACCACCTTCAACAACCACAACATCATCAACTACAACAACATCACCAATCACGAAAACAACAATCACAACAACTCTCACTACAACACATCATGTAAAAACCACAACACTTGAAATTATAACAGGAACTACGGTGTCAACAACACGATTAATAGGTCCTGTTGTGAATGAAACTACAACACATCATGTTGTACCAGTAACAACACTCACAACCACACCTACAACAAACCCTCCGACGCACTCAACAAAAGAATCTACAGAATGTTCTTGCAAATACATGGATAAAGATTTCAAACCTGGTAAGCTGTGTTCTTTTACTCTATTTATTTGTAATGGCCTCCATTCCTAGAATGCAGCTGTTATGTTTTGCCAATAGACTCAGTATGACAACATGCCTTTGTCTTTTTCTTTGAAAAAATAATCGTTTTGATTTGTTAATCTTTTACTTTCAAACAGGAAGTCTTATTTACAATAAGACTGATGAAGCAGGCTGGTGTTTCACTGCGTACTGCAATTCAACATGTGGTGTTGTAAAACATTCCAGCCCATGTCACACTACAACTACCACCACACCACCATCAACTTCCACTACAACCCCGCTGACACACTCTCCAACTCCAAGAACCACTCAGCGACCTTCCAATGACTGCCTACTTCTAACTCCACCTAGAAAGGTACATTTTTATATAATTTACTGTTAGAAAATAGTACATTGGTGTAACATTGTTTTATCTGCCGGCATGGTATGGTTCAAATTAGAATTTAATTTCAAAAATTAGTATATGTTTTAGAGCAAGGCCTGCTGGTTACTCAGAGGATGAGAATCAGTTAAACAGGTGGTGGCACAGTTGCTTGATGGCAATGTTCCTCTCTTTGCCTTATATTTGGAACTGACAGGATAGGGTAGCATAGTTTTCCTTACCAGAAATCACCTTTCATTTAAGATATCAAAAATACTTTATCTATTGAACAGTTGGTTCAATCAAAAAGAAAAATGCTTTTAAAATGTAGAGAATCTGAACTTTTCCGCTCTGTGTCAACACACCTCACAGACGGGAAAAAATTGATTGGGCATATTCATAAATATGGTGTAAAGAGGACAAGGCAACAAATAAATTAGTCTGCAAACAGATAATCTTCAAATGTGGAATAGAGCCCTCTGTGCGTCATCCACTCACGGGCCGGCGCTGCACTGCCGGTGAACTATCAGAATATATAGCAGGAAGACTGGAGCACTCGGGTGAGTCTGAAAACATTTGTTAAGTTCAAGGAAAAGAAACTAATGCTTTGACATGGATAAAGACACATGTGGTGTTGAAACGTTGATGAATACCTTCAGACTTACCTGAGTGCTCCAGACTTCCTGCTTTACAGTTTATTTTCAAACACATCTTTGCTAAGTTTTTTAAGCAGATATGAATTATTTATTTCTGTTCTATAAAAATGCGTACTTTGCTAAAAGTATTAATTTGCTTCACAGAATGGTGAAACCTGGATTTCAAACAACTGCACCAAAGAAAAATGTGAAAATGGAAAACAAATCTCAGAATTTGTTAACTGTTCAACACCAACTGTTCCAGTTTGTGATAATGGACACCCACCAGTAAAGGTTTATGATGAAAATCACTGTTGTATTCAGTATGAGTGCACCTGTAAGTTCACATGAAAAGATTTAAGATTCCTCCCTGGGCTAAATACACCTGGTTTAACTTGTTATGTGATGTAAATCCTATGTTTGCAGGTGTTTGCTCAGGCTGGGGAGATCCTCATTACATTACATTTGATGGGCAGTATTACAGTTTCCAGAAGAACTGTACATACGTCTTGGTCCAAGAAATTGTGTCCCGATACAATTTTAAGGTTCTGATTGACAACGAGAACTGTGATGCCACTGGAGCTGTAACCTGTGCCAAAGCCTTGACTGTGTATTACAAAAACTATGTAATCATTCTTACACAAAAGAGAACTCCGAAAACTGTGAATATGGTAGGTAATGACAGAAAATCTGCCTGAAGTTGTGATTTCTTTTTTAGGCATTCAAATTGTAAGATTTTTTTTTTCACCTGTCACACTTGTTTAGGTGTACATCAATGGAGTAGAAAAAATCCCAACCATCTCCAACAACGACTTCACCATCACAAGCACAGGAATCCAGCTGTTACTGAAAATCCCCCTAATTAATGCTGTGATACAATTCAAAGGGCTTGTATTCAGTGTTGATGTGCCATTCTCACTTTTCCATGGTAACACAGAGGGACAGTGTGGTAAGCTCAAGATTCACACTCTGTACTAAAGTCACATTAAAATTCAATTAGGCATAACTCTAACCCATGTAACCTGAAAGATATAACTCTACTTGTGAAAAATATTAAAACAGACCAAAGGATTTAAACTAAATGTGACATTTATTCTCTTCACTGTTAAGACAGTAATAAAAATGGGTAAAAAATACTATTCTTTATACTATAAAATGGCTTCATTCTTCAATTTTGTCATTTTTATCACATCTAGAAGTCAGATGAACCCTTTTAATCTGCCGCCTTAGTGAAATAAATCATTTGAAATATTGCAAACAAATGCAAACTGAAAAAACTGAATCTGCTGCTTCTTTGCTCAGCAAGAGTGGCAGAAATACTCTTGTTATTGGAAGACCCCAAATCTGTAAAAATACAATTGGGAATTTTGAAAATCTTTTTCACATGCAGGATTGTAAATGTTGCAAATGCTTTTCTTTTGCAAGGTGTCTGTGACAATAAAAAGACAAATGACTGCAGATTAAGGGATGGCAGCATTGATCCATCATGCGTAATAATGGCGAATGACTGGCGTGTATTTGATGTCAATAAACCATACTGTGAGAAACTTCCTCCTCCTCCTCCTCCTCCTCCTCCTCCTCCATGCAAACCTGTTCTCTGTGAAATCATAATGAGCAGGTAAGAAATACTTGTATAAAAACACACAAATATTTTTTTCATACATAAAAACATGTAAATGTATTCAGCATCACAACTAGATTCATCTGCTTTTTTTAATCTCTCAACTTTTAAAGTGTGTTTAAGGAATGCCATGGAAAAATTGCACCAGAACCATATTACGAAGCCTGCAAATTTGACGTTTGCCACATGCCAAATTCCACCGTGGGATGTTCCAGCGTGGAGGTGTATGCCTTGCTGTGTGCTTCTGCATCTGTCTGTGTGGACTGGAGAAGCTCTGCAAATGGAAAGTGTGGTAAGTGTGGCTTTGGTGGGAAGAAACCTGTTGTTTTACAAAAAGGATTTTCATTAAACATTGATTTAAAAACTTTTTTGCAGATTTTAAGTGTCCAGAAAATAAAGTCTACCAACCTTGTGGTTCAACTGATGTACAAACATGTAATGCAAGGTAGGCTCTCTCGTGATTCTTTTAAACACTGTTTTGTTTGGGTTTTTTTTTTTTTTTTTTTTTTTTGGTCATGAGTGCAACAATGTGAATATAATCATGGTTAAATGCAGTCACATGTTCACCTGCTGACACTGAATGTATTGGATTTAAAATAAACACAAACAAGAGCTGAATGCAATTATTACTCTGGATCCCCTTGGATGAGAAATCAAGAAAAAATTTGCTGACTAATGGTTGACAAAATTAAAATCCAAGAGTATGTTCATAAATGCGGTTACATTCTTACTGCAGTTTATATGGTCAGTCAGAGTCTGCAGCAGCCATAAACAGTTAAGTCTGCCTACATAGGAGGCATTTTATCTCCTCAAGAGCTAAAACGCTAAAACAGTCTGAGTCAAGCGAAGTCAGTTAAATGATGATAAAAATATGCTTCAGAAACTGAATGTATTGTTAGTCAATAAGCTGCAAAACACAACATCTTTGAAGTGCATTTTGTTAAAGAGAAACAACTGGGTTTCTATCATGAGGGGACCTCAGATTTAGAAAATCAACCTATTTAAAATAGTTTTCAGCCAAATAATCGTGAATTCAGCTAACACACATGACATTGTGAACCATTTAACTTAGAACACAACATGTTTGCTAACTTACTAAGCAGTTTTGGCTTGCTGCAAGCACCCTCTAGTGTCTGTTAGGAAAAACAAAAGTAAAACTCCTCTCGTCGCTGTGCGTTCGTCTTTTTAACACCTTAAGCTAACTGCTGAACTGTCGCCTTAGCTGTTACGTCCTCTATTGGTGGACAAGGAGAAGGACAGAGAGTAACACAGAGGCAAGTGAGTCAGGTGTTAAAATTGTATACAATGATTTTATTAAAAGGATTTCAAAATTACAAAAAGCTCCAAATCTTAAAGTACTTAAAACACATTGTTAAAATGGCCAAGGGTTTACGTTTAAAACAGACATCCGAATGCTCCCAAACATTCACAATCAAAGTCCACTGACTTACACACAAGTTTGGGAGCCAAGAGGAAACCAGCACTCTGGTCCCTCGTCTGTTAAAAACCTCTAAAAGCTCTTTAGCTTCACTAAGCTTAAAGAACTAAAACCCATTTAAAAGCCATTAAAACACAAACAAATGAAGCACATGAGAGAACTGGCACAGATCCAGGCTCTCCCTTCCTCCTGGCAGCTCTCCCTTTTATGCTGCTCAGGAGGTGATAAGTAAGTGCAGCTGCGCAGGTAGGAGGAGGAGGCAATGCACTGATTGTCCTCTGCAGAGTCAGCTTTCTGGGACAGAACAGCAACAGCTGTAACATTAGCCTTCATTAGTTTCTACAGGAGCGATTCATCACTGAATCAAGCAAGTCAGTTGTGTTCGCAATCTAAAACATGCAGGAAATGAGCTGGAAGCAGGCTGCAGCGCCAGCATGTCAGCTCCACTTTACAAAGTCCAAAAGGAACCGGACCGGCAACTCTGAAGTTGCAAGTGCGGCTTTCTGGCCACAGAGGCTGGTGGGGTCGGAGTAACATTTCATTAACCTTGTCAATGGTCATTTTAGAACACACTGGCTCAAGAAAATTATTAAAAACTTTGAAAACGTTACACAGTAGATCTGTAACTGTTATCTTTTTCTGTTTTCAGATTCAACGACAAAGTTGATCAATCCTGCAGCCAAGGGGAAAGAGGTTGCAAAAAATTCACAGAAGGGTGTTTCTGTCCTGAGGGAAAGACCCTGTTCAATCCAACCTCAAACATCTGTGTCTCTGCATGTAAGGAAGTTTTTTTTTATTCATTTTTAAATCAAAACAATTAAACACGAATCTTTGTGGAAGGATGTTTAAGTAAAACTGGTTATTTTTACAACTGAAGGCTGCACTGGACCTGCTGGGGAACCAAAAGAGGTAACTAGTGCAAGACTCACACGTATTACTCCCAATGTGTTGGTGGCTGTATGACATTTTCCTTGTTCCATCAAACAGATTGGAGATAAGTGGACAAGCAATTGTCAGCAGTGTGTTTGTGACAGGAGCTCTTTGAGCGTCTTGTGCACGCCTCTGTCATGCCCAGCACCAAAACCAATAAAATGCACCGAGGACGGCGAGGTGTTGGTAAACAAAACAGTTGACTGCTGTCCAAATCTGTCATGTGGTGAGTCATTTCATAAAAAATATACAACATATTTATTCAAAACAGGTATTAGTTCATTTGTGTTGAGATGCTTACATCTTTCCAGGATTTTATTTTGGTCCAGCAGGGACAACACGGGCAGTTGTTCTGTCTAAAAATGCAAATTAGTGTCAGTAGATTTAGTTCTTGACACGTTTTCTTAAAATAATGGCGATTTTTATTTTTTAATTCACAAAAAAAAAAAAGTTTTATTTTTTGCCCACCAGAGTGCAACAAGGACCTTTGTCCAGTACCGATGCAGATTTGTTCTCCTGGTTTTGAGCCTCATGTCACCGTCTCTAATGACACCTGCTGCCCTGTCTACAGCTGCGGTAGGCTTTTTGTTTGTATGTCATTGACTTAAAATACATGTTACAAAAACTTCAAAATTAAACTCCGTTTTGATGTAATTATACTCATCGGTTTTGTTTCATGCAGTACCCAAAGGCGTTTGTGTCTACAATAATACCGAGTACAAGGTAGGAACTGATAAATGCATTTGCATTGTTCTCTGCTTTAAATTTATTACTAAAAAATTTTCACAGTAGTGTGAAACAAAAAAACTTTTTATGTTTGTTTGCAGCCGGGCTCAAACTTCTTTAAGAGCCCATGTGAGCCATGCAGCTGCAGCAGCAAACAGGATCTCAGCAGCAAGCTGAACATCTTTAAGTGTGATGTGATCCATTGCTCCAACACATGTGAAAAGGTGCTTCTGCATTAAATCAGTTCAAGTTTAGGACAGATAGGTTGCATGTTGAACAAAAAAAACAAAACAGATAATGTGATTAGTATAAGGAACAAAATTATGCTCTTGCTTTATTTTCACAATCATACCCCTAGTTTGTGTCTGACACAAAAACGTTTTCAAGTTATGTCTTAATTGATCTGTACTCATGGTTGATTGTTTTAGTCTGGCTTCTGATACTTAAAACGGATCTGTTCTTTGTTTTAAACAGGGCTATGTGCTTGTAGATCGTCCTGGACAGTGCTGTGGATCCTGTAAACAGGACAGCTGTATATTTAATGTTCCCGGCAGCAACTCTCCAATTATTCTGAAGGTAAAAAAGCACGAATCAAAAAGATTTCAACAAATCTGTAACCCTAAATGTGACATGAAGTAGGATGTATATTAACAATTCTCCCCATCTGACAGCCTTCACAGTCGTATTCACCACCCAGTGACAAATGCATCAACTATGATTGCCAGAAAACGAAAGAAGAGTTTGTAGTTTCTATAAACAAAACAATATGTCCAGACTATGATCCAGACAACTGTGTCCCAGTGAGTATCGTCTAGACCTGTGACAGCAGCTCACAGATGACAGAGATTTGATCTTTCAGAACTGAAATAAAGATAACTTTTGTGATTCATGTAAATAATGATTTTCTGTTTTCTCACACAGGGAACAGAGAAAAGTGATGCAAATGGATGTTGCAAATCTTGTAAGTACACGACTATGATAAATATAAATGTTTTAAATGTTATATGTTCATGTGTTGTAACACATAAAATAGACCCCTATAAAACCTACATTGTGGGTTTTTATGTAAATCCCTGTATTCTGATGAATTACTGTCCTTTCCTGTGGTTTAGCTCACAGCTAGTAACAGTAGCTGTTAAAAAGTGAGTCAGTGAAAGAAAACAGATGCAGTTGATTTGACTGTAGACTTTCAACATTTGCACATTTATCCACCTATCCATCCATTTTGGACTGCTTATTCGGGGTCGGGTTGCAGGTGCACTAGACCAGTGCTTCCCAACCCTGGTCCTCAAGGCCCACGATCCTGCACATTTTCCATGTTGTCACCAGTATTTCCCTGCTGCCATACACCTGACTTAAATGAATGAGTGATTAACAGGAATCTGCAGCACCTGATGTCCTCTTGAGGAGGGAATGTAATTCAGGTGTACTGAAGCAGAGACATGGAAAACATGCAGGTCAGTGTGCCCTAAGGACCAGGGTTGAGAAACATTGCACTAGGCTAAGCAGGGAGGCCCAGACTTCCCTTTCCCAAGGCACTTGGGCCAGCTACTCCTGGGGAATCCCAAGGCGTTCCCTGGCCAGCAGAGAGATGTAGTCCCTCCAGCGTGTCCTGGGTCTTCCTTTGAGTCTCCTGGTTGAACGTGCTCTGAAAACCTGACCCGGGAGGCATCCTAATCAGGTACCTGAGCCGCTTCAACTGGCTCCTCTCGATATGGAGGAGCAGCGGGTCTTCTTCAAGCCCCTCCCTGAGAACTGAGTTTCTCACCCTATCTCTAAGGGAGAGCCCAGACACTCTGAGGAGAAAACTCATTTCAGCCTCTTGTATCCATGATCTCGTTTTTTTGGTCACTACCCATAGCTCGTGACCATAGCTGAGGGTAGGAATGTACATCGACTGGTAAATCGAGAGCTTTGCCTTCTGGCTCAGCTCTCTCTCCACCACGACAGATCGGTACAACACCTGCATCACTGCAGATGCAGCACATTTGTACAATCAAAAATAAAAGTGAACCTTTAAACCTGGTGATTCACCTGCAGCTGTGTTCTCCAGGTAAAACTGTTCTTGTGTTTGCAGGTACTCCTCGCTACAGCTGTCAGCTGAACAGGACCACCACCTACCTGAAGACTAAAGATTGCACATCGACTGTTCCTGTGGAGCTCACAGCCTGCGAGGGATCATGTGGAGACTCCTGGTCAAAGTAAGATTCATAAAACGATATCCAAAAAATATGCAGCTGAAATTATTCACTCATTAAAAAAAGGACCCGAAAGCAGTGGCCTGACACTAAAACTGTTCATTTGCAGGTACTCAGCAGAAGCCAACGCTGTGATGCATTCATGTTCCTGCTGTCAAGAGAAGACCACCAGCATGAAGAAGGTGGACATGCTGTGCTCTAACGGCAACAGAATCAGTCACTCCTACATCTCAGTGGACAGTTGTGGCTGTGAAGTCGCTAAATGTAAAGAGAACAGCAAACGTTGATGTGAAACCTGAAACATTAAAATGTGTGGAGACAGTTACAAAATATTTTAAAAGTTCTGGAAGAGCTAACATGGAAATGCATTGAAATGCTCAGGTGTGTGAGTATTAAACTAATCAAAAAGGGGCTGGGGGTGCAGGTTAAAGTTATTTTTTAAAGCTTTTTTTCCAACTATCATTCTTTTCTTTAAACCATAATATTACGTTTCTGTATCTTGTTTCAAACTTTCAGCGTCAATAAATTTCTAATTGCATCGTAATCTTTGTGTTGATTTATTTTTTATGGTTTTTTTTTTTTAGATGCTCCAAATAAATGCCAGTTAGGTGTCTTGTATTCAGGTTGTAGTTTTGGACCTGAGCTCCTTCGGGACAAACGTATGATGCTGATGTGAGGAACCTTTCTGTTACTGTGGACAAGTCTGTCCTTTAATGTCATATGATGCAACTTTTTCATGTTTTGAAATCATTTTCGTGAGCCAGTATGTGCAAAAATGACCCATTACAGGGTTAATGAATAGTCACTCAACCCCCCACCACCCTCTGTGGCCAGAATATTGCACTTGCAATTTCAGAGTGGCGGTCGAATCCCTGTTGGATTTCTTAAAGTGGGGCTGACATGCCTGGCACTGGAGTCTGCTGACTGCATGTTTAAGATTGCGAACACAGCCAGTTTGTTTAATTTAGTGATGAATCACTCCTGTAGACACCAATGAAAGCCAAAGAGACATTTCAGCTGTTAGATTAAGGTGTTAAAAAGACAAATGTATAGCGAGAAGATAGTTTTAACTTTGGTTTTACTAACTGAGCACTAGGAGGTGCTAAAGGCAAGCCAAAACTACTAAATCTCCCATTAACGCTCATCTGACAAGTTACTAAAACTGCCTTTTTCAGTGTGCATAATTTTACCTAAATGAGCAACATCCTGACCCAACAGATAAGAAAAGCTACTCTGTGCATTTATTACTTCAGAACTTGATTACTGGAATTCTGTCTTTTGGAGTGTTTGAAAAAACTCTCAGAGACCTCCAGCTGACCCAGACTGCTGCTGCCAGTTATCTGATGAGAGTTAACATGACAGATCTGATGTTTTCCCTGTTTTAGCATCACTTCAGTAGCTCTCTGTAATATGCAGAACTGAATTTAAGATTCTACTGTTTCAGCAAGATGTGACATATCTTCTGTAAGTCGGTTGTGGAGAGCGCAATCCCATCTGCAGTCATCTGTCGGGGAAGCAACATCTGAGCTGGTGGTGATTAAAAAGCGGATGAAGCTGATAAAGAAGGCTGGATCTGCTCTGGAGAGCAATAGGATGTTTCATGAAATGAAGAACATGATGGACAACCCTGCATAACCTCTTAACCCGCTTAGTGCTTTTTTTGTGCACAGGGAGCAGAAAAGTTAGAAAATTAAAGGGTTATATGAGGGTTAACAAAGCAGCAATTAAACAACAGTTTTTAGACATAAACTTCTTCTTTTTATGTTCCCATTTAAACCTGAAGCACACATGTAATAAATGATCAGCTGCTGACAGACCTGAAATTGAGCATTTTCTCCCTTCATGCCCTTCTTCTTTGTCCCTCTACTCCGAGCCCCTCCTCCTCCTCAACGTCCTTTCTCAGCTGCTTCTCCTCCATCATCTCTTAATGTTGTTCTCAGCTAAGCTTCCCCAAGTTGAGCCTTCAGATTTGCATTTCATGCCACAACAGGTTCTGAGTTTCTTCTTTTAATCTGACCTCTTCACAAAATAAATGCCAAACATGTTTGAGATCAGAGGTTAAAATAATTAAAAGTCCACAATCTGAGTTAGACGAATGCAATACTTGACAAAAAGTCTAAAATTGTTCTTCACTTGGGTGGCAGAGGCACAGGAGATAAATGCCTGTCCCACCTGTTGCAGTTGATGTGTTCTTGGACAAAACATTTAACCCACCTTGCCTACCAAATATTTATTGTGTGGTTTGAATGCTTATATTGTGGTACATAATGAAAAACTTTTCCATTTTTGTTCATTCTTTTTACATTATCAGTCAACACAAATTCCTTTAGAAAATGCCGTTTAATGGATTTTCAACAAATGTTGTAATGTCATAACATAGCCACAAGAGGATGACAGCATTCCAAATGAATCTGAAGCTAAGGCAAAGGTTACACTTTAGGATCACACTGATTTGCACGTTTGTCCTTGATAAATGAAAAAATTTTCTAAAATGTGATTGATTATTACATGATTTAAAAATGACAATATGTTAGCATGTCTCCTGTTGCATTATTAATCTATATGTGAGCTTCAGTGTCAAGAATCAGAAGCCTGTAAGGGTCTGAAGATGATGGGGCCCTAAAATGTTCTCTACAGCTGGATGCTCAAAAAAAGTGCAAATAAATAAGAAACAGCATGAATATGAATGTAATTGAAATCGAATAGAAATAGAAAATAACATCAACCTTCTAAGACAAATTAAATATTTTACTATAGCATTTAGCTTTCTTTATGCATTTTGTTTCATTTAGTAACGTTTTGTGTTTAGAAGCAGCATCTGGCTGCAGACGGGTACATTTTAATATTAAAACTGTTACTGACCGGAACCAATAATTTGAGTGTTTTGTTGCACCGGAATCTTTTAAGTGTAGAACAACGCTGGGCAGTTATGTCGCCGGTGCTGAAGTCAGATCGTCCACTGTTCGAGTAGTTAAATTTTCATAAATAAATTCTCTCCTCGGTTATTTCAGTCTAAATACGTCGTATTACGATAATGTATTCTGTTAAAACTACGTAATTGTTCCAGGATTGATCGGTTTTGAGGTAAAGTAAGTTTCCTTCCGACTCCCCCCTCAGGCTTTTTCTTTTCTTCACTGTTAGCTAACATCAGGCTACATTCATAAGCTGAAACCGAGTGTGTAACATGAGATATCTCGGTTTTAGGTGGTAGAACATATATATTTAGGACTGTCTGGTGCGGTGAACTGGAGTTTATATCCGTTTACACGTCTATTACAGAGTGCTCAAATGCGGTAGTCAAGTCTCGATGCTGCTGTTTGCAAATCAAGTAACGTGAACGTTTATGAGTTAATGAACGGTTTTTTTTTTGTTAATGTAGCTTTTAAACCTTTGATCCGTGTTTAATTATCATTTTCTGTTGTTTTCAGTCACCTGTTTGAGCCATGGCATCTCTGTCAGAGGAAGTGCTTCTGGTGGTGAAGAAGGTTCGCCAGAAGAAGCAGGATGGCACACTGTATCTGATGGCTGAAAGAATAGCCTGGGGTCCAGAGGGGAAAGATCGATTCACAGTCAGCCACTCATACTCAGACATCCGCTGTGAGTCCCTGTTGTCATAAAGTCTCACGCTGCTAGACCCCTGTGTACCGGTGGGACTGTAAAGGTGCATGTATCTGTTGCTCTGTGCAGGTCAGAAGATCAGTCCTGATGGTAAAGCCAAAGTTCAGCTTCAACTGGTCCTTCACACTGGTGAGAGCACCACATTCCACTTTGCCAATGAAAGCACCTCACGTAAAGACTGGGAAGCTGCCAAGGAACTGCTGCAGCAGCTACTGCCAAAGTTTAAGAAGAAAGCCAACAAGGAGCTGGAGGAGAAAAACAAGTAAGACTGCTGGATACTTCACCCAGAATTTAAGCCTGCAACATTTATTACACATCTGTCACTACAGAACTCCATCATATGCATAAGCAATAAGAAAATTCTATAGTCAGTTTTTAAAATAAACTTATATTAACTACATAAATTGAAACTAGTGATGCACCGATATGAAATTTTTGGGACGATACCGATATTTGATATAAATATCACTGTTATGGCCGATAACCAATATTTGCCGTTACCAATATACTGACATTAATGCTTCTAAAATCAGCATGTTTTGTATAGAATGAAGATTACTACATTTTAATTTATGTTATTTACACACACCACACACATTTATGCATGTGAGATTACAACCACTGTCACAGAACTAAATAAATGCACATCATCACCCCCATCGGCTATTACCGATATTAATGCAGATATATTGTGCATCCCTAATTGAAACATTTCAGATTTCTAAAGAATAATTTTAAAAAACTATCGGAGTTTATTTATTTTTAAAAGAACATATTTTCACCAAATTTGGTTTTATGGTCTAATATAGATTTTTGTACTTCTCTAACCTACCAATACTGATTTTAGCCTTTTTTATTTTTTTCCATTTTAAAAAGCTATAATTAACAGTTTTTAATGTGCTTTTATTCCTTTCTTAATCCCCAAGTTTTTAAAATCACAATAAGCAGTTGTGGGGTTGATCTACAGATGGGGGAAACAATCGCATTTTTAACCAGTCAGATTTAATTTTTCTGATCTTTACCTGATATTTTACTCCGTTCCAATTCAGATTTTATAAGAATAACTCACAAAATGTTATTGGAGTGCTTTATTTTCATTGCTTCATGTCTTAGCACTGCAACCGCAGTTTAAATAACAGCAACATGGTCATTCATTCCCCATTTTTCCCAGCATTAGATGCTTAATTTCCTGGCATCTGGAAGATAGTTTTTCCTATTTAATCACAAACAACCATAATGTACAACAGCCGAATTCCACAGGCTGCTACATTTTCTGTTTTGTTCGTTTTGGCTCTTGTTTCAGCCAAGACAAATACAGTTTTGTTAAATGAGTAATTAATACAGACATCATGTTGACAAATAAAACATTTGATTAACAAAAAAACAGCTTTTGAGTCCTAACAAAACATTAATAACATGTTTGTTTAAATTTTCCTGTCTAATAACTCTCCCAAAAAACTTCATTTTGCTATTGTAGCCTGAGGACAAGACCTGGATTATCTTGTGCACATAAGCAATGTGTTGGGGGGGATAACTTTTCATTTTAATTAGCCTCATCAACAATGATTGCAAACAAACAAAATGAATGACTGAGAATAAGTTAGGCAGATTAGCCCGCGGCTCATTTGAAGAAAACGTTTTTTTGGGGTTTTTAATTTCTCTGGAACTGAAAATCCGATCATTTAAAAAATGAACTGGGATCAAATCCACTCATTCAGACATTATTATTACATACAACAATGATTAGAGAGAGGCTAAACAGGTAAAGCTAAGAAAGTTTCAGGATTGGCCATGTTTGCAGAGCAGTGTGTGAATAAAAATAAAAACCTAAATAAGGGAAATGGTCTTAAGTGTGTGTATGTTAAAACAACTAGAAGAGAGCTGTGTGGAAACAAATACCCGCTAACTTCACTGAGTAGAAGGATTGTAGTGGAGTGAGCTGAATTTTCTTCGTAATTACAGGAGAACAAAATCATAAAGAAGAATCCTTCAAGTTATTGCTGCCACAGATGGCTCTACAAGCTGTTTTTGATATCAGATGATAATAGGGCTGCACAATATATCAAAAAATTATCATCATCGCGATAACAGGACGTGCGATAGGCCCATCGCAAAGCACGTCAAAAACGGCGATAAATGTTTGGTTCAACATTTCCGTCCGTGTCATACGTCAACTTTTTGTATACCAGCTGTTTTTTACGCGGAAGTATTATTTGACCAATCAAATGTAGCCCTTCTGATATGCGACCAATCAGATGTGTCCGTTCACGTAATACGCCCGCCCCCTATGTAGACCCTTAGGATGGAAAAAAACACCCGAACATTAGCGGCGCCGTTCCCTTGTTCGCCATGCTGGCTCAGAGCAACGGACGCATTTTGTGCTGAGGTTTCTGGAATCAGCGCTGCTTTCAAACGTGAACGTGAGCCTGCTCGGTGTTGTTAATCATGTTTACCGGGCTGACTCCAACACGTGCCGGTGAACCAACCCACCTGCATGTCGCTAGTGTTCCACCGGGTGGTGATGTTAGCCCCAGGCTCCGGTTAGCTTCCAGCTAAAAGGCTACAGCACTCTCCTCCCAATCCCACCCTGCTAAAGAGGGCCTGGAAAAGTTCCCCCACACATCAAAGTGATTTTTTATTTATGAGCTTTTATAACCTTGTTAATCAGGATAGTTGATTTGCTGCTGCACATAAACTGTCAGTCAGAAGCTCTGCTAGCCGGTTATCTTTAATTGCCATGAGCAATTACAATAAAGTCTATTCTATCTTAGAGAAGCTAGCTAGTTCAATTTGTTAGCTTGCTATCAGAATCACAGTTAAAGTTTCATCATCTGAGCTGCTTTTTAAGATCTAGGTAAACTTGTTCAATTTGGGGTTAAAAACAGACGTTTTCACATATTTTCCATGTAGTTTTTTGCCAGTTCCTCTTCTGAAAGGTTTTCTCTTTCCCTCAGAAAATATTCTCCTAGTTTGGCCCAGCACAGTTCACTTCACCAATTACAGTAACAGTCTTATATCATAACCACATAAGTGGAGAAAATGCTCAGTAGCTATGAGAGAATTTGCTGTTGCATTTAAGTGATGTCAACTATTATTTAACTTTTAAACATATTTTCTGATTTTTTTTTATTCAAAAAACCCTGCTAAGGGATGTTTTTCTGTATTTGGAGCATCAGAAAAAGTTTTATGGTGGTGGTGATGTTTTAAAGTCACTGAGAAACTGCATGCATGCAGTTTGTTGTTTTGCTGCTAATACAGTAGCAGGTGCAGCTGCTTATACAGTAGCAGGTGCAGCTGCATATTTTTGCAATAAAATGTTATGTTGTAATGGAATTCATGCATTAGTTTTTGTTTGCTTTGAACCCAGAGCAGACGTCACACGCCAGACGACATCAACACTGCATACTTTAGTATTTGTTCATTTATTGTGAGTAATATCGATATCGCAATATTAAGCACTGTTATCGAATATTGTAGGTTTTCCTAATATCGTGCAGCCCTAGATGATAATATTCAGATCTTTAAAAGTTGCATTAACCTTTTTAATTATGACTGTAGCACCTGCTCCTTCAACAAAATGTGTCTAACTGATCCTTCAGGATGCTTCAAGAAGATCCTGTGCTTTTCCAACTGTATAAAGATCTCGTGGTGAGCCAGGTCATCAGCGCCGAAGAGTTTTGGGCCAACAGGTTAGGAGGCATAAACAACGGAGAATCTGCAGCGTGCGAAAATAAACAGGAAGTCGGTATATCTGGAGCGTTTCTGGTGAGTATGTTCATCCTGATGCGATCAGGCCTCGTGCTTCATCATTTCAGTTTTAGCCTCATGCATATTAAAATCTACCTGTTGTTTTAATGCTTCACAGGCTGACATCAGACCTCAGACTGATGGCTGCAACGGGCTGAGATATAATCTGACCGCGGATATTATTGAGTCTATTTTTAGAACATATCCTGCAGGTAAAGCGTTACATAAAAACGCCTTTTTTTACTGCTAGTTTATTGTTATTATTAATATTTTATAACAGCTTGAAGTCCCATGTGTTTATACGAGCTCGTATTTTACTTGCAGTGAAGCAGAAGTACAAAGAAAACGTGCCCCATAACTTGACGGAGAAGGAGTTCTGGACTCGCTTTTTCCAGTCCCATTATTTTCACCGAGACCGCATCAGCACAGGAACGCAGGATATCTTCTCAGAATGTGCCAGGCAGGATGAGAAAGGTTGATCATTTTTCCAGCAATATAATATCAATTCATGCTGAATAATAAAAATGATTGATCCACAATAAATTTTTACTATCTGTTCTGCAGGGTTGAAGTCTCTGGTGACCCAAGGAGTGAAGAATCCGATGGTTGACCTCTTGTCACTGGAGGACAAAACACTAGATGAGGTGAGAGAAGTCAGAAGGAGTCTTGTGACACAATTTTTTTTTCTACTTGAGTTAAAAAAACTTTTTATTTTTTTGTGACTCAGGGTTACGGAATCAGCTCAGCTCTGCCATCAACCTCTCACGCAAGCAGGACAGTAAAGGAGAGCAGCAACTTTGCTATTATAAAGAGATTTAACCACCACAGTGCCATGGTGCTGGCAGCAGGTTCACGCAAAAGGTGAGGAGCATTATTTTAGCTAAACAAAAAGAACAAATGAATAGCTTTATTAATATCTTTAAACTAATCACAGTTTATTTATTAAGGGATGTGCCCGCCGACCAAGCCAGTGAGACAAGCAGCACAGACGGAAACTCCAGGGATTCTGACTTCTTTCAGCCTCCTCTAAAGAAAGTAGGATGGCTCTGAAAACCTGCAGATTTGCCACAGAGTTCATTTAATCAAAGGTTGACGTGCTAATGATGTGATATTTATTTTCTTCATAGGTTAAGTTACAAGAAGCCATAGAATATGAGGATCTGCAACAAGAAAACAGACCCAAAACAGTCGCGTTAAACCTGAAGAAGTCTGACAGGTAGACTTTAGTTTTTGTGTGTGGATCGCTCATAATCTTAAAGTAATGCATGCTTTGAAAGTTCTTGTTTAAACTCCTGAATGTAGATTTCTTAATTTCTAACATTAGGTTTTATGAAAAATTCTCTTTAGTATAGTAATTTTTATGTTTTAAAAGTCTCTTACTGCCTGTTTAGATTATTTTTGCTGCACAGTTGGACTCAAATGCAACAAAAACGTTGAGTTTGTACTCATCCTTCTGTTTTGAACCAGGTACGCTCACGGACCTGTCCCACTTCAGTCCCAACAGTACACAACCAGCCAGGACATCATCAACTCGGTCAACTACATCAAACATGAGATGTCTAATTACAAACCCAACCTCACTCAGGTGGATCACGAATGATTCTTCTGTGTCTTTGTCATGAATTATTCTATTTGAAGAGTGTAAATCTTGGTGAAACTCACCAGATGTTTTCACTTCTTTACCAAATTGGATCACTGAAAACTAACACAACACAGTTTGAGAACTACAGATTGAGAAGTCATCTTTAAAAAGAGTTTGGAGACGTGCACCAAGGATATTTGGCAGCTTGGGCACTTTAACACAATTTAAAGGTGTGAACATGAACACCATGTTCAGCGCTTTGGGCTTCCTGACAGGGTTGCAGAAGGCGCTCTATAAATAAAGCTTTGATTGATTGATTGCTTGATTGATTGATTGATTGATTGATTGATTGATTAAAGTAATTCCAGCATTTTGAATGAAATATAATGAAGAAAAAAAGAACAAAATATGTTTATTCATCGTAGTTTAGTGCCAGTGGTTTGTTCTTTGAGATAAGATTCAAGATAACAAATATGCATGTGCTCATTATTTCAGAACCAGAAAATATAATCAAATAATATTTGCATAGCTTTTGCAGCCGTCTGGCTTTTTAACATGTTTTAAAACAATTCAAGATTTGACTGTTGTTACAAATTCAGAACTAAGCAGAATTATTTTTAACATTATTTAAAATAAAAGTCTATAATCTTGCATACATTTCGTTTTTAAGGTGTTGTCCAGTGCAGCAGCTAGTTCTGCTATTGCAGCACTCTCTCCAGGAGGTGTCCTCATGCAGCAGGTTGCACAACAAGCCATAAACCGTAAGTGGACCAACAATACGCAGAGATCTTATGTGGTGTGTAGACCTGGGCTTGTGTGATGGACGGTGATGTCTTCTCTCTACCACATACAATCGTAGCTTAATGTCTGCAAAATTAAATGAATTGTTGTCTTTTTTGTGTTTGCTGAATTGAGTTTGATGTCAAAACAGTTACTTTCTGCAAGCTTCATCAAAGTGCATGGGGTGGTTCATTACGTATTTTTGCCATCAGCTGATAATGATAGAGTTCACATTAATTCTGATTCCAGAAATGGTTCCTACTGAAATTCAAGCTGAGTTGAAACACCTTTATGTTGCTGCTGGAGAGTTATTGAGACACTTCTGGACCTGCTTTCCTGTCAACACGGCGTTTTTAGAGGAGAAGGTGACTGAAATTCAAATTTTAAAAGTCATTTAACTCAATTTCCAACAGTCATAGCAGTAGATAGACTAGACCTCTCATTAAAAACTGCCTACAGTCACACTCTAGTTCAGGAAACTACATTTTGGTGCTGTTTTTTTTTTTCTACACAGGTGACAAAAATGAAGTCAAACCTGGAGAGATTTCAGATTACCAAGCTTCGTCCTTTTCAGGAGAAAATCCAGCGTCAGTACCTAAGTACAAATGTAAGTATCTGAACATTTTAAAGTGAAACCTTTGCTATGTTGAACTTTTATTAAGTCTCTGATGTTCCGACAGCTTACGGGACACTTGGAGTGCATGCTGCAAGCCGCCTATAGCAAGTTCCACATCTGGCAAACCCGCAGGATGATGAGGAAGACCTGATCTGTAGTTGTTTGTCCAGGAGAAAGACTTTGAAGTGTTGATAAATTACTTGTGATGGCTCTCTATGCCGTGAGAGGACCACAGCCCATTAGAACATAGTTCACAAGGGCTTAAAATGGAAAGCGAGGGATGCTGCTAAAACCCCAAGTGTTCAGCAGAGAGTAACTGCACCCCAGTCTCAAATAACTCTAGTTTCAGTCTTTTCTATTTATTTTTCAGTGGTTAAGTGTTGTCTGCCTGTAAGAGTTCAGCAGGACTTTTAAAATGGCCAAACTTCAGCTGATAGTCATGCAAACAGCCTCAAGGACGCTGAGAGAAGAGATGCAGGCAGGGGTGGCTGGTGAGTTTCATCAGTGCTGAGGCACAAAACTCTCCTCTGAAAACGGGTGACGCGGAAAAGGAAGAGAGGATGCAACTATAGCAATACTGTAAAGACGTTTCACACTCGAGTGCTTTAGTGTGTCAAAGGAAATCATTGGTTTATAAACTCTGCACTACCTGTCTGCACTGAAGACAACAGTACAAGATTAAAGTGAGGTATTCCGCTTTGTATTAAAATGCAGTATTTCATCACACATTTCTGTATTTAGTTCAAACCCTAATTCATTACATTTGAATTTAATCACCTAAAACGTGTTTGTGTGCTGCCTTTCATCCTGATCTACAGCTGTGGGTTATTCGATCTGGTGTTTTGATTCAGTTTGTAACCAGACTGATTGACGCTTCCCGAGAAGCTGAGGAAGCTGGCGCTGCTTTCAGGAAGTGCCCTCTCATCAGCTGAGAGGGGCTGTCAGTCACGGGGGCGTCAGGCGGACTTTCTCCACAAACCCGGAGTACGTAGAAAAGACATTTAATGGGGTTTTAGGAGGCGGTAACGCAGGAGAGCGGCTCCGTGTGTCCGGTGAGTCCAGCGGACCAACCCGCTGCTTCAGCGTTAGCATGTTGGCTAACTGTTTCTGTGCTGTTTGGGAGGCGAGTCAGGAGCCAAGCAGCCATGAGGTGTATGGTTATTAAAATAATTTGTCACACTAGAGAAAATGTTTGAGAATATCTGATTTTTACGTGGTGTCATTAGTTTTTAGAGCTAGGTTAGCCTAGCAGGGCTAACAGACGCGTCCGCTGGTCTCGTGATGCGAGCTGCCAGGAATCAACGACTCGCCTCTTCTAAAACCCAAAACGCTTTAATGTGTTAAAGTTTAGTACAACTAGACCATTTAGCGGCTGTTCGAACGTCATGTGCGGCTGTTCGGGGCTTTTTTTTTAGTTAATATTGATGGAATATTAACTCTTAGCTAGTGCCCTCACATCTGCTTAATTACCTCAGTTTAGCACAGTTTACCTCATGTTTACCTAGGAACTATTGAAAAAAAATCCCTCAATTTTGAAATAAAATCCTAATAAAAAAGATCAGATTGTGTGAAATGTGTTAAAACTGTTGTGACTTGTAAGTGTAGTTTAGTAACACAAGTCAGAAGTAATTTTGAGTCATTTAGAAAATTATTCTGGAAGCTTTTATTTTTATTTTTTTTGTACTCGTTTATAAAAGAACTACAAACTTGTTGATAGTCCCTAAGCGAACCACCGTTCCCATTAGCGAGTCCTCGGAACTCAGGTTACCGCTGTCTGTGCCGCAGTGCACGGCATGAAGACTTTATGGCTGTCGAATATCCAACGTCCAACTTTAAACTAACTTCACCGCGGTCAGTTTAGCTCTGACTCCTGTTTGAGTGTTTTCTTTTAGTTCAATACTTTTTACGAAAATATTGTGTATGTACAGTGGTATTAACCCAGCAGTTGCTGGGTAAATAACGAGTTTTTTTTTTTGTTTTGTTTTGTTTTACAAAAATTGTCTCATTTATTTTGACACATCAAGGGTTTTTATATCAGTAAACTTTAAGGATTTCAGATTAAGTCAGCTTCTATGTTTCTTATCATTTTCTAAATTTACGCATCAGAATGTGTTTTAGTTAGTTTAGGATAAATGTTAAACACCAGCTGATTAACAGCATGGGAGGGGTTTAGTAGAAAAACAGTTCCAGCTCATGTACTTTTATAATTTATAGCAATAAAATACTTAAAACAGTTAAATATACTCCATTTACTGTGTGTGCTTATAATAAATGTGCATGATTGGTTCAGAGAACAAATTATCTGCAGGTTATCCAGCTGAAACAGCAACTGGTTGATAACAAAGCTTGGGTAATGATGATTAACATAGAAAGGCTCAGTGTATCTTATCTTGAGTAACTCTTTAAAATGGGGCCAGTTAGTTTTGCTCATCTTGATTTATTTTCTGTTTAATTCAGTGATTGTTGCACGTGGTTCACATCCTCACACCAACTATAACAGTGGAGGTAAATTCACGCCCACCTCTCTCTTCTAAATTGTTCTTGATTTTCTTGACATTTTAGTTTTAATGTTTCTTCCCTTTATTGTACGGTTGATGTGATGAGTTAGTTTTGGTTGCACTTCTGCTTTCTCATGATGGAAACCACAGCAAGTGAACCCAGCCCAAACTTTACTGTAGTTGTGATTAAGTGAAAATTGATCCAGCCATGGAATAGAAACATAAAATCTGCTTTCTGTGATGTTTTACAAAAATAAATTGACTGAATGTTTATTTGTGAAGCTGCAATGTAAAATTAAAGTCATGACTTAATCATTTAGGAGGGGAGGTGCACTAGCGAAAGTCATGTGTTGCCTCCCGACTAAAAGTCAAGTTCCTAAAAAAAAAAGTTATGCTCTGCTGACTCCTGTTCTCTTGTTTAGTTGATGTTCGATCACCAGTGACGATGCCGTCGATACCAGCTGTTCCAGAGAACCACAGCCTTGTCCTGGCAGAGTTCGACTGCCTGGATCCGCTTCTTTCTGCTCTGCGTTTGGACTCAGGACGGCTCAAGGTAAGATCTGCCATCTCAGATGTTACATTTCACTGGGAAGTTGCTTGAATAGCTTTTAGAAGTTAGTAGAAAAGTGCAAATGCACCCAGAAGCATGTTATTTTAAATTGGGAAAGACCTGATTAATGTTTTGTTCCTTGATTTGGTTCAGTGTACCTGTCTGGCCGTTTCAAGGAAGTGGCTTGCATTAGGGACATCAGCTGGAGGACTGCACCTGATTCAGAAGGAGGGCTGGAAACAAAGACTCATCCTCACTCACAAGGTGGCACCGAAAACCCGATTTATCTGTTGCTAAATGATGCAACTGCCCTTTAAATGACTGGACAACCTCTTTCAGGAGGGATCGATCACTCAGGTGGCATGTTGCCCTCATGATGAAGATTTCATTGCAGTTACAACAAGGTCAGCGTTTGTCCAAGGCGTCATGAAATGTTCTTATCTCTTATCTGTTTAGTCGCATTTCCTGTATTGTTCACGCTGTCTGTGCTCATCCAGTCAGGGTCTGGTGGTGGTGTGGGAGCTGCAGCTGGAGCGACGCGGTCGCCCAGAGCGAGTCAGCTTCTCCTGGGAGCACAGAGGTCAAAACATCACATCGCTGTGCTGGGACACCAGCTCGCTCAGGGTTTTTGCCGGGGATTCTGGAGGCAAAGTGTCATATCTACGAGCAGGATCCTCCAAATTGGGCAAGGTACTGACAGTAAACATTGGTGTGAGAAATCTAAATTATGCTAATCGTGTATTTTAACTTTTTCAGTGACGTGATGTTCTATCTTGTCTCTAGGGGTCAACGTTTGTGATCTTCCCCGTGCAGACAGTCACCACTGTCGACTCCAGAGTGGTTCAGCTTGGATACCAAGATGGCCGCCTTCTTGTGTCTTCTCTGAGTCGCTGTTACCTCTGTGACACAGAGAAGTAAGTATCTGTGAACTTCCCACCCTTGTGTTTTATCTGGAACGTCTGATGGAGACCTACTCAAAACGCCCAAAAGAGCAAAAACTGTTCCTGCCTTCAGTGGTTGAGTGTTTTTGTGCTTGCAGGGAGAAATTCTGGCGAGTTGGGAACAAGGAGCGTGACGGCGAATACGGTGCCTGCTTCTTCCCCCAGAACAGGGGGTTGTTGGTGGGCCAGCCCCCGCTGCTGTACTGCGCCCGGCCGGGCTCTCGGATATGGGAGGCCAGTTTTACCGGCGAGGTTCTGAGCACTCATCAGTTCAAGCAGCTACTGGCGTGTCCTCCTCTACCTCTCATCACATACAGGTAAGTTGTGCTATTGCTTATGGCTCTAGTTTAAAAATCAAGACTCATACGTTTTTGTTCTTTCTGCAGAAATGAGCCAAATTACAATCCAGCGCAGAAGAGCCCACAGTCTCTGGCCTTTCCTAAACTTCTGTATTTTGGGTAAAATGAAACGGCTTCTAAACATATACTGACTGACCCATGTCATAACTAGGGGTGCACCGATCAATCGGCCCCGATCAATGTTTTTTTTTTTTTTTCTCCAAGATCCGTGATCAGCCAGAAACTGCAGTCGGTGCACCCCTAGTTCGTGTTAAAGCACATCGTTGCAATAGAATAGATTTTTTTGGACAAGTGTGTCAAAACAGGTACAAAAGTTTTGTTTTCAAAATGAGAAAAAGGAAAGTCTAAAGGAACAAATATGATTTTGTAGTTCAGCTATGATGATGTGTTCATTTATATTTGAGAACAATGCTTCGTGTCCAGTTATAATTGGTATTGTTTCATGAGCATTCATATTGGTTTTCTCTATTCAAGGAAATTGAAACATTGATGTAATCTGCTTTTAGATGAGACTAAATCGGTATCAGCAAGTCAGGTTTTTTTTCTAGATCGGCCAAAAACTGCAATCGGTGCACTCCTACACATAACAGTAGCAGTAGCTCAGGTGGTAGAGCGGGTTGCCTCATGATCGGAGGGTCATGGGTTCGATTCCAGCTCCCGCCAGGGGTATCCTGCTGTTGTGTCCTTGGGCAAGACACTTCACCCAACTTGCCTGTGTTAGTGGTGGTCAGAGGGGCCGACGGCGCTAAATGGCAGCCTCGCCTCTGTCAGACCTCCCCAGGGCGGCTGTGGCTACAAGTAGCTTACCATCACTAGCAGTGTGTGAATGTGAGAGTGTGTGAAAGCGTCTTTGGGTGTCTAGAAAAGCGCTATATAAGTTCAATGCATTATTATTATTATTATTATTATTATTATTATTGATAAAACTTTTATGTTTTAATGCAGAGACCAGAACCTGCTGACTTGGACTGATTCAGCCGTTTATATCTTTACACCTCAGAATGGACAAGTTCTGCTGTGGACAGAAGTTAAAGGTGTGTTTTCTGAATAAATGTCTGTAAAAACCTACAGAATGAACAACCAGAGTTGCCTTACTTGTAGAAATTCCTCTTGTTCTGCAGACTTGGTCGATGTCGCTGTCCACCGAAGTGAGCTGTTCTGTCTCCATGGTAGCGGGCGTCTGTCCCATCTGTCCCTGCTGCCCGCAGAGCGCTGTGTTGAGCGGCTGCTGCGAAGAGAGTCTTGGACTCTCGCGGCTGCAGTCTGCTGCATGTTTCAGCACGCCGTCGCCTCCAGTAGGGTAAGACGGCAGCTAGCCAACATCGCCTTTGTGTGCAGTTTTAAGGTCAAAAATGAGAAGTTTTAACCAGATGAATAACGGGTCTTTGTCCAGGCCAGGAAGTGCGTTCCTCTTGACCGCCTTGAGCACCTGAAGGCCCAGCTCAGCTCCCGCACACACCCAGAACTGATCAACCAGCTGGAGGAAGTCATGGCAAAGCTGGAGCCGCTGGACTCTGCATCCAGCAGCCGGAGAAGCAGCATCTCTTCACACGTAGGAATCATCTCAGAAGATAGAAACCGACTTTTGTTTTTGTTTTTTTTTGCTTTAAGGCTGTTGATGATCTTCAGCTAAAATATCTTTATTGACATAGTTACGTCAAATGGGTTTCTGAATCCTTTCATATTAGACGAATACATCATAGCCCCAGATGTAATTATTATTTAGCTCACAGGTAGTGGCCACATTTTTAGTTCCTGAAAGGTTTTCTTCTGTAACTCTGGTGAATGTGTAAGTAGTGAGTAAAGTGATGTCAGAAACGTCCACACCTAGGAGAGCTTCAACGTCCTGGACTGTGGAATCTATCGAGTGATCAGCCGCCGGGGAAGCCAGTCGGACGAGGAGACGAGCTCCCTCGTCAACCATTCCACGTCAGAGGAGGAGCGGCTCAAGGAGTTCAGCTTCATGCAGGAGGAAGATCAAGTGGATCATGGTGAGAAGCAGGCGATAATCTGTCTCCATTTTTATTTCTACAGAGTCATTAGTAACATCATCCTGCAGACTAGAGTTTTCAGTTAAAACATAATTTTTCTATGAAAAAAGGTAATCGGTACATTTAATCTACAAATGATAAAACTTGTCAAACTTTCTTATTTCTGTTTCTTCCTGTTTTTCTGATTCGTGCGTCTGAAGCAGGACTAAATTTCCTTCCTGCTTCTGATTTCACTGGTGAAAGAGTGAAGTTATTTTCAGTTTAATACCTAAAAAAGACATAAAATTCAATAAAAATGAGCTAAACTGATAATAATTTAACTCCTTTACTTTCCTTTAATCATACATGTTGCTTTGCTGCTGCAGTGCTGGAAACAACGCTGGATAATTACTCCGTTAGCTGAGCTGCTGTTGACTTCAGGTTTCATATTTGTTCCACCGTGTCATGCATTTGTCAACTTTTATTTTGGGCCTTGTGCAGCGTTTGATTTAAAGTCTCTTCACGATCTACATTCTCCCCCTGCTTGCATTATGTCTGCTGCCTCTCATCATCACTTCCCTCCAGTACTCCATCCATCTGTGTCTCTCCTCCCACTCCTGCCCCCATCTTCACTCAGATCCACAGAGCAGCGAGCGCGTGGAGGCTGATCGCTCTGAACAGGGCCTGCAGTTTCACCTCCCACTCTCATTCCGCCCCAAACCCCCCCGCATCGCCCTGCAGGCCGTCAAAGACAGGTGAATGAAGTCACAGGTTGTGGTTTTTACTTCTTTGATCTCTTCGTTCACCGTGTGGACTGAAACTGTAGAGCAGCTGTGCGTTCAGGTGACATTACTTCCCTTTTCCACTAAAAGCCCACATCTTTGTTGAACTGATTCATTTTCAGAACTCATTCTTTTGTCCTTCACTTTACTGGTTGTTCTTCTCATCCCCTCAGTCGTGAAATTTAAACACATTTCATTGGTCAATAATTGTGAGATCTTTTTTTTTAACTATAAATCGTCAGTGTTTCTAGTTTCGTCAAGAAGACAACAGAAAAGATCAACACCCTCCAGATGAACTCTGAACTTCGGCAGCAACCTGAATACAAAGAGTGTCGACAAATGGACGCCGTCTCCAACGTGACTTTGTACTCAGAGGAAACGGAGAACGAGTGAGTACACGGCTTCTTGAGGTGGGATTACAGCTGTCATGAACAGGGTTCCTCCATCGAGGCTAGGATTTACTAACGGGCTGGTGATGTAATGAGAATGTTTATAAATGGCCGCTGTGTTCAAACCAAAACCAGCTGCAAACCAAACTCTCAAGCTGCAGGACAAAAGCAGACGGTGAGCATGTTTTGTTCCGTTATTTAAATCATTCGTATTTTTTGGGACTGACTTTACAGGGAGGTATCGAACCCAGAGGCTGACATGCAGGAACTTCGGACAGCAACAGAGAAAGCCGTGTAAGAGCCATTCCGTTTTTATTCAGTCTTTTGTGTTTGCAATAAGCAGTAAATGACCATATTTTTAATATTTTTCTCATCAGCTCACAGATACAAGATCCTTTGGTGCTACTTGAACCAGTTTGCCTTAGAGAAGCTCTGCTGGAGTGGCTGGTGGTGCTGGAGCGTGTACTAGGACCTGCTGATCTCGGGTCAGCTCCCGCAGCTGATTCAAACCTGGATGGATCAGGAGAGGACCGGTGGGAGCAGGATTACCTTCACCCCTGCTCAGACCATCAAGAACCTGCAGAGGTTGTTCCAGAAGAGACCAAAGATGCTCCTGAGCCGGGAGGAAAACAAGTCCAGTGTGAGAACAAGAGGACGACAGACTCTGACACTGTTGCTCCATGTGGGAATCCTCCAGAACCAGTCAGAGTGGTGTCCCCTACACCCATCCCATCAGATCTGTCAGCTGATCTCACCGAGCTGGCCTCACTCTACACAGAGATGAGCTGCTTCAGGAACCAGAAGGAAGTTCTGGGATGTTCAGCCTTCCTGCGTCGGTACTTCTTTCTGCTGGACCAAGAACGGGTCAGAAGAATGTGTCTGCTGTGTCACCGGGTACAGCCCGACATGATGAGCTCCTTCATAGAGGCCATGCTGGGTCAGAAGCAAATCTTTTGTTTGTTTTTTGTGCGACTGCAGAAATTGCATTGTCTCTCTGTATGAAATGTGCTAAATAAGCAAAGCAGCCACAGAAAGATAGACTTCAAGCTAAAGTTTTCTTCTCCTGAATCCGTTGTTCTCTGCAGAACTCACTCAGTCCAGCAAAGTGGTGGAGATTATTCAGAAAGGCGACTTGCTGAAATCTCTGCGGAGTCTGAGAGAGCTGCAGGCCTGGGGTGCTCCTCACCTCCTGGTTCATCTGCACAGGTGACCCACAGGTGCTAGAGAACAGGTTTGATACAGAGATCTGATATTTTAAAAGATGTGACCTCTGTGTTCTAATCTAGGCTGTATGAGAAGCACGGTGAAGCAGCTGTTCGCTCGTTCTCCCAGTTCTATCCCACCATCACTCCTGCCGATGTGATCACCATGGCTCAGCAGAGCCACTTCCTGCCATACCTGGATAATCTGGTCCAGTCCAGAGCTGAAGAGCACAGGTACATATTCAGACCGGTGTTGCTATAGAAATGTCAAAGATGCTGACCTTCTCTTAGCTGCGTGGTTGATTATTTTCCTGTTAGGTTGTCATTTCTTCAGTCTCTTCTTGAACCGGAGTCGCTGAGACAGGATTGGCTGGAGCTGGCTCTGACTCACGATGCTCCTAAAAACTGCGACACTCTGACTCCCGATGGACAGCCCAGGTGTTAAACTGTCTAAAAAAACAATAACGTTTTGTTTCTTTATGATTTCTACGACTTTATGCAGGCATGTGAAGTAAAAGTGAATCACAGTTGGTTGTCTTGCTGCAGGTGGCACTCACACTGCTTTAGCTGGGGTTATGGACGTCTTTTGTCTTTGCTGATTCGTCTTCCTGCTGACTTCTCATCCAAGGAGAAGATGTGTGAAACCTGCCGCAGCCACGGGTATTTTTTATGGTTACTGTGGAAAAAATAAGTACATTTGTATTGCTGGGACAGATTTTAAACGTTTCTATTTAATTTGTGTTTGCAGATATTGGACGGGTTACCTGTACTTGTGCAAGGAGTTGCAGCGTCGCACTGAAGCGTTCTCCAGCATCTGTGAGCTGGACGACATCAGCCTGCTGGAGGAACCTGATGGTAAAACAGTTTCCCTCAAAGCTGCGCTTGGATTAAAGGGATGGTTGTTAAAATAAACTAAACTTGAGCTTGATGCAATAAAAAGTTTTGCAACATTCTTTACAAAATGGTAAATGGCCTGTATTTGATAGAGCACCTTCTAGAGTCCTGCAACCCCCCAAGTCGCTTTACAACACAATCAGTCATTCACCCATTCACACACTGGTGGGGATGAGCTACGATGTAGCCACAGCTGCCCTGGGGCGCACTGACAGAGGCGAGGCTGCCAAGCGCTGGCGCCACCAGTCCCTCCGACCACAACCAGCAGGCAACGTGGGTTAAGTGTCTTGCCCAAGGACACAACGACAGCGACAGACAGAGCGGGGCTCGAACCTGCAACCTTCCGATTGCAGGGCGAGCACTTAACTCCTGTGCCACCATCACCCACATATACTAAACAGATGTGGTCTGACTTCCTGTTTTGTCCCAGGTGTTGAACCCCAGACTCTGGATGAGTGGAAGGCCCTGATCCAGCTGTCCCATCACCACTGCAGTGTGGCCGAATCCCAGCAGGTGACCAATGGGAGCAGCTTGACCAATGGCTCAGCGGAGCGTGAAGGAAAGATCAGCCCAGAGAGCCTGTCCCTCATGTTGGCTCGGAGCGCCGGGCCTGACCGAGCCTTGGCGGTGCTGGAGGAATGTGGGGTGCAGCTGGCGCTTTCACCCCAGTCCGAGCTGGTGTGTGAGCTGCTGAGAGTCGCTGAGAAGAGGCAGAGGTGAGTCAGGCTGCTCACACCGGAGCCACGACCCTTTTAAGGGAAGGAAGAACACCAATATTAGCTGTGTTGCCGGCTTTTAAGAAGGACAAGATAAATATTCAAAGATTTGCAGCAGTTTGGGTTTTCATGTGAAACATTGAAGACCAAACGTGTGTAGACTGTGAACAGACAACCAATGAATGATCTGCCTCTATTTTATCTCATTTGTCTGATTTAAAGTCCTGCTAAAAAAAATGTGCCAAATACAGTTGATGATTCTGAGATCTTTCTTTTGATAAAATGGTTCAAATGTGAAAAGTTCTGTTTAAGATTTTTTTCATGGGAATATTTTGTAACCGTTTTAAAAACGAGATGTTTTTTTTTTTCTTTCTTTCTTTCAGGGCGATAATCCAGACGATGCTGGAGCGCTGTGATCGTTTCCTCTGGTCTCAGCATGCCTGATCAGGGCGTCGATGGTTACAGTAACATTTCAAATCAGACATCACACCAACTCTGTGATATCGATCAGAAAACGTATGAATGCTCGTCTTCCTGCAACAACAGTGTTATTGGTTTGGTTTGTCGATATAAAAAATATTCAGATGTAGATTTAAGTGACTGTTATCTTTTAGCCCAATAATAATTCAGATTTTGCCTCTGCATGCACAAGCAATAACGTATCTAATGTTGTTTTTAAAGACCACATAAAGCTGTTACGCATCCCGCTCTGACAAAATTAAACTTGAAATGATTAAATTGTAATATTGTGCTCAGGTATTAACATGTTAATAAAAACAATTTGTGAGCAGATTTCATTGTTTTAATTTTTTAAGATTAAGAGGATGATGATCAGCTGGAGAAAGTAATCTATTAAAGATATCTTTGTCAAAATGTGAATTCTTTAAAACTCACAAGCCTATAAAAGATTTCTGCTGACCTTGATTTGACCTTTCAGAATTGGAACATGTTTTCTTCTAACACACACCATAAAACGATGAGTAATGTAGGTCAGCAGAGACCACAACAAAATTGGGTCAGTGGTTCATTTTGATGCTATTGCACACCTGGAGCATCAAAGAGGTACGTTTGGGGAAAAGGAGAAACTCGCTGCTCACATTGGACGCCTTTAACACTGACCTTTGTGGGTTTTTTCCTCTTTGCTCATCTGTGGTTCAGAGAAATCCCAGTTTCCTTCATCTTCCAGCTCAGCCACCTGTCTGCGTCACTGGCACAAGGGTGATCAGATGAAAACTGTTGGCATCTGACAGACGCAGCTGCACTATAAACACCTGCTCTGTCACTGCAAAAATAGGTCACTTGTCTAAAAAGTAATAAATCCTTGAACTTGCGAGATTTCAGCAGCCTATGACTCATTCCCTCTGTTATTTAGAGGTGCTCGTGTGCAATTATTGAATATATTTGAAATGCTGGTTTGATGGAGGGGTTTTCATCACAGCAAAAAAGTTGGATCTGAAATTTTTATTAGGTGGAGGCAGCGAGTCAAGTGTTTGATGTTGCTGTCACCAGAAGGAGCGATCGGGGGGATTCCGCACATACCTGCTGGACTATAAAAGCAACACCTACGCCTGCAACCTCCCAGGATGAGGCAGAGTCGGCGCTGCTCTATGCTGTAACCTTTACAGGCTAAATGGACACACTAAGTGTGAGTTTCTGATTTTTTTCTACTTTAGTCCAAATTCTCTGCATATTCACTCATGATGTCTCATTTCAGTCCCTGGCTGGACTCGTCCTGGTCATCGTCTCGCTTCCCGAGGATGCTTTAATGAGCCGAGGATTCAACATCACGTCAGGTTGGATTCCTGTCGGATTATTATGAGGAAAAAGCAGGAGTTGGAAGGTTGCAGGTTCAATTCTGATTGTATCTTTGCTCTCAGGAACTGTGCATTTGGGTTCTCTGTACGTTCATGAAGCTCTCCAGAGAGCGGCTGAGATAACGGATGCTGCCTATGCTCGCACAAGTGAGAGGTAAGGATTTACCATGTTTCAGATGAAATCTCCCAGCTGACTCTGAATCAGAGGCACAAAAAGCTCTTGACCTTTACCAGGGTGAAGAAGTCTCTGTCCGAAGGCGCCCTGAAACCCAGTGACCTGCTGGCCCAGTTTAAACAGATTGAAACCAGGACCAGGACTCAAATCCAGGCTGCTGAACTTTTGGACAACACAGTGGAGCTGATCCGAGAGATGGTGTACACCAACACAATGGTGCAGCCGAATCCTTACGGTACTAAAAGGAACCTCGCAGGAGGAAGGATCTGATCCCTCTGATGTGATTATTTTGTTTTGTTTTAACCCGGTTTATCAAACATCACCCTCAGAGCTGCTGGGTGAAGGAGACGTGGAGAGCCTGCTACAGGTGTCCGGCTGCTCTGCTGAGCTGCAGACACCCAGGTGTCAATCTGACTGTTTGTCTGAGCGCTACAGGTCCATCACAGGCGAGTGCAACAACAGGTCAGAGCTGCTATGAAACATCCAGCAGCAGGACTGTTATTAATAGTTTATTTTGGGTAATTCTCTTTGTTGTGTGTCTCATTCAGAAAGTATCCCAGATGGGGAGCTGCAAACATGCCGTATTCCCGCTGGTTGGCTCCAGAGTACGAAGACGTGTGGGGCACGCCCAGAAGCTGGGAGCCTGAACACACCTACAACAACATCAGCTTGCCTCCAGTAAGAGCCCTGCAGCAGCTCTTGGTCTGTTCACCTGCTGTGACGTCCATCAATCCTCCACTTGCTTGTTTAGGTCAGGCTGGTGTCACAGGAAGTTCTGTTCACTCACAATGACCAGATCTCTGTGGACTCCACCCTGTCCCACCTGCTGGTAGACTGGGGTCAGTGGATAGACCACGACATGGTGCTTACGCCTCAGAGTTCCAGTACAGCCGCCTTCAGGACCGGTGCTGACTGCAGCCGCAGCTGCAGCCGGGACCCTCCCTGCTTCCCCATTCAGGTGAGTGGAACACCTGCTGCTTTCAGGATGTTTCCATCCCAGTCTGCCTCCTGATTTAGATTGTTTTTTTTAATTATTATTATTCTCTAATCATAACAAATACAACTTCCAATTATCTTACATTTTGGACTTTTGTTTATATTTCATGTTTAATGTTTCAGAAAATCTGGAATCTTCCTTTTATTAAAAGGAGAACTCCAGGTTTCCCAGCAGCATTCATGTTAACTTCCCCTACCAGATCCCAGTGTCTGATCCCCGTAACGGCGTCCAGAGTTGTATGCCTTTCTTCCGCTCCGCTCCCAGCTGTGGTGCTGGAGTTCTGCCTCATCGCCACAGGGAGCAGCTCAACGCCATCACCTCCTTCGTAGATGCCAACATGGTGTACGGCAGCTCCCCCAGTCTGGCCTCCGCTCTCAGAAACCAGTCCTCCCTTCTGGGCTCCATGGCCCTCAACTCCCAGTACTCGGATGGGGATCTGGCCTACATGCCTTTCCTGCCTCGCCTGCAGACTCACCTGGACCCCTGCGGACCCCGTAATACCACCTCCTCAGGGGAATCAGGCAGGTCTTCACACCGGAAGAACACCACATCATGCTTTCACGCTGGTAAATGAGTGAATGTGTTGAATTACCCAGTACTCAACCTGTGATGCTCAGAGTTTATATTTCACAGGTGATTCAAGAGTCAATGAACACCTGGGCCTGATCGTTCTGCACACGCTCTTTCTGAGAGAGCACAACCGGCTGGTGGAAGAGCTGCAGAGGCTCAACCCCCACTGGAGCCCCGACACCCTCTATCAGGAAGCCCGTAAGATCATCGGAGCCATTCACCAGGTATCAACAGAGGATCCAGCCCAACATTCAGTCACATCTCAGCATTTTCATCACTCCGGTATTCTGTCTGTCGTTTTGAAGATCCTAACATGGGACCACTACCTGCCACGGGTCCTTGGTGAGAGCGCCATGTCTCGTCTGATGCCTCCCTACCAGGGATATGACCCTGAAGTGGACCCCAGCATTGCTAACGTGTTTGCGACTGCTGCGTTTCGTTTTGCGCACGTCACCGTGCAGCCAGTGGTGAACAGGCTAGGGCCGCAGTACACCTTTAACTCCACGTACCCCCCGCTGCCACTTCATCACTCGCTGTTCGCTTCTTGGAGGATCGTCCAGGAAGGTAAATGTCATTCTTCCAGAATCACATGTCGACTTTTCTGCATCTTTATTTCATTTTCTTTTATGATGTTAAATGTCTTTAGGTGGTATTGATCCTGTGCTGCGAGGCCTGTTGCTGTCTCCTGCCAAGCTGCAGACCCCAGGTCAGATGATGGTGGAGGAGCTGACAGAAAGGCTGTTCCAGGCCCAGGGGGGGATGCCCCTGGATCTTGGGGCTCTTAACCTCCAAAGGGGTCGGGACCATGGCCTCCCTGGTAACCAGCTTTCTCACCTCAAACACAAAGCAGAAACAGAGTTTCTGTATCCTTTAACTCTTCTGACTGTAAAATTTTACTTCACTGCCCACAGACTGATGTTTACTTCCTGAATACAGTTATGTTTAATTGTACAGATTACTATTAAATCATTGATTCAGAGGAGTTATTAAAGGAGTTAGTTTCCACACTTCTGTACTGTTGCATTATTATACATTTTCAGATTTTAATAGTTTCCCTTTAAAGTGTGTCAAAAAATCAAAAACAGAGAATGAACAAAAAGCAGTATATTACAAATTGAAATAATATGGGGTCATAATTTAACAGCAGTATTTAGGGTTAATTAGGCTATTATAAGAAAAAAATGGGAGTTTACGTTTCAATGTTGTATCTTCACCATGTTGTTCATAAAGTTCCCAACCAAGTATTTACTTAGCAAGCTAAATATTGAATTTAGAGTTACTTATTTATTTTACAGACTAAAATTAGGTCAGAAATAAATATTTAGTTTGTAAAATAAATATTTAATTTACTAACTAAATATTTAAAGTAATAATTTAGCTTCAAATAAAACATTTATTTTCCAACAAAAAAAAATGTAAATCCAGCGAAATATTTATTTTGGGGCTAAACCTAAATATTGATTTAGTAAACTAAATGTTTAGATCCAAAGTAAGTTTTTAGCTGGAATCTAAATATTTAATCAAATAAATGTGTATTTTACAAACTAAATATTTAGGTTAGACCTAAATATTTAGTTTGTAAAATAAATATTTCCTTTTAAATAAATATTTAGCTTGCTAAACTTGGTAACTAACATTTATAAATGCATGAATAACAAGGGTTAACAAATGACTTTTCTTTTTTATGATAGGCTAAATGACCCAATGTTCTGCCGTTAAATTGTGTCTGTTTGACTTCACAAATGACACCCCATAAAATAAGTCCTCTGCTGTCTGACATTTTTCTCAGAATGCAATAAATGGTAAATGGCCTGTATTTGAAATAGCGCCTTCTAGAGTCCTGGAACCCCCCAAGGCGCTTTACAACACTCAGTCATTCACCCATTCACACACACATTCACACACACATTCACACACTGGTGGGGATGAGCTATATTGTAGCCTCAGCTGCCCTGGGGTGCACTGACACAGACTCTGCCGTACGCAGGTGCCACCGGTCCTGCCAAACACCACCAAGGTGGGTTAAGTGTCTTGCCCAAGGACACAACGACAGCAACAGACTGAGCGATTACGGGGCGAGCACTTACCTCCTGTGCCACCGTTGCCCACTACCATCACAATAATTTTGTTATACAATAAATTTCTTGTTTAAACAATGAGAAAAGTCCCATAAATCTTTCAGGGGGAAAAACATTTGCTTTTTTTTACACACGCACACACATACATATATATATATCTGGCCGGGCCTGATACATCAAGAATATATATATATATATATATATATATATATATATATATATATATATATATATATATATATATATATATTATATATATATATATATATATATATATATATATATATATATTATATATACGTGTGTGTGTGTGGCAAGGTGGAGAAACAAGGGCCCGGGCGGGATTCAATCCCCAGACTCCTGGGTGAGAGTCACGCGTGCTAACCAGTCAGCCAAAGGGACATCCCCTTGGCCAAGTAGGCCAGGATCACTCGGGACACTGTGACAGGACGCTCACACTGCCACACATCTATATGTATTTCCATTTGACAATTCAGGTTTTTTTTATTTCACAAGACGAGCCTAATTGATAGAATATGAGTGTGTTTCTAGTGTTTCGTTTCTTCCATCAGGTTACAGCGCGTGGAGAAGACTCTGCGGCCTCTCCGTTCCCAACAACGCGTCAGATCTGGCTGACATTTTGGGGAACTTCACTCTGGCTCACAAGCTCCATCACTTATACAAGACTGCACACAACATCGACGTGTGGGTGGGGGCCATATCTGAGCCCGCTCTTCCTGGAGGACGTGTGGGACCGCTACTGTCCTGCCTCCTGGCCAGACAGTTCAGAGCTCTGAGAGACGGGGACAGGTAGGGGACATGAGGGCTGTTTCGTTTGATATTACTGTAAAGAAAAATAAAATTTGTCTTCTAGGTTTTGGTGGGAGAGGAAAGGAGTCTTCACGAGCACCCAGAGGAGACACCTGCACGCTGTCTCCCTGTCCCGCATCATTTGTGACAACAGCCACATCACCCACGTCCCAGTGGACCCGTTCTCACGCACTGAGAGCCCAGAGGACATGCTAGCCTGTTCACACCCACTCATTCCTCATCTTGATCTCACACCCTGGAAAGAACCAGACTCAGGTGAAGAAAAAGAAAAGACAGCTTGTCAGAATCGTTATCTAGAGTGTATTTTATCATCATATCTCCTCTCAGATCCCAGCTGTGGTCCAGTACCCAGGGTTCAGTCTGGCTACTCGCTGCTCTGTAACTCTGTGATTCTCTACCAGTGTCACGCTGGTTTTAGGCTGCTGGGCTCTTCATCGATTCGCTGTGATCTAGCCAGACAGCAATGGACCTCCCTTCCCCCAACATGCCAAGGTAGAGGGGTTAACTCAGGTCCTGTCATCATGTGACTTGAGCACTGGTCATCTTAGAAGAAAAAAAAATGCAGGTCTTCTGTTGACACAAATATGTCACATTGTTTGGATGCAAAAATTCACACCAAGGCTGGGATTTTATTGGGTTAAATTTTTACATCAGCATCTGTATTGATGCTGATGATGTTGAAAACAGTCAATCATCTCTTACTGTTCCTGGTGTTCTCCAGACTCGTCTCTCAGCCTGATCTCTCTGCAGATATAAATGAATGTAAAGACCACATCTCCCCTTGTCCACCACACCTGGAGTGCTTCAACACAGCTGGGTCTTTCATTTGCTCAGGTTGGATCAGAAACACACACACACACACACACACACACACACACACACACACACACACACACACACACACACACACACACACACACACACACACACACACACACACACACACACACACACACACACACACTCTCCTGTATTTAAATGTTTCTGCTTTGGTCCAGAACCCTCCTCGCTGTCTGCTGCCTCCATTGTTGCAGCGGTGATGGTGGTGATCCTCGGTGCAGCCCTGCTGGTTTTGGTTGTGTTCGGTTATCAAAGGTGAGTCCATAAAAAAATCCATTTACACATCTTATACCTATACCTGTATTAAATGATGTAAAAGTCTGCTATGATATTTACTGGGATGTAATTACACAAGTATTCATTAAATTTACATCTTTTAGAAACTCTTTTCCTGAAATACATAAAAAAAATCCACCATCTATAATATAAAATTCTTGAATTATAATTTTTTTTTGTATCTTGCAGATATTTTAGGACAGGAGAGTTGATCTCTGCGGAGCACTGCCAGGGTAGCAGTTGAAGCATTTTACCATTTTAATCACCTCCTCCCAAAAAGGCAGTTGATCGTGTTTCTGCCTGTTTTACCAAAACAAACATGGCTACAACTCATCTGAGGATCAACAACAACACAAACTCCAAGTACCAACTTTCCTTGAAGAAATGCTTGGTCTGTAATTTAAAAACAGCCAATTCTGCTGCTGGCTTAATATAAATAATCTGTACAAAGCAATCATAAACACAGAAGCTTACAGGAACATTTTAATCCAGAAAATAAAATCTTACAGGAATGTTTGTTCTAAACACAGACTTTCATACTGCAAATCACCTCTGAGACAAACGGGCTCTTAGGACTTCCTCAGTGTCACTGAGCCCTGATTATTTAGGATCAGGGAGACCAGGTGGCTCCTAACTGTGACCTAAATCGGAAAACAAGTCAGAAACATTATTGAATTATCAGCAGTGTGTTTAATGGAGTGTTGCACATTTATTTATAATCCTCAAACCCAAAATATGGCTAAAAGCAGGTATTGTCAAATATAATTCATATTTACCATCAATGTTTTCTGTCTAAAACGCAGTAAAATCTATAAGCTCATTTTTTCTGTGTGAAATATGGCTTTATGTAGGTTTTATGCAGAGTAACCTATGGCTGTTCATTCCAGATGTGCACATTTATCGTAAGCAATAAAACTTGATACTGTTTTTGTCTCGTTTGTGAACAGAATTCAATCATGCTGACATTTAACACCTTGGATGTGACATTCAGGTTTATCTGGATTTTAAAACCTCCGGTTGTGCTGTTGAAACTGTTAAAATAGTTGAGAAACCAAATTAACTCTTAATTTTGTTTTCCAACAAACATTTAACAGAGCTCAGGATTCAAACCTCTTCAGCGTGATGATTACTAGAGGACATTAGTTCTCATGTGATGTAACAGCAGAGATTTTATGGGAATGATGCAGTTTGCTGTATTTTCATGCATTTTCCTGCAGTGACAGTTTGTGCCACTCTTTGAAATGAATAATCAGTCACCTTTCCTGCTTCCCTTGTTGGCTGAGCTCAGCTACAGTACTGAGAATCTAAGACCTGTGTGACGTCAGCTATCATGTTGGGGCTTCTGCCAGACCTACAGCTCCTCTAGCCCTGGTCCGCGAAATAGAAACCTAACTTGGCAACGGTCATCTCTCTGCGAAGACGCATCACCTCCCAAAACATCTGCTCCGCTGGAAGAGAAAGGGAAAAAAACGTGTCACACGACTGATTAAAATCCTGCAAAAAGACAAACCTTTATATCTGAGTAACTCACCATTGTGTCTCACCAGGCCTTGCTGAATGTACCTGATATAAGTAAAAAAGTTGCATACAGCTGTGATCTAAAAATGGAAAAAAATTCTCATTTAGTGGCTTTTAATAGAAGCACAGAAACGTAATAAAACGGCGATGTGTACCCGAGCTCGGCTGGAGGGAGAGATGTAATAGTAGTTCTCTTTGTCGCCCAGTTTGATTCGATGTCTGCAGGTTCGGGACAAGCCGCTTAATGCACATTTTCTGCAGGCAGATAAGATCACCCATGAACACAGTTGTGTGTGTGTGTGTGTACACACAAGAGTGTTTTATAGCAGCAGACACCGACAAGGTAATAAATTCTAGAAGAAAAACATTAAAAGCCGTTTTAGTCACAGAGAGATGAGGAAGTTGCACTAACGCTGACACATGCAAAGTCCTACGTGGAGCAATAACATTCAACACAGAAAGGGCTTAAGAAGCAACTGGTTCCTGAGGAAACTTACGTTTCTACTGAAGCTCTAAAGCCACTGAAGGAGAAAAAAAAGGTTTAAAGTCAGACTGACTAGAAATGTGCTCACTCAATCAGCTGTCCTCAGAGTGAGAAAGGCTTCAGAACAGCCCATAAATCACCAGTGAGTTAGTGAGTCATCTACTAATGAAAAGTGAATGTTCAGTCCACTGAGAAGTGGAGCTGAGGACAGATTGAGTCAAACGTTTTCTTACTTTGGACCTCCACACTCTAAAGCTGCAGCTTTAACCGTTGGTAGCGCCGACACGGCTGCCGGCTCGATCGTCAGGGAGTTGTTTTCCACTGCTCTCTGAACCAGCTGGGACAGCTGTGAGAAACGGCACCAATATCAGCACAACACCACGGGTTTAGTTAGAAACCAGCAGCAAGGGAGCGGTACGGTACCTCTGATCTCATGAAGGACAGACAGGGTCCGATGTCTTCTTTATAAATGCGACTGAGGAAGGCAGTGGACCGGTCCAGGCTCGGCTGCTCCTTCCACAACAAAAACTCAGCAAACAGAACGGAGTCCATCTGCAGAGAAAATAAAAAAAACAATCTCTCAGAGTCGGTAAACTGGATCTCTGTATGACGTGCTGCTACTGAGAAGTGAGACAAAGTTTATAAGATTTACAGAAAGTGTGCAATAATTGTTTAAACAAATAAAGGCAGGTGCATAAATTTGGGCACTGTTGTCATTTTATGGATTCCAAAACCTTTAGAACTAATTATTGGAACTCAAAACTGGTTTGGTAAGCTCAGTGACCCTTGACCTTCATACACAGGTGAATCCAGTTATGAGAGTAGCAACATGGGGGTCTCAGAACAACTCTCACCTGAGCTGAAAACAAAGATCGTTCACCATAATGGTTTAGGGGAAAGATACAGAAGGCTGTCTGAGACATTTCAGCTGTCAGTTAGGAACGTATTGAGGAGATGGAAAACCACAGGCACAGTTCAGGTTGAGGCCACAAAAGGACACAGCAAGAAAAGACCAAGACAAACACCTGCTACCTACAGTAAAACATGGTGGTGGCTCCATCATGGTGTGGGGCTTTATGGCCAGTGCAGGGACTGGGAATCTTGTTAAAGTTTAGGGACACATCAGTGACAAAGCTGAAGCTTCACCGGGGCTGGATCTTTCAACAAAACAACGACCCTAAACACTCCTCAACATCTACTGAGGCATTCATGCTGAGGAACAAGTAGAACGTTCTGGAACGGCCATCTCAGTCCCTAGACCTGAATATTATTGAAAATCTGTGGTGTGAGTTAAAGAGAGCTGTCCATGCTCAGAAGCATCAAACCTGAATGAACTAGATATGTTTTGGTCCAAAACACCTTCAGCCAGAATCCAGACTCTCACTGGAAGCTATAGGGAGCTTTTAGAGGCTGTTATTTCTGCAAAAGAAGGGATTACTAAATACTGAGTTTTCAAATTTAAGCACCTGCCTATTTTTTGTTTACATATTTTTGCACACTTTCTGTAAATCCTTTAAACGTTGTTTCACTTCTCAAATATCACTGTGTGTGTCTCCTATATGATATATTTAGCTGAAATGTTTTTATGGTAACAACCAACAATACTCATAGGGACTTTTCGGACTTTTGAATTTTTATGCTCGTGATTGCCCCCTCAGGCCAAAAGCGTAACGGCAGCTTCAATAGTAGGGTCATGCACGAGCATGCATGCTGTATGTGCACACTCCTTAACGAAAATAACAGCTGAGACAGTCCCGTGTGTGTGTGTGGCCCAGAGGACAGAAGAACACAGGAAATTAATACAAATAGTTTCCCTCTGTCTCTGCAGCTGCACTTTCTCGTCAGCCGGCCAAACATGCAGTGTGTGTGTGTGTGTGTGTGTGTGTGTGTGTGTGTGTGTGTGTGTGTGTGTGTGTGTGTGTGTGTGTGTGTGCGTGCGCGTGTGCGTGTGTGTGTGTGTGTGTGTCCCGGAGGACAGAGGATAGGAGAACACGCAGCTAATTAAATAATTTGGTTCTGTACCTTTCTCTTCAGCACAGCCGACAAAGGTTTATGATGGGTCAGTCCTCCTGCATGCTCAGATCATTCCCTTCCCTTGCTTGAAAAATTGTTCCAAAATGAAAGTTGAACCCACATCTTTTTATCCGTGAATTCAATGCCGTTTAGCGAGTCTCAAATAAAAATTTGGGCGTCTTATTACTGTAAAAAAATTATTAATGTAAAAACGAAACTCCAAATTACAAATTTTATTCACACCCGGAATCAAACCCAGGTCTCCTACATGAGTCAGACATCTTACTAAGTGAGCTAAAGCACCAGTAACATACTGTGTATCTGTAACATTTATATCCTTAATGAAAGTTGAAACAAAGTCAATCCACAGAACGGTTCGGAGCGAAAATGGCTATTTTGTTGTTAATTTGCGGGAAATATCTAGAAGTTAGTTCTACAGAAAGTAGCTAAGGGTCCTCAGAAATGTAGCTAGGTTCATCACTAGGCGTTAGGAACAGCGACAAAGTCGCTGAGTTGGCACTACCTCTCTCTCTGCTATTAAAGCTACGGATAGCAAATGCTACGGGCTATGACTGAGCGTGAACGTGCATGAAGCAGCCTGCTCGACCCGAGCATCTCTCTTTTTCTGTGATTTTACAGAAAAACAGGCAATCACAGCAAAAATGCCAGGGCTCATTCTACAGGACCAGGGCATTGCAGGAGAATGTATGAAGAAGAAATTCATTATTTCTATACATGTTTTGACTGTCAAACTTCCATAATGTCCCTTTAAGTTACTGCAGCATTTTAACAACGTGGAGAGATTTTATCCTACAAGAGGGATCAGTAACAACCTTCAGGCACACTGTAGATAAGGAAAGTCTGAGAAGAAAAGTCCTTTTAACAAATCAGTTCGAAGTTTTCCAATCTGAGACTTCAGGCTTGGACAGTTTGCCCTTGAATACAGTAATCTGTATCTAGAGGTGTCATTTCTCCTAAATGTTCTGCTCTAGAACAAAGATGTGTGAAGCAGAACTTAAAGTTTATCAAATAACGCTGATGTGCCTCAGAACAGGGTGGACCTTGTTAAAATAGCAGCACCAGAATTAGTTATGCTTTGTTTCCCACTCGGAGCTAAAAGTCATGCTTCATCTATCCACCCTAAAAAACAATCACACCGATCTACTCAGACCCACGTCAGGTTACTTTGCTTTACTCATATTACAGCATATTTGTAGGATAGCTCAGTCTGGAATGTTACTGGTGGACTTAATGGATTCTGACATCAGTCTCAGTGCTGCAGGTGCAGTGGACGTTGATGGAAAAAGCCATTCAAAATAGCTACATTTAGGAGGAAAAAAGAAGCAATTTTAGGGTCAAACACTTTCTTCTGGCTCCCCCCAGAGTCACAGAATCTGATGGCCACAGAAGATGGTCAAACACCGGACACAACAAATACCGTCAAACATAAACGTATCTGTCCTTTTTGACCCATGGTTAGCACCTTTTCTGCCATGATTCCAAACGTAACGCACCTTCCCAACCGTTGAACTATTTAGTATGCTAGTCTGGTGTTTTATGGTGAAAATCAAGGCAGTTTTTAGCTTTCTTGATTTATTCTCAACTTTGAAATCATAGACACTCACATGGTTGATCCACCCCTTAACCCTTTATCTCTACAAATAACTCAAGCCTGGATGAGCTTCTGCTGTGTGGTGAAGCTGCTAATGCTAACAGTTAGTTTAAACTAGCTGAGAAGTCCGCTGCTGATTCACGGATATTAAAACAACAACAGCGACTGCAGGAGACAGGTGGAGGAGACTATTTTCATGTTCAGCCTGCATGACAAACTCAGAGTGACTGATTATAATCAGAAAAAATGTTTGCAGTCAACCACACCTTTAAATATTTTCATTTTTTACTAAACAAAATTGATTGTTTGCCATCAGTAAGGAGCATTTCAAGCTATGTGACCAAAAATGCTCCAGAAAAACATCATCCACTCTTTTTTTTAACCACCTTCATGGTGTTAATCTGATGTTTGGTAGGTTTAGGGCTTCAGCTTCTCTATGTTCTCTGGGATTAGACACTTTGATGTCAAATTGGGACTTTCAACTGATAGATCAGTATTCTGTAGCCTTGTTTTTTTTTATTCTCAACTGCTGTCTCTGTTTTTGTTGTAGTCATACGATCACACAACTCTGCTCTTTACTGGTTTGTTATTTTTTGTTTTAGTGGCCAGTTTTGTAGCCAGAGCTGTGACTGAAATATGCTGCTGCTGATAACTGAGACACACAGACTCTACAGTGGATGTTCTCATCCACTATTCAAAATTAAACACTGTTCTTTTCAAAATAAGAGTTGTTTTGCTGAAGAACCAGATGTTACTGGGACTACCAAATGATCAAACAAAAAAATTAAAGTGTGCTCATCATACAGCCACAGCATGTTTCAGAGCTGAATGTTACCAGTGAGTTTGGTTAACACAGGCTGATGAACTGTTATTACATGTAAAATATTTATGAGACATGGCTGAAAGAGGAGTAACTACCTGTTTACTTGAGCTCACGCCAAAGAGGGTCAAACTTCATAGTGACAGACTGGCATGGTAACAGGCAGAAAATCAGAGAGAGCAGAGCGGGACCAGTGGGCTGAGAGTCATCAGAAACAGGAAGTCAGAGAGAAGTTAGCGGGGACACAAAGAGAAATCAGCTCAGCGCAAAGCGGGAAAAGGAAGAAGTCAGAAGAAGTGTTTGGATCCACGTTACCTCCCGCTCCTCTTTACCCGCAGACTGAATAGAAACAGAGGAAGGTTCTGGTTTTCCAGATGAGCTCTGAAAGGCTCTGCTGATGCTCTTGTTGCGGACGTGGCCCCCGCCACATTTATGCGCTCCCCGGGTGCCTGAAGACTGCAGCTGTGGGTGCAGCTGGCGGTTAGGTGAGGAAGGCGTGGACGTCAACACCAGAATTTTGAGTGCGGTCACCTCGGCTTGCAGAACGTCAATCTAGCAACCAAACAAAGGAGGGCTACAGTTAGACGCAGAGGGAAACTGGGAAACCGATTTGACTGGAATAAAGAAAATTAATGGAAAACACACCTTCCCTTGAGCTTCCTTCAGCTGTTTCTCTGCTCCTGCTTGTTTCACATTAGCTTCACGCACCATTTTATGAGCTTCCTGGTAAAAAAAATATAAAACAAACATTAAAGATCTAATAAACGTAACACCTAGAATCCATCTTTACGATCATGGTTATGTAACTACATCCCCAAAGGCCCGGCTAAATCCCAGAGCCTTTGTGAACAGAGCTTCTACGTCCTCCTCTGAAGGACCCAGAGGAATCAACTCAGCTGTGTGATTACCGCTGACCTCAAACAGGCTGGCAGTCAGCTCCTCCAGCTCCTGCTCCAGCTGATTCCTGACTTGAGACAGACGTTCACACTCCTTATCTTTGAGTTTCAGTTCCTATGATGCGAAGGAGGAAACGACAAACACGTTTTATAAAAGGAAGAACTTCTGCACAGTCAGCTTTTCTCCACTTTCACAGCGTGACGGTCTCTCTGTGCGTACAACAATGAAGTAGGTTACTGATACCTTCTTCGCCGCATCCAGCTGTTCCCTCAGGATCTCTGACCCCTTTTCTCTTATTTCTTTTTCTTTAATCTCCAACGAGGAACTGCGGAGCCGGCACAGATCGCCATGAGGTCTGTCTGAGGCGGGCCCAACCTGGCGTCCTCCCTCCACTCTGGACTCTGGCTCTGGCTCCAGATCTACCAACCTTTACAAGAGCACAAAATATTTTCTAAATCCTTGTATGTATGAATGTATGTATGTATGTATATATATATATATATATATATATATATATATATATATATATATATATATATATATATATATATATATCTTTCACTTGTTATGATTTTCTATAACTGAACATTTTCAGGAAATAAAATGGTTTGAAAAAATAAATAAAATACATTTAAACATAATCAAACTTAAAAAATGATAAGACCAAGAAAAGAAGAAGAGAATATCATTTCTATAGCCTCTCAAGATAAAATCACGAGGCGCTTCACAAAAACAAAAAATGTAAAAATATAAAAAAGAATTTAGAAAATGGTTAAAATATATTTAAAATGAGCAAAAAATAGACAACTGTGATTTGAAAAAATGTTAAGATTCCTGACGGAAGGTTTGGTGTGAGAAGCAAGCTGACCAAGAGAGAGTCTGACTTTGGGAACCAGCTTGTCTGGGGCACAGATGAGTTTCTCAGTCTTATCTTCATTCAGCTGAAGAAAGCTCCCAGCCATCCAAGTTTTAATAGAGTCTAAGCAGGTGTGTAACAGCTGGAGCTTAGACATCTCATGGGGCTTAAAGGAGGTGTACAGTTGGATGTCATCTGCATAAAGATGGTAGGAGATTATTTTGAAGGAGCTCAGGATGTGCTGAAGAGGGAGCAGATAGAGGAGGAAGAGCAGAGGCCCCAGCACAGAACCTTGTGGGACACCATGAGTAAGAGAGGTGGTGGAGGACCTAAACTTGGAGATGGCCACAGAAAAGGAGCACTCAAATATGCACAGCATTGTAGATCTACATTTAGCCTGTCTACAGAAGCTGCCTTTTACTGAATTAAGTAAGTTTAGTAAGGTGTGAATTAATCTATAAAGTGTTGATTATGGCACAGAAATTATATTCCTAATCTGTTGTCATTTAAGAAAAACACTAGATGTTTACACGAGTCTAACTAGGAGTCTCATGACTTGCAGCTTGTGACAGAAGACATAATAGTCTCATAAAGGTCCCATTGAGTCTCCAGTGAGACAACACCAGGACCCGGTTAAGACTCATCCATGCATCATATTTATTCTGTTTACTCTGCTCTACAGTGTGATCTGAAAGGCTTTTGTTCATTAGCATACACTAATAAACCAGTGTTAACTAATGAGTTACAAACTAATGCAGGCCCTGGCAGAGACCGCAAACCACTGTTTGGTTCGACAACATCAATTTCCAAAGAGAATAATCATGTAAGACTGTGTGAGTTCCTGTTCTTAGTTGTCCTCAGTATTTTCCGCAGACCAAGCCTTTAACCTTCCTTACATGTTATTATTTCTTACCCTGACAGAGCCCCGGACAGCAGATGAAGCTCCCCCGTGCCTCAGCGTCTCCTCTCCACTTTAATTTGACTCCAAGTTATTTTTTAATGAATAAAAGTCGCACAAAGCGAGCAAACGTCAGCAGGTTTCAGTGAAACTAATCCCAGCTGTTTTAAATCACAGCGGAGGAATGCGGACGCTGACGTAAACAACACAAAGAGCAGCAGCGGCGGCCGCAAAAAGTTACATAAAAACTAATAAAAGCGCACTTTGGCTCAACACCTCACGGGGAAACCGTCCATTCTCTCTGCATTATTATTTCTAGGAAGCAAAAAGACGAGTTTCTTCTTTCCTTCTTGCCCTCCTCTCCTAAGAGTCACGTGACTCCTCCTCCACTCCCACGTGCCAGGCCTACCCATCCCGTCCTCCCGGCCACGGTGACAATAGCAGCTCCTCTGGCAAAAGCCTTACAGAACCAGCAGTCCCAGAGTCTATAATCCAATCTAAAGATGTGCAGAAGGCAGCAGCTATGGCCAATTTAGTCATAAGCTAGAGCGGGAGGACAAATCAAGAGCTAAGACCAGATCAACGGAAATGTTAAAGCTGCAGACAGTGGCTCATCAGTTTTACCATGGTAACCACAGACTGCAAAAACTATGCATCAGACTGTTACCATGTGAAAACCAAAAGAAGTACTGCAATACTTTCTGAACCATCAACACTGTTTAAAGGGATACGTTGCAACTTTTTCATATTTTTAAACCATTTTCTCTGTGCTAAAATGGGTTAAGGAAATGTCACTTAGGCCTAGTCCATACGTAGCCGGGTTTTTTTTTAAACGAATATCCGCCCCTCCAAAAACTTGCATCCACACCACCGCGTTTAAAAAAAAAAAACTCTGTCCACACGTACCCGGATAAATACGTTGTTAAGGACATGCCAGACCTGTAGGCGGCAGTACTTCCCCCGTTCTTAACCTCATCCTTCGTCTGTGGTCTTCTGCAAGGAGCAGTAATTCCGCTTGCAAAAACAAACAAGCAAAAAGCGCTTGGACAATTGATGGATCGGTTAGTTACAGAGCGCAGCTCTGAGGGCATCCATGATGCCGGCTAGTGTAAACACAGGTCGCACACGTGATGTCAGCATTTTTTTGTAGCGGAAAGTGACGTTGCGGACCTTAAAACTCCGGTTTTGTCCGTCCACACGCGGACACCCAAAACGGAGAAAACGCAGATCTTCACTTTGGCCGGAGTTTTTAAAAAAATCCGTTTTCGTGTGAAAAAACTCCGTTTTCGTGTGGATGACAGGCCAAAACGTAGAAAAATATCTACGTTTTGGCAGATCCCCGGCTACGTGTGGACAGGGCCTTAGACTCCTACTGCTCTGTGGCCAAAATTGCAGAGTTTCACACGTGACTCTGCAGTCGTGCAAAACTCAAATGGGGACAGGAAGTGTTTCGCTCCACTAATGGATATCCACTGGATGGAAGCGATTTTACTGATGAGCTGGCACAGATGCGATATCACAATAAAAATAAATCCCATGAAATGTCCCACATACTTTTAAAAGTCTGACTTTTCATACACTGTGGACTAAATAAAGTATAAGTACTAGAAAATCTTCTCCAATGTATCCTTAGCCTGATAATCCTGATTCTGGAAGCAAGCTATGAAAGAGCTGTTGTTGCGAGTGTGAATCAGGGCTTGGTGAGTTTGGGGATGAAAATTATTTAAACATAATCTGATTTTTGAATTTCAGACTGGCTGACCTTCTGGTTTCTTCTTATTGGTCCATCTCTCCAAAAAGAGCCTCATCTCCATTATTACTTTAAATCCTTTATAACAATCACGTTCACGCCTCATCTGAGCTCAGACTGCTGAGTTGATCCATTGTCTGCTGTCTGTCCTGATTTCCTGGAGGGTCTCCAGTGCACATTTTAATAAACACACACACACACACACACACACACACACATATTAAAAATGTAAACAGCAATCACGTCCTAAACCGAGCTCCTATAGCAGCCATGACTTTTCTAGGATCGTGGGCAGCTTGACTACGTTTTTCCACTTTGAACACTTACTTCCCAACAACACAGCCCTCCTTTGCAGTGAACTTGCTGGACTTGTGTCTAACTTTGGACACGTCTGGTGTCCCGAAGAAGACCTGAGAGGAGTAGACAGCTATCCCAGTCCTCCCTGTCTTGAGGACTTCATATCCAGGGCTCGATGAGATGGAGGACGGTGGAGAGGAGGAAATCTGGACGCTGTGAATTCCCTCAAAAGCATCCATCTGCCTCTTTCAGTTGATGCCGTCTAACTGAATGCTTTTATGTTTCTTCAGCAAAGATTTAGTTAGAATGGCTTTGATATCTGGAAACAAATGCAGCAACTCAGAAAGTTCTCAAAACATACAGAAAACATTAAAAAGCCACGCTCCCTTCTTTGTCTCAAACGTGGAAAATCCCTCCTCCACACTTTCAGGGTGACAGAAGCAAAAATAAAAACAGAATGTACTCACCTGGTTGGATCAAACTGATCCTCGTTTCCAGATATTTGATCAGAAGCGTTTAGCTGAGTAAACTCTTCGCACCGTGCCCTGCTCAGGGCGTCCTGGTTAATCACTAACTCCCTCTGAAGAAGAGGAAGAAAGTATCATTTCTATAGTGCCTCTCAAGATAAAATCACGAGGTGCTTCACAAAAACAAAAAATGTAAAAATATAAAAAAGAATTTAGAAAACGGTTAAAAATACATTTTAAATTAGCATAAAATAGACAATTGTGATAAAAAAATGTTAAGAAAGAGAGAGAGTGAACAGGAAAGAGGGAAATCAGTGGATCCTGAGGAAGGTGGAATAGGTGGGGAGAGCAGAATGGAGAGTGGTGAAGAAGGTAGCAGAATAAAGAGAGTGGTGAAGGTTGACCAGCTGTGCACATTTTTACCAGTGGAGGGGGGTCACGCTCAGTAGCACCTGAATATTAAGAAATGTTTCACAAAACAAAAACATTAAAACTTGGTCTGGAGTTCAAAGATGATGAGGTGTTCGGGTGCAACAGTAAAAATGAGTTCAACTTCAGAAACGTGGATGAAACCTCCCTGAGATTTGTGTCAAGAGTCAAAACTAAAGAAGTCATCGTTCACACCTACCAACTGGCCTATTTGTGGCAGCTCTGTGGTGACCAGATTTGCTCAGATTAGCAGGACCTGGCCTCACAATACAGCTTTGTTGTAGAAACAGATTATCACATCAAGTGACCGGAGGTGTAAGACTCCCTCGCTCTGTTTTTGGTCCCTTTCCTGTTTTCCACACTGTCCCTGAAAGCTGCCCTCACACATCTCCAGCAACGGGTACAAGGCAGAAGGTTCTTATTCTTAGTGGTAAGTGGGTCAGTTTAACCCGGTGAGCAAAATCTTAAATAAAATCATTAATCTAACAAAGTTAATTTACAATCAGGAAGGGTAAATCTAGGCTTGTCGACGTGGATGTCATAAACTTCTTTGTCGTTGTAGAATCCAGTCCAGTTTGTTTCCTTCATGCCTGAAATGACCAGCAGGTTAGGTAAGAAGAAGCAGCAGCGATGACCGTGACGTACTCCCGCAGAGTTGCCGATGCAGGTTTGGGGACTTTCTTCCACCTGCTGCTGCGATGGAAGGGCAGCATCTACAAACTGCTCTACAGAGAGCTCCTCATCTTCACTCTGCTCTACTACTTCCTCAGCGTCCTTTACAGGTAACCGGAGCATCCTTCTGCTCTATAGTCACCATCATTACTGCATTGCTAATCCACGTGTGTCTGAGATCAGAATTATTTTTTCTTATAAGTTACTTTTTATTCTTTTGTAGTTGAAATTTTACAACACAATTTCAGAACGGAGGATCATTTTAAACTTTTCACACAAAGCTTCTGTAATCATTGATTTTATTTTGAGTCAACTGTACAGAACATTTTTACGTACACAAAACAACACTAGGTGTAGTACAAACGTTAAGAATATTGCACGTGACGGGTTTTCTTTAGCATTGCAGTCTGTATTTATCTTTGCGTTTATAATTATTTACTCTATAATGTTGAAAAACGGTAGAATTCACTGATGCAGCAAGCAATGAGAATTAAAATGGTAAATTTAAATAAAAAAAAGTAGCTAAAATTTTAACAAGCAAAAAAAAAAAAACACAAGCTGTGATAAAAGCTTAATTTTTCATATAACAGCTTTCCACAGCATATATCAAACTTGTCTTTTAAAATGTGTATTTTGTGAAAAATGTTTCAATCTTAGATTCAACTTAAAAATTTCCTTAAAAACTTTAAACACATTTAGTCCATCATCTCTTCTTTATGTAAACTATTTCACATCCACTTTGGGAGACCTGACTATAACTTCATAGAAAAAATTTGAAAATTTTATTTATCTTTTAAGGAAAAATCGGTGCTTTTCCCCCCCAAATATTTTCAATTAGCTTTTTTGGTTTGTGATTTATATTTTTGAACGAGTAACGAGACACCAGACATAAGCTTTCAGATTTATGACGTGGTCTTGGGTTATTTTGTAGGAAATGACTCTTGACACCTTCTCGTGGTCTTTTGCCATGTTGCTGTAAAAAATGTGCTTTAACAAGTCTTATGGGGAAAAGCACATTAGCACAATCATACATGTGAAAAACATGAGATCACTCATGTTTCACACATGTGAAAACATTTTATGGTAAAAAAAAAAGTGTGAAGCCTATGGACGTTCACATATGAAGCCCTTTAGATAACATGTGAAGCACATATTGATAGAACGTACCACATGTAAACATGTAATTCTAAATGAGACCACATGTCCTCTCTTGTGAAGAACACGTTGATTTTTATTTAAGGGAAAAGCAGCTGCTTCACCGCCGGTCTTTTTGGACGACTGATACAAGACGTTTGTGGCAAGATTCTCCTTTCAGTGCTTTTAATCTGTTCACTTCCCACCAGGTTGGTGTTAAACACCGACCAGAAGAGACTGTTTGAGAAACTGTCCATATACTGTGACCGCTACGCAGAGCTCATCCCTGTGTCGTTTGTGTTGGGTGAGTCATGGCAGGCTGCTGTGTGACATCTAGGCAGAGCCCTTTCACCAGACACGACCACCAAATCTGCCATCTGATTTTTTAAACCAGGTTTCTATGTGACGTTGGTGGTATCTCGTTGGTGGGGTCAGTTTGAGAACATACCCTGGCCAGACCGTTTGGCTACATTAGTGGGAGGTCATGTCCGTGGAAACGATGAAACAGCAAAGCTGATCCGAAGAACACTGATGCGCTATGTCAACCTCTCCGGTGTCCTCATCTACCGATCTGTAAGCACAGCTGTCTACAAGAGGTTTCCAACCATGGAGCATCTGGTCCAGGCCGGTAGGACGTGTTAAAACCAATCAATTTCACTGTTCAATATTCTTTTGGATACCTTGAATCTGAACTCTAATCAGACCACCTTTCATCTCCAGGTTTGATGAGCTCAGAAGAGCTGAGACACCTTGAGGACCTGCCCTCCCCTCACAACAAGTTCTGGGTACCCTGCATGTGGTTCGTCAGCCTGGCCCTGAGAGCTCGAACTGAGGGTCGCATCAACAACGACGTGGCCCTCACGGCCATTTTCTCCGTAGGTGCTTCCGCCTGCAGAGCTGAGGAGTGTGAACTTTGCTATTCAACGTTTTTGCTGACCTTGTTTGTCTCGCCTTTAAGGAGCTGAACAGTCTACGAGCGAGGTGCATGAAGCTGTACGGTTATGACTGGATCAGCCTGCCTCTCGTCTACACTCAGGTCCTCTGAGATATGAAATAAAGTAGAAGTCTTGACTGTAATTTGCTGAAACTGTGATCTTATTAAAAGTGCATTTGATTCACCAAAAGACATAATACCATCTTTTAATCAGGTGGTAACAGTTGCAGTCTACAGCTTCTTTCTGGCTTGTCTGATTGGCCGCCAGTTCTTGGATCCAAGTCAGGGATATCCGGGTCATGATGTTGATTTCTACCTGCCCGTTTTCACGCTGTTGCAGTTTTTTTTCTATGTTGGTTGGTTGAAGGTGAGACAAAGCTGATACTGATCTTCTCATTTGCCTGTTTTTGGATGTTAATTCAGAGCTGTCTTGGTTTTATTGTCTCAGGTGGCTGAACAACTAATAAACCCTTTTGGTGAAGACGACGATGACTTTGAAACAAACTGGCTTGTTGACCGCAACTTGCAGGTGTGGAGATGAACCAAACTATTTGCTCTTTTTATTAAAGACAAAGAATTTTCTATTACAGATTCTTTTTTGCAGGTGTCTTTGTTATCGGTGGATGAAATGTACGACAGCCTTCCACTGGTTGAGAAGGACATGTACTGGAATGAGTCAGAGCCAGAACCGCCCTACACACCTGCCAGTGCTGAACATCGAAAACCATCCTTCCTGGGATCAGCACTAGACATCAGGTGAACTGTAATTGTTTTGTATTTTTCTAGAAAACACTTCTTGAATATTTGACGTGTAGATAACCATCTTCGTGGTCTTAACTAGTGTTCCCAAGGAGGAGATGGAGTTTCAGTCTAACCTGGAACAGATCAAAGAAAATGAAGAGGCCAACTACTCCACCCCCCTGCTTGGAGGGCTGGGTCGTCTTTTAGGGGTCCAGTCCCCTCACTTCCCGCGCTCATCCAGGGTGCCTTTACTACGGCGGCGGCCAGGAGCTCCTCTAAGCCGCTTCCCTCTTTATTTGCACCCAGAAGCACCGACTCAAGGTCAAGCTCGCCAGCCTTTGAATCAGGAGCGGGATCCAGACTATGCCTTCTCGACGATGCCGTTGTTTGAGAGACCAGGGTTTTACAGCTGCCCACAAACACCCATCCATAATGAGCCTCCAGCTGTGCCTCGCCCTCGGTACCAACGGCGCACCCAGAATGACTGGGATCGCAGCTGTAGCTCCATGGCTCCTCAGATGGTTAGCTCTCAGTTTCTTCCTCCAGACACTCCAAGCCACATTCCACCACCGCCATCTTCTGCATTACCCTGGGTGAGCGGGAATGGCGAGATACAGAGTGGTCCAGCCTTCTCCTTCCCTGACCCACCACCGGAGCTCTATCCAATATCTAAACTTAGACCAGGGCATGGCCTCTTGTCTCGCCGTCCTCTTCTTCCTCGCCTGACTTTGGAAACCCTTCCCTCCTCCGACAGCCAGGCTGGACCTCCAAGTGCTCAGGCCAACGGAAGTGGAGGTGAAAGAGTGTTCTCATTTACTCCCCCCTCTCACACAGTGGTACCAAATCCCAGTAATCCCAACAGCAGCTCCAGCAGCATTAATGCAACAAGCACCAACGGCACAAGCACAACAGGAAGTCTCTGTAATGGAATCAGTATCCATGGTAACTTCAGCTCAAACACCAAGGTGAGCAATGGGGGCACAAATGGTGGACCGAGCAGTATCACAAACACAACTCCCACTACAGAACCAACACAGCTAGATACCAATCAGCAAATTCTGTCCAATGATTCTGGGATCTCATTGGCTGACGGGGACCTGCTGGGAGTTCTGGTGGACGAGGGGGTGAAGAACGCCACAGGAGGAAGGGAGCAGGACTGAGAAAAATGGGTTTGACACCAGAAAAAAAGGAAGTGGGAGCAGCCAATGTAAAGTTACACATAAGTTTGAGAAATATATATTTAAAGACTTGAGTTTGGCATTTGGCAAACATCTTTGCTGGTTTGGGGCCTGAAGTGGCCATGTCTGGACCAGAAGGTAAAACTGGAGGAAGTTTTTTAAACTGAAGAAAAACACATATTAGTGACATAATATTTATTTAAATTGTAGTTATTTAAATGACAAATCACAATTCTGCTGATCACGAGGGCTGATTTTCATGTGAAAATGACTGAATTTTCTACAGTAAGCAAACATTTGAAAGGCCAGCTCCCAGTGACACGTCTCAGAGTTATACCCATCTTTTATGCATTTATAAGTTAGACACAATGAGCTTTAACTTTTAAAATTCCACAGTAAACAAGAATCTCTTCACTGTTTACAATTCTGAACAAATCCTTTATTTTATTTTTTTTACTGAATTTTGTTACTTTTTGTCCGGACACCACCTTGAGATTTCAGTGGTGCGATGTGGAAAAACGACACCAAACAGCATACACTCATTCCCTCTAGATGTATGTACTTTGTGTCCTAATAAATAAATAAATAAATAAATAAATACATAAATAAGTAAACATGCTTCTTTTGTTGCTGCTCTTAAAATGAAAATCCTGTAAACTAATTGTATATCATTGTTTTATTTCCATCATGATACAAGAATACTGTAGGTACAATTGTTCATGTTAAAAAATACAAAATTAACACTTTCAAACAAAAATAACTTGACAAAAAAAAATGTCAAACACTGTGTTTAATCTTCATCTGAAAATCTGGCTTAATCATGTTTCATTTCTTGACCACGTCAGTGTAGAAAACTCTAAACAAACAACTGCAGCCATTGTAAAGATTCTTCAAATATAAACAAAACATAAAGCAAAAAAATTAACAAAATTTTCAACTATTATAATGTGTGTATGACTTTGCTGTGGTATTTTTTATTTGATTTCCTGGCTTGTAATTCATTATATGTATATGTGTGTGTGTATATATATATATATATATATACACACACACACACATATATATATATATATATATAATATATACATATATATATATATAATATATACATATATATATATAATATATACATACATATATACATACATACATACATATACATATATATATACATATATATATATATATATATATATATATATATATATATATATATATATATATATATATATATATATATATATATACATATACACACACATAAGTCTAATTGAAGGTTTTGGCTATATTGATAGATAGAATTAAACCACGTTATGGTGTAACAATGAACCTGAAATGTTAAAACCTGGAAATATTTATTGTGGCAGAGTCGAGTTTAATAAATTAATCTTCAAAGTGAAGCACTAACTTAATCACTGCCAAGTAGAGGTCGACCGATATTGGTTTTTCTATTGCCGATACCGATAAGTAAGAGACATGGTCAGCCAGTGGCCCAAACCGCGATACTTTCCCCCTTATTTTCATGCTAAAATGTCACTAATAACATCAGTTGATGAACACAATATCTGTAGCTGGATCAGCTTTTTTTTAACTCTGAATTTAACTAACTGTTCAAGTTTTACTTTGTGCACTGGGCAGTGTTAAAGTCAGACACCTGAACAAAGTTAATTTAGAGTACTTATAATGCAGATGTTATTAGTTAATTCTGCAACTGCACCGGGCAGCCCAAGCATGTGCCTGACTTTAAATCGGTTTTACTAAGGACTACTAATATTGGCCAATGTACCAAAACGCTAAACATCGGCCCGATATATCGGTCTACCCCTATTGCCAAGATCAGTGAAATATAGATAAGCATGAATATATGATAGCTGTAGTGAAAGCTGAAGCACATGTTGCAGGACCACACATGAATATTTGTATTCTGCATGTGGATGACAAGCATAAATAAAACAACAACTTTTATATGCATGTTTGTGGCTGAGATGGAGTAGTTTAACTGGCCTCCTCGCTCATGGTGTGTTTGTCAAAGAGGTACTCAGCCATGCCGTTCTGAGGGGCTCCCATACGACGCAAGTTTGAGATCCAGTTGCCCAGCTGTTTGATGGATTTCACCTGCTCATCCAGGAAATGTGTATCTATGAAGTCACACATCTGTTTGTAAGAGAAAGATAAAAAAACATTGAAGAACATCACATTACGAGATTGAACTGATGAATCCTGTGCAGTTTGTTCCTCCAGCAAGCTTCTCACATGAGGATCGTCGTGTTCGGTCGCCATTTTCTGCAGATCCAGCAGAGATTGGTTTACACTTTTCTCCAGCTGCAAAGCACAGTCCAGAGCCTCCAGAGCGCTCCCCCACTCGTCTCTATCTGGTTTCTAACACGAAAATAATTCATGACAACATCAAGTATTTATTTTGTGATAGAAAAACTGAAACAAACACAATAAAGTTACATTTTAAATCTAGAGCGGCATTCATTAATATCCCATGAGGAAAAATTATTCTAAAAATTAAAAATAATTAAGGAATATATTTTTTAAATGCTTACAAACCACAGACTGTTTTGTAAAAAAATAATAAAATAAATAAATAAATAAAAGAATGTATGAGTAGATACCTTGATGTCCTGAAGAAAGATTCTGCCTCCACGATTGTTCTGCAGACCCATCAGCTTCTCGGCATGCTCACGTTCCTCCTTTGACTGCGTTTTAAAAAACTTGGCAAAATTTGGTAGAGACTTATCGTCTCTGTCAAAGTAGTATGCCTAAAAGTTATGAAAAACAGAACAAAAACACTTAATTTACTCTCTCAAAAACACAAAACAAGTCATAGCACTGTGAGCTTGAATGTTTCTCTTACCATGGAGAGATAAACATATGAAGCATACAGCTCCAGGTTGATCTGTCGGTTTACTGCAGCCTCGCAGTCCTGGTGGAAGTTCTGTCGAATTTGTGAACTCATTTCTGTGACAGTAACAGTAGATGTGAAATGTTATAGTCTTCTACACCAAAAAAGCACAAGCAGTGAATATAAAGTCCCATCTGAGCAAACGTTTTCTGCAGAATTCACACAACTAGTCTAATTTTCTTTCATATAATGATCAGACTGAAGGTAATATGTAAAATAAAATCAAACTGTTTTGTGGAGGTGTAATAAAAATGAACTTGTCATCTGTTGTATAATTGCTTTATACAAGTTATTGATCACTACTGTTTGTCAATCACACTTATCATGAGGATGTAATCAAGGAGAGCCGAACATAATGTGATCATGAGGATGTAATCAAGGTAATCCTGGTGGAGGTGTGCAGCTTTGCACGCACATCAGGGAATGTATAAGGAGCAGAGCAGAGCTCAGAGCTGTTAGAGCTGCTTGTTGGATTCTACCTGACGAGGTTCATGGATTACATTTTCTAACTGGGGTGTTCAGCTCTCCACCCATAAGCAACGGTAAGAGAAATGTTTCGTTCATGATTGATAACTTGTATGAATGCCGGTTGAATAAAGCCTTGTTGTTCATCTGATATTCAAGTTGTGTTTCATTGTTTCTGGCGTCGACTTGACAACGATCCTGACTAAATAAATATAAAGTGTAAAAAGAGACTTTGAGTCTTTTAAGGTAATTAAAATAAAATAAAACATTTTATTTTAGAACATTTTTGGCGTCACGAACAGGATCAGTCAAGCTATTCCAGCAACAATGAAGTGTTTTTGGAGAAGCAAAAAGGAGCCGAGTGCTTCTGGGGAGGGAACGCCGATTCCCGTGCCGATTCCCGGCTGGGAAACGGAGGAGTTCCGATCCATTGGTGATATGTTAAGGCAGCGCGGTGGACGCCCTGGGCCGTGGGGAGAGTTAAATGGAGTGGTCAGCCCCGCCGTGGTGCTGGACCGTTTGACGCGGATAGAAGTTAAAGAAAAAGCGCCGCTGGCAGGAGTGAGAGATATGATGTGGCTTTTTGCAGAAGCATGGAAAAAACAGGAGTTAGAATTGAGCAGTTGTAGAGAGCGAGCGGCGCAGGAGAAAATCCATGCTGAAGAAGTTGAGAAATCATGCTCAGAGTTTGAGCAGAGAGTGTGTGTGATGGGGAAAGAGCTAAAGCATGCTCAGAATGTTTTGGATAAAACGCTGACTTTTGTGTCTCGAGCGCAAAGGAAGGAAAAGAAGCGACCTCGTAGAACAGGTCCTGCTCAGATCCGGGCGTTTGTAAAGAATGTTGGTGAAGATTGGGACCCGCAGAAATGGAACGGGGATCTTTGGGGGGATGATGAGGAGGAGGAGTGGGTGATTAAACCTGACCCACCACCTCAGCCCTTGTATCCATCATTACAGAGGATAAAGATGTCAGAACAAAGACCTATTACTAGGCGTCGGCGAGAACAGCAAATTATTCCACCAATACTGGTAGATATGGTGGATGATCAGGGACGGCCGGAACTCGATGAGGCGGGTAATATAAGAAGGATGTTACAACAGCAGCCACAACCCGCCCCTAGGCTGCTAACAACGCTAGAGGATTATTCACAAGATGAGTTAAATCACATGAATGGGAAGCTGAAACAGCGCCCAGGCGAACCAACTGACTCCTGGCTTAATCGCCTTATGGAGGATGGCGCGTGTGATATAGCCATAGATGCCGGTGATGCCATGAGATTTTCAGGATTAAGTACTGATGCACAGATAAATGCTGAATACAGGGCTACAGTCCGGGCATTGCCAGCTGATGAAGATTTCAATGTGGGGGATGCATATGCTCTGGCATGTCATGTAATCTATCCTACCACGGCGGACTGGTCTGAGATTAAAGGGCAATGGCAGACAGTGAGAGATGCCATTCAGCGGCTCACCAGACTCACTATTAGAGAGCAAGTGGCTCGAAACGGGGGAGCTGGAGTGGTGGACTGTAACATCTCTAAGGCAACTAGAGATCACCTCATCAGACATGCCCCACCACATTATAAACCCATGGTGACCAGCTTGTTGTTTGGCGCGGCAGACCAGACTTTTGCCGCGATAAAAGATCGTCTTGGCGAACTCACCACGCTGGGTGATTGGTCTGAGACGAGGAGAGAGGGAGCTAGAACTGAAAATAAACCCAGGATTGATCCACATTCAAGGGGTCGTAAAGGGGGGGCAATGGGCCCCTCTAGAACAGATCTGTGGAGGGCACTGCGACAAGCGGGAGTGCCGTTTGAGGAGATTGATGGATTGCCCACTAATGCATTGATGGAGAAATGCAGCCAAATGGGACTGAAGGTCCATTGTCAGTTCAGACATTGTCCTGAAAAGGACGACAGGATGTCTGTGTCAGAATTGGTTGGAATGTTGCAGAATGTGATCAGGGAGGTGGCGTCGAAGCCTGCTGAACCTTCCGCCCCTCCCAAAGAATCTTCAGAGGAGGAGAGTTCAGATGAGTGTTATCAGGTGGCGGCAGTGAAGCGTAGAAAGAAAAAACAGCACCGAAGGGAACATGATGATGAATAGGATGAAGGTCAAGCTCGGGTTGTTGCCAGTGCCTCAGGATGGTCAGTAAATGATATCAGACCACATGTGGAATTACAGATTTATTGGAAAAAATCAGTACAGACAGTAATGGCATTGGTTGACACTGGGGCGGAGGCCTCTGTAATTCATGGCAATCCTGATAAAATAAAGGGAAACATTGTACCTTTGACTGGACTTGGGGGGCAGATGTTAGTAGGAAAGGGAGTAACTTTGCCCTTAAAAATAGGAAATCAACCTATTAGAAATTACAGTGTAGTAGTGGCTCCTGCAAAGGAATGGATTATTGGAATGGATATATTGGCCGGAATGACTCTTCATCTGAAACATGGTCGATTTTGTTTTGGTATAAACAGAATCCACACCATTTTGGTAGGCAAGGTCAAAATGACACCTTTTCCCATTCCTGAAGCAACACAGGTGGTATCACAAAAACAATACCGGTTGCCTGGGGGTCAGAAAGAAATTACGGACACTATTAAAGAATATCTGGAGGCAGGAGTTTTGAAAACATGCACCACACGGTGGAATAATCCCTTATGGCCAGTGAAGAAATCAGATGGTTCATGGAGAATGACTGTGGATTATAGAGCGCTGAATAAACATACTCCTCCTTTAACGTCTGCGGTTCCGGATGTTATCACGATTGTGGAAAGGGTGCAGCATCACTCTGGTACATGGTATGCGGTGATAGATTTGGCCAATGCTTTCTTTACCATACCTATCCCTGAGGACAAGATGGAACAGTTTGCCTTTACATGGGAAGGAAGACAGTACACCTTCACCAGATTACCACAAGGGTATGTGCATTCACCCACAATCTGTCATAGGATAGTGGCTGAAAATCTGTCGACTTTAAAGATCCCATCAGGCATATTGTTATCACACTACATTGATGACATCATGATTCAGGGAAACACTAAAGAAGAGGTTGAGCAATTGCTCCCACTTCTGATAACACATATGAAGAATCATGGATGGGAGATAAATCCAGCGAAAGTGCAGGGACCTGCACAGTCAGTGAAGTTCTTGGGAATTATCTGGAATAGAGGGGAAAGAGAAATAACAACTAAAGCTAAAGAGAAAATAGCACGGTTCCCAATACCACAGAATAAGACAGATGCTCAGCGGTATATTGGGTTGTTTGGGTTCTGGAGACACCACATACCTCATTTAGGACAGATCTTGCAGCCTCTGTACAGATGCACTCGGAAGAAGGAGCAGTTTGAATGGGGGCCTGATCAACAACAGTCATTTGAACTAGCTAAAGAGGCAATCCAACAAGCTGTTTCTTTGGGGAAGATGTTGTCAGGACCAGTGGAGTTACAGGTTTCTGCAGTAAATGATTATGCTAACTGGAGTTTGTGGCAAAAACAAGATAGGTGCAGAAAACCTTTGGGTTTTTGGTCTAGGAAATTGCCTGATGCAGGACAGAGATATACTCCATTTGAAAAACAGTTGTTGGCATGTTATTGGGCTTTGTTGGAAACAGAAGCCCAAACTGTGGGGCATGAAGTAATGATGAGAACACATATACCCATTCTAACTTGGGTCATGAGCAATCCTACAACTCACCGCATAGGGGTAGCTCAAGAGGCTAGCATCATAAAATGGAAGTGGTATGTTTCTGAGAGAATGAAACCAGGAGAAAAAGGAGTATCAATGCTCCACGAGCAAGTGGCAGACGTTCCAGAAATGGATGAAGTGCCTTTTGAGGTAAAACCAATCCAGGATTCTCCTGTGAAACTGGGGGTAAGATGGAGCGAACTCACCCCAGAGCAGCAGGAGCGAGCCTGGTTCACTGATGGTTCCTGTCAATATGTGGCAGGAACCAGGAAATGGAAGGCTGGGGCATTTAACCCTGGTACACAACAAGTTATGGAACTCACAGGGACAGGAAAGAGTAGCCAATGGGCAGAGTTGAAAGCAGTACACATGGTAATAATGGCAGCTGGGGTGCAGGGAGTAAGTATTTATACTGACTCCTGGTCAGTAGCCCAAGGAATGTTAACTTGGATGCCAACTTGGCATGCTACACAATGGAAGATACATTCAAAAGAGGTTTGGGGAGCTGACCTATGGAAGGACATTTGGGAGAAATGCCAAAATATTCCTGTGTCAGTATTACATGTGGATGCTCATACTAATAACAATGATCCTGAATCCCTGCATAATCAGACTGTAGATAAGATAGTGAAAATTCAGGCTGTAAGACAATCAAGTCCTGGATTAGCCAAATGGGCTCACGTTACTGCTGGACATTGGGGTGTGCAGGGAACATTGAAATGGGCGAGGGACAGAGGAATAGATCTCATCATTGATGATATTAAAACTGCCATAGAAGATTGTGAACATTGTCAGCATACAGGTAAAGAACCGTTGGTACTGGAAAAAGGAGACAAGATAGCTCAGTTAGTAATCAAACGGTGTGTAATGTCCAAAGTTGAAGAGATTACTAAACCTACCACTATCACTCAGAGGGGTGAAACTGGGTTTGAATCATCAGACTTTACTGCGGGGGCAAAAGTGTGGGTGGAGCAGCTCAATGGTCCTCCCAGAGCTGGAGAGATTATTGCACAGGGAAAAGATGCTGTGGTAAGTGTATTGTTCCCCGGAGAGGAAAAATGGATTAATATTCCGATAAACAAATGTTACAGGAGAGAAAATTAATGCTTGTCATTCTATCTGCAGTTTTGTATGTATCCCATAGGCGGGTGTCTGAGTGACGGTGGTTGACTGGGTCCCCTTCCCCTACAAAAGGATTGAACCTTTGTCGAGGCGATGGATGGGCTCCGCGGACCTGGTGGTGTCGGATGTTTGGTCATCGTCCTCCATGTCCTCGCTGTCATCGCACTGAGGGCACATTTCTGTTGGGGGCTCACGGAAGGACAAGTGTTGGAAGAAGGGGTCATGGGCCATCTGGAATTGGTTAGCAGTATGTCCAACCGCACTCAAGGCACATTCACATGCAGAGCAAATGACGCTTGCTACTTGGGAAACCTAACATCTACCGGTAAGATGTACCGGTGCAGAGGATGTCTTAAAATCCGAGGAAGGGTGATCAGCCCAGGGGTGTTGGTTCAAGGATCAACAGTAACCTTTAATTCTGCAGCGTGCATCTGTGCATACCATCAGGGGAATGGTACTTGCATACAAAATGGCACAAATTGGAGTATGAAGGTTGATCGCGATTTCCGGATCAGGAATGGAACTGTAATCACAGGAGGACGCGCCTATTTGTACATATTCTGGGTGCTGCCCGACACAGCTAGAGCTACGCAGACAGCTGTAGCTCCCCTGGTTCACACTTGTCAACAAATGGGACAAATAAGGGTAGCCGAATATGTGCGATGGACTGTGAAATTCCCTCCTATTCCGCCTTGCAACAGGAGGAGGCGAGCATGGTATGACACCGTGCTAGGAGGAACTGGAACTTTGTATGGTCTGGCTAACACAGCAAACAATGAGGTAACACGAACTATGCTGTCCAACACTGGAGAATACACCGCACAAGCTGTCACCAAGACTGCAAGATGGATGCCTTCGACTGTATCTAGTCAGCTAGAAGGAAGTGATGTGTGGAAAAGTGTATTTAAATGGAATCTAAAGCTTTGGAATGAAACTTATGATGCATTGCATAATTTGTCACACATAGGTAATTGGACAGTCTGTTCCTTGCAGACTATTCATGCTGAGACACAGAGAAATAGGTTTCAAATACAGGTAATGAGTAATAACTATCATGCATGGCGAACATTATGGAACATCAGTAGTTCATTATGGCTACAGCTACATGCAGAAATGACGATTTGTAATAAATCTATGTGTACTGGATACTGGGATCAGTATAATATGACATCAGTAATGACTGTGTGTAGATATCAGATACTGCCGGTGATAACCACTAAAGGGTTTTGGTATCTCCATGTTAGTGGAGAGTGGTGGGATGTTAAAACAAATCGAACATATGAAGTAAAACACTGTGATGAGACTGATAAGGGTTTAGCCTGCCCATTGGTAAAAGGACATAGCAATCCATGTTTCACTGATTCAAGGGTCGTACTCTGTGATTGGACGGTCACACCCCCAGAGGAACAGTTTTGGCAGGTGGGTCCTAACACCTTATGCGTGGCTACAATGACCAATTCCCCACAGGTACCTTCAGTTCCCTTTTCAGGTTGTCTCAAGGGTATACATATGTGGGAATGGAATAACGTGACCTATTGGTTGAGTAATTACACTGTATCTAGTCGGCTGACTAAGATACAATGGGAGGTTTTACACTCCCCTTGGACACTCTCACTGGAACGATTCAAATGCGCATTGGATGGTTCCACTGAAGTGGCAAAATTGATTGACTCTCATAGGTCCAACCTTTCCAGGCTTATGGTGTCTACTCTTGTGGCACAAGGGGAAATAAAACATGTTGCTACATTGATTGAACAGGCTTCCGCTCATCATTGGTGGGATATATTTACAGGCATGTCGAGTACCGCTAATAAAGTGCTAATTCCACCTATGATTGCAGCATTAATTATAATCAGCATTCTAACATTGTGTAATCTTATTATTTGTTGGTATGTTATTCGATTAAGAAGAGAAATAAATTGGGTAATAATGCAAAGACTACGATGAAAATTAAAGTGGAACTACAAGGTATGTTATAAATGACGTTGGTTTTGATGGGGAAATGGTGATGGATATGTTACATAAATTAGATGAAAAGTTCAAGAGTGGAATGTAATAAAAATGAACTTGTCATCTGTTGTATAATTGCTTTATACAAGTTATTGATCACTACTGTTTGTCAATCACACTTATCATGAGGATGTAATCAAGGAGAGCCGAACATAATGTGATCATGAGGATGTAATCAAGGTAATCCTGGTGGAGGTGTGCAGCTTTGCACGCACATCAGGGAATGTATAAGGAGCAGAGCAGAGCTCAGAGCTGTTAGAGCTGCTTGTTGGATTCTACCTGACGAGGTTCATGGATTACATTTTCTAACTGGGGTGTTCAGCTCTCCACCCATAAGCAACGGTAAGAGAAATGTTTCGTTCATGATTGATAACTTGTATGAATGCCGGTTGAATAAAGCCTTGTTGTTCATCTGATATTCAAGTTGTGTTTCATTGTTTCTGGCGTCGACTTGACAACGATCCTGACTAAATAAATATAAAGTGTAAAAAGAGACTTTGAGTCTTTTAAGGTAATTAAAATAAAATAAAACATTTTATTTTAGAACAGGAGGATTTTTCTTTGATATAAGAAATTTTCTTTTGTAATGTGAAAGACTCATTGACCCACACACTGTAATCTCGCAAGGACAGAGTACTGTGATTACATCTTACTCTTGGCAGAAAACACAGTGGTGGGTGGGTTGAGGCACATATATTTTAAGATGTGTCCTTAAGTTTCTACACAGCAAACAGCTGAAAGTTTAATGCACAATTGATCAATAGTTGGTTGATTAACATGCGTCACTTGATTAAATTCACTAGTTTTAGTGGATTGTAAACTGTTTTTAGAAACATGTTAAACAGGGTATGGCCAGCAATAATTTAACAGACCAGAATAAAATATGCGTTTAATTATGTCTCAAATATGTGTAATTTAATAAGCAGCTCTTTTAATATAACCTGAACAAGAAATTAGATGCCAGCATGCGGCCTAGAACGTCGCGGCGTAAATTAGCTGCAGGGTTCTCAAAATATCACGAATTTACCAATAAGCTAGCTAGGAAGCTAAGAAGAACACAAACCATACGTACTTGTGCCAGTGACCGCCCACTCTCTTTTGCGCTTAAATAATAAAATAATTCGCCTTTTAGGCTAAATGGTATGATAAAACTTGAAAGACGAATGCGGGTTAATGCTGAACGACACACGAGGCTAGTAAACATGCGTCACCGGAAGGTCATGCTAATATCAATGCTGCTTTCAATGCCACTGGGATTAAGGACATTTATTTTTCAGCTGGTTTTACATTTAAAACTTAACGTCAGTCTGTGTAGCTCCAAATCACTTTTACTATCACTATTAATTTTTCAAACTACAGCAAACACTCAAACGCTTCTTTAAAAGCTCGCTGAGTAACAAATGCTTGATAATGGCATTACTTTGGCTCGACATCTTTATGACCATGGTCCATTGAAAGCAACAGAATTGTTAAAGGAATAGTTCAAAGGTGAAGGGTTATGGTTATGATAAACAATGTAATGTCTAATTCTGTGTGGATTTTTTAAGATGTAATTGGGTATTTATTAGTCTTTGAACTAATAGTTTTATATCCGACATGGTTGGGTAAAAATGACACGTTATGCTAGCAAAAATTTGTAATTTAACATTTTACATGACATTTTAATAATTTAATTTAGAAAGAGGGGAAATCCCCCTACAGTGGAGTTTCGACCTGTGGCCGCTAGAGAGAATATGATCTGAGCGAGCTGCTAAAGGCTCCTGCCGTGGTTTTTAAACGGATACTTGAGTCTTAGTAGTTAATAAGTGAAGACTGTCCCGATTTCCTGTTATCTAGACGAACTATTACCTGTTACCGCTCATTTAAAAATTGTAGCATTTTAGTGTTTTACGTTGAAAGAAAACACAAGCTTAGCTTGTGAAGGCTGATGAGCAGCTTAGTTGCCATACTGGATGGGTTCCTCACGGCTTCAACTATACACATTGATGATGGAGTCATCAACCAGCCCACTTTAGAAAACAAATCACTTTTGACTTTTCTAGCCTACCTGTTGGTAGGTTTACATAATTTTGTTGTTTTGTTTTAAAATCTAAGCTCGACTTTTATTTACCATCAATATATACTTAAAATAACTTCTTCCCATAGGATTCACTTAGATGTGTGACCATTTACCTACACAGACGTCTTAATACTTTAATCTTCAATTTGTAAATAAAAACTAGTTTCCCATTTGTTTATTTCAATTAAAAAAAATCTTATTTCAAAAACTCACATTCATTTCATGAAGAAACAAATTACTAAATATACAAAAAGTTAAAACAAATGCATTTAATAGTGAAGAAATATGAGCACATACACATTCTTTTTGTGATGCATGCTCATTGTAGCCAGTTACTAAAAGAGAACGGGACAAAAAAGTTCTCACAAGGTTCTTATCAGATTATTAACAAACGTAAAGGAAGAAAAACAATAGGAAAAATGACAACAAAAAACATCTAATTTAAATGGAAAAAAGACCAGTGATCAAAATTTACAACACTGCATCTGTGTCCAGATCTCACTTAGGTGGCGAGTGCCACACTGCAGAGCTGGTGCGCTTAAAATATCTAGGCTTGCTCTTGTAGAAGATGTTCTCCAGTTTCGGCGGCTCAATTGCTCCAAACAAAGCATGTAAATCAGGAGGGTTGAAGTACTGCTTCATTATTATCTGCCTCAGATTAGAACCTGGAAAACAAACACATCAAACAGGTTTCACAATTAATGTTGAAGGCACAAATAAACCAACACACAGGGACAGTTGCCTCACGCTTCATCAGATGCATTTTAAACATGAAAATGTTATTTCTCAGGATCGTGACCTTGCAAGAATCTACTAGCTTCACAAAGCAACCATCAGACACCCGGCATTCTGAATAAACTAGTCACAGAAAATCCCTCAACAGCCATACACACCTTCAGCCCAGGACGGGATAGGCTTCCTGGGGGCCGACTCATCATCTGTGGAGTCGTCACTGTTTTGGTCCATCCCATAATCGTCTGCATTCTTGGAAATGATCACAGGCTTGTTTCCACCCTTTGGAGTGATGGCATATGACTGTGGGGAGGAGGGCTGCAGAGGAATAAGCAACACATGATGAGACTTTAAAGGGATACTTTTTTTTAAAGTACAAATATAATGAGTACCAATAAAATACCTCAACATCCACAGTGACATTTAGACCGGGAACAGCTTTTCCAACAGGTGTGCTCATTACTGAATGCTAGGGAATAAAAATTGCTTTTAATTTCATTGTGTTTGTGTAGAGTGACAATAAAAGGCATTCCATTCTACTCTATTCATAGTTGTGTGCAGCTGACGCTTACCTCTAGATCCACAGTCACATTTAGCATAGCCTTCATGACAGACAAGAGGAGAGCTCATTTAGATGCAGCATTAAATAAAAATACACACAATAGCTACATTTCACTGTTCCATACTCTTAACAAGTCTGTTTGCTTTGAGATATGAATAATCCATCCACCCATCCATTTTCAGCCGCTTATCAGGAGTTGGGTCGCGGGGGCAGCAGCCTAATGGGCTCAACACACGGGAGGCGACATCGCCTCTCCTCCATTCATTTTCAATGAGACATGCGCGACAAAGCGATAATCGCGGGTCTCCCTCCTACCAAGCGAAACACGAAAAACGTGCGTGTGAAATTTTGCGCTCGTGCACGTGTCGTGCACAGGTGACCCAGCGACGCGATCCCAGAAAGTTGAAACATTTTCAACTTTTCATCGCTGTTGCTCGGACGAGGACCAATCAACAGAGGTTTCATTCACTGACCAATGAGCGGGCAGGATGCTCCGTACATCTCCGAGCAAACATGGAGGAGAAGTTGATTATTATTATGTTTTATAGTAAAATCAGAAGTAAGATTTCACATAACTCTAGCAGCACCTTGTGAAACATCATCTCTACCACTTTATTAACTCTGAACCACTTAAATAACCTTAATTCCCTCCAACCTGACACAGCCAAACAAAACAACGGAAGTTTCGATTTCGCCATGGAACAGAACGCGTGGACGGCTTTGCCGCTGGCCGCAGATCGCCTCCTGTGTGTCCGGTAATAAAAGCGACAGCGACAAATTTCGCTGATCGTGGTCGTTTGTCGCCTCCCGTGTGTCGAGCCCATAAGCCCAGACACCTAGACTTCCCTCTCCTCAACTACTTGGGCCAGCTCTTCCGGGGGAATCCCAGGGCGTTCCCTGGCCAGCCAAGAGACATAGTCTCTCCAGCGTGTCCTGGGTCTTCCCTTGGGTCTCCTCCCAGTTGGACGTGCTTGGAAAACCTCCTCAGGGAGGTGTCCAGGAGGCAACCTGACCAGATGCCTCCAGAAAGATTTGAATAACAGATAATTTAGTCTTTTTTTTCTTGGATCAAAAACATTGTTTGTGCCAAACAGATTTCACAGTATATTGAGGATTTCACCTTGATAATGATAAATGGACGATAACTAGTGTATGCGCAAAAACAAAAAGTGTCCACTAGATGGGGCTGTCACGAGTATTACTGACTTGAGGTGGTACAGCTTCTTCAAGGGACATGAACCTAGCCAACCTACACACATCTATTCATTTTTTTATTACAGAATTAAGTGACATGGAAAAAATTATATCGTTTATAGAGTCAGAAATGTCAACGATGATACAGTTTTGATTCATTGCTCAGCCCGAGGATAGATTAAACTTTAACCGTCTAAATATTTAAAGCATTAATTCACCTGTTTAACTGCAGCCTCTCTCTTATTTGCTTCTTCTCTCTCTTTAAGAGCCTTTTTTTCTGCAGCCAGCCTCTGCTGCTCCTCCTGTTATAAAAAAAGAAACAATGGTCATTAAAAAAATAAAAACAAACAAGCTGAGCCACTGGAATGGAGAATGATGAGCTGCTGATCAGCTCTTGTTAAAACTGTTGCACAAACATTCCTGTTTACAAACAAAACCAAATGAGGATTTTTGGGATAAATACATGAAAATCCAATGATATTCATTTAGTGTAATGAGGTTGATTAAAGTGATTTATCAAAACACGAGTCTTTTCATGGCCCCTAGCATCAAACGCGTCCTTCGTGATGGTAATGCTTAAGCGAAAACATCTAAACGTCTACTTACCAGTTTTCTTTTTTCCTCCAACACCTTTCTCTTCTCCTCCAGCTCCCTCATCTCTTTCTCTCTTGCTGCTCTTTCCAGTGCATGCTGTAAAGCAAGAGCCCTTTCTTTCTCCAGTCGCTCTCTGAATGAAACAAAGATTCATAAACTAAATTAACCACAGCTGAGTAGTTACAAAATTCTGTGCAAAATGCTTTTAAAGTCTGGTTTTGTTAAGATTATTCTGATGAATTTAATGAAACTGTAAAAATACCCCAGATCTAATCTAAACAGCTGTTTACTCGGATGTACTTGCAACAAAAATGTGATTTGAAATCTAAGAAAACAGAGGCGGGGCATCTGTTGTAGGCCTTAGGCCAGAACTACCAGGACCTCTAATGGAGGACGTGAATAAAAGGCTGTTTTGTGTTTCATGATTTGTTGTTGCAATCATTTCAGCGGAGGCTTACAGCAGTGCTTTGTCATAAAGTAGTCCCAAGTCTAAAATGGCGCCTGTCATTCTTTCATGTCAACAATTATTTTCACTTGCAGTCAGTCTGATTATTTAGGTCACCAAGGAGAACTGGATCACTACAGAATGATTTTAAAGACTTTTTTTTTACTCACATTGCTAATTGGATCCATTCACTTACTGTGTTTTATGCTAAGCTAACGCTAAAGGAGTACAGTTGGTTCAGGAGAATGACTTGGCTGGCTAAAAATAGCTTTTTCAAACTTATCCAACGCTGGGAAATACTACAGAGACAGAAGTCCTTCATCCTAATACTGAGACCTTTCAGCAGCCGCTCGTCGCTCCCTCTCCCTCTCCTGCTCCTTCTTCAGCTCTAGCTCTTTGCGAGCTTGCTGCTCCTCCTCCTCAGCCTTCTTCTTGGCTGCTAGCTCCTGCTGGTGCTTCTCTTCCTCCTGCAGAAATCATGCACACACAACATTGCAACACGCAACGGCAGAACCATGTGGTGTAACAAATAAAACACAACGCTGTCCTACAGCCTGCTGCATCTTCTTCTTCTTGGCCTCCTCTTCCAGTTTCCTCTTCTGTTCCAGCTCCTCCTGCTTCTTCAAGGCCAGTCTCTTCTTGGTCCTCTCCTCTGCCTGACGCTGTAGGAAAGCAAAAAGAAACCCAAGTTTAGATAAAAGAAATAAAAGTGAACATCAGTTCAGAGCTATAAAGACATTAGTTTACCTTATCATTTTTCTCATCAATCTGAGCCATCTTTTGCTCAATCTTCTTCTTTTTCTCTTCTTCCTTCTGCTCTTCTTTAACTTTGGCCTCAAGCACTCTCTTTATCCTCTCATCCCTCTTCCTAGAGAGCAATTATTCAAATTAATAAAGATGTAATTTTTACCCCCCCAAAATTCACCAACTTTGAAAGACGGTAACCTCCTAAGTTCTTCCTGTTTCCGCTTCTTATCTTCCTCCATTTTCCTCATCCGTTCTTCTTCTTGCTCCTGCTTCTTTTTGAGAGCTTCCAGCTTGTGACGCTCTTTGGTCTAAGAAAGCAGAAAACGTGGAGTATAGGGTTAAATTACATTTTAATTGAGAAGTGCTCCAAGACCAATAACAAGTGCACACATGAGAAGACAGAAACAATGAGCTGCTTATGGGTTTAAATTAGTAACCAGGTAAATGTGACAACACCTACCTGTTTATGGTGCACGGTCTGAGAAATAACCAGAACTATTTTACAGCCGATTTAAAAGACTGAAAGGTGAGAGATTATCCACTCATGTTTCAGCCTGCAGAGATCACCTGTTGTGCTACATCTGATTAAAATAACACACAAACACCCAGTGAATCACCACAATAGTGTTTAAATGTGGATGTTAAAAAAATGAAGTCCCTCTCCAGCAATTATATTTTTTCCTTCTGAAAATTATTTCCAAGATTTAGCCTAAAACAAAGCGTGTCAAATTAACATTTTCCTACTGTTCTAACTTCCTTATCTATTAACGGGAGATGTTTTACTTTATAACAAATTGTATTAACGCTTTAACTAAAAATGGAAGCACTAATAAAACCTTTGAAACATCACATTAAACCCTGAACTTAACTAGCCTGGACAGCCATGCTAATGCTTCCTTATGGGAAGCAAAGGGCCTGGTAACGCTCCCATTCAAATAACCCAAGCCCCTGAGAATTCTAACCGAGCCAATCAGCACTGAGTAGCGTACGTCACACCGCAACGCTCAGTTTCTCCTAAACAACAAAGATGGCTCCTGACGCGGAGTTCGCTGCAGCTCTTTCCTCTGTTCTAAATGACTTGGACATGTCTTTAAAACCACAACAAGGAGCGCTAAAAACCTTTCTTCTAAAGAAAGATGTGTGCGCCGTTGACAGACGCCATCTTTGACTGCAGCATCACGCTATACGGTTGTCATTTCCACGTTTTTTCTGATTGGTTATTTTTGAGCTGCTAGTCCTGGCTCTCATGGTGCTCTCTGCCTCCGAGTATCCAGACTCGTCGTCTGTAGAATATACAGAGGACGAGTGTGGCAGGCCAGGCTAGAACTTAGCATTTAATATAAATCACACACTCCCTTTAACTCATTTGATCCACATTCTCCTTGGATTATTTCGAACTGTAAACTTGGCTGCTTTCATAGCTTTTGCACCTTCTCTGCTCCATTGTCATTTTATTTATAAATTTTATTTCCACTGGAAACCATTTTGCTCCACTATATTCTCTGGCTACCTGAAATGAAACGACCCAAACAGCATTGCTTTTCATCCATCAGATTTCTTTATCCAGTCTTCAGCAGATGCAACCTGAATGGCCTCGCTGTTGGGCCAGGACACAGTTATAAATAGGGCTGCATGATATTAGGAAAACCTGTGATATCCGATAACAGTGATTAATTTTGCGATGACGATATTACTTGCGATAAATAAAAAGTTAACTTAGGAACAAAAATAATCAAAAACAAAGAAATAAAAATATAAAAATGAGAAAAGCAAAAGATGTGAGGAAAGGGAAAAAGAAAATGAACAAAAAAATGCAATCAGTGGATCCCGGGAAAAGCAGAATCAGCAAAAAGTGCAGAACAAAGCTAAATCAGGTGTTTGCTAACCATCAAAATTAAGTGCCGTCCGCCTCAGAGGCGGGTATCTAACCTAAGAGAACCCACCCAATTGGCCAAATGGGCGAAGAGCTTTATTTGATTTGTTAAAAAAACCATCATGCTTCTGTTTGACTGACAGAATACATTGTGTGTAGCAAACATTTTAGCTGACCATTCATTGTGATATTTATCTGTTCTTTGCGATATGCATATTGTGCATGCTGATATCGCGATAACCAGGGTTGGGCATCGAGAATCGAGCATTGATTGGAATCGGTTCCAACTGTTCATTTTTCCTGCAATCGCTCAATCCGTGGCAGATCTCCGTGAAAAATAAACATAATCTGCAAATTGTGATCAACACTTTTCAGAGCCGATCACACCAGCTGTCTGTCTGCAGCACTGAGTCTCCCCTCCCCCCACCCGGCGGCCAAATCTGAACACGTTTTACTCCGTAATGTAAACTAACTCCTGCAGCGTACAGGAAACTTGTTAAATACATCAACACGGTGCATTTAATAGAAGCTTTAAAGAACAAACTCTGGACGGTGTGAGGTGAGTTGGTCTCACTGCAGAAATAAAAACACACCCGGAGACGTGAGCATCAGAAGGCTGAATAACCTGTAGAATAACTAAAGTCATCATGCTAGAGCAGCTTCTCTGTGATGGACCACACCAGCTTCTGCCACAATAAATAATTAGAATAATAATAAACAACACTTTAATTTTCTTTTTGAACTATTTCTGTTGAGTTTTAATGTTTAAAATGTGTTAGATTGTTACTGACAGCAGCCACATTTAAGTTTCACCTTCTGATTGAAGCTGCTGCAGCATGGAGGTGTAGTTCTCAGTCATCCTGGACATGATCATCCTGAGAGTTTTAGCTGAAAACAGCTGGATGTTTCTGGACATGTTGGACACATTTAGCCTCTCATCCCAGAGGCTTCTTCCAGACTGTGGTTGTGGTCAGAAACAAACACACTGGTTGTACTGCAAGTCTTTTTCTTTTTTTCACCAGAACATGTTTTAGTCTAAATGAAGGTGATGTTGTTGTTCATAGAATTAAAATTTATGTTGAAGTTAAGATTATTTCATCAAGTAGGACCTGTGGTTAGCTGGCTCATGTAAAACATGTCATGTCTTCAAAGAATCTGAATCGGGAATCGATAGGAACCGGAATCGAAACGAGGAATTGGAATCGTTCAAAATCAAACGATGCCCAACCCTAGAGATAATGATATATTTATGATATATTGTGCAGCCCTAGTATATAACATATTGTAAATTCAACTTTATAGAAATTAAGCAAAACATTGAAAAATTCACCTCGCATAATTTCAGTCAATACAAAGTTTCAGAAGCGTCAGTCGGAATCAGAAAATATCGGTAATCGGCCATAAAAGTTAATGCAACCATCGTTTACATTTGATTGCACCACTTCCTGCCTCGTCGGTATCTAGTCCGAGTTATAAATGAGAAGAATTAAGCCAAAATCATATAAAGGTTAAACATCTGGTACAAACTTGAAAGAGAGGGAATTCAAATATTATCAGGTGCAAAAATAAGTTGACACTTTCCATTGTTATAAAATAATAAAAACAAACAAAGTGAATTTAAACTAATAAACTAATGTTAGGTGTTATACTGTGACATCAGTTAAAAGCTGATTTGTTGCATCAGAACAATCCAAGTTTGGTTTTTAGCTAATGTGCCTCAACAATAATGCTGCTCAGCTACTGTTTTAGGTTTAGTAGTAGGTCTGTGTGAAGAGAAGCTGAACATTTAGGCCTTATGTTGCCATAAGGTTACATTTTCCCAGCAGCAAAGGTAAAGAATGGGTTTTTAGTCATACTACAGGATTGTTAAGACACCAACAAATTCCTACCCACAGTGCTTCAGCACTACACTTACCACTATACCAGCGTTCATCTGAGGAAAGGAGGAAAAATCTGATAACTAAACATGCACTGATATGCAAAAGCATGAAAGAGCACTCGCAAAACAGCTTCTAACAAAATACTTTGTTGTAAACTGATAAACTGCTTCTGTCTGATTGCTCTAATTTATTAGCTGGTGAGAACGTTTTTAATCTCCTTTTGTGCAATTGTTCAGATTTCAGTTCTAAATGTGGATGCTTTCGGACTCCAGCACGAACAATCTATGGCCCTAATGTGACCTACATAACGGCACACTAAGGGTAGATCGATATAGTGGTCAGCCAATATTTACCGTTATTATTTTTTGTACACCGGCCGATATTTGTCCTTAATAAAGCCAATTTATAGGAGACCTAGAATGCAGTTAATCAGTAATCTAAAATAAATCCATAAATATGGATGCTACTATTAATGCAACCATCTTTTACATTTGATCGCACCACTTCCTGCCTCCTCAAGTGCAGAATTGTGATGACTACACATCAAAGACGTAAAAATGAGGACACCACATATGAAAGCAACCCAGGTCTGACGTACAGCATGGGTTTGTGCTACAGGTAACATTCAGCCTGCTATGGAACACTTCTGCCTGCAATGAGCCTATAGTACTAACCTAGCCTTGGTGGCCATGTTTGCAATGTGACTTACTTTAGGATCTACTTTCAGAGGAGTGGTGTGCCTGATGAAGGACTTAATCACAGTCGTCCGGCCAAAGGAGTTTGGAGTCATCATCAGCATCTGGTTCTTGTGCACCGTGTGGAGAAAAGACTTCATGTTGGGCTTGATTGCCTATGCATTAGGGGGAAAAAAAACAATGTTCACAACATTTAAATGAGACACTTGAATAAGAGAATTTAAAAAATGATTTTTCATCTTACACTTTGACTTTTCTTGAGGGGTGAGAACCTCTTTGTGGGACTGTCCTCTACAGGGACCGGTGATTTACGTTTAGCTTTGCGACTGGACCTAAAAACAGACTCTGTTAACATGTCTGCTTCTCCATTAAGGCCACTGCAGACTTTCACTCTGAACAAAATTAAATAGAAAAGAAGAGAAAGACCTTCTGACTTCTTGGGATGTTTGCTGATTCCCACACACAACTGGAGAGAAAAACAAAATTTCACTTAATGCAACGTAGTTGCTTTTTGTACAGAAACTAAACAAAATCCAGGAAACCGAAATAAAAGGTATCAGAGCTTCCTACCTTGGTTTTTGACTGGGATGTTCACACTTGGCTGAGAGCTCAACAATGAAGGCGGAGCCAGTTTAGGAGCGTTAGCAGCAACTGAGCGAGTGATGCGTTTAACAGCTGCATCTACACCAATTATCAGGGGCTTGTTTGAATTAAAGAAAAAAGTGGACACAGTTGAATTTAAGAACAAAAGAAGTTCTTTAATGTTTGATGCTTTAAATGTTTTACCTCTGAAGTTTTCTCAGATTTTTCAGGCGCGTCAGCGTCTGCTGTCTCAGGAACACTGTGGAAAGAAACAGAGTGACATGAGCAAAGAACAGTAAAAGCAGTAGAGCTGAAACAACTAATCGATTTAATCGATTATAATCGATTATTAAAATAGTTAACAACTTTTTTAGTCATCGATTAGTTGTTTAATAATCATATTTTACCGCATAAAGTCTATTTTTTACCACAATCTGACATCGGTTACAAGCTGTTAAATTTGCCGCCAGTGTGTGGCAGTAATGAGCCACTGATCTACCAGTGGAGCCGTAGAAGAAGAAATGAGCCAATGGGTGCCCTCGGTTTTCATGACGTATCACGTTACTGACGCTCATCTTGCTGTGAGAGATGGCGGAACAAGAGGAAATACGGAAGAAAAATAGAAGCGACAAAACTGAAGAGAAACCCCGGACAAAAACCTCACGAGTATGGGAGCACATTTGAGACGAAAGCATGTGGGGGCTGATGCAGCAGAGGAAGAGCACCGCGGTCAAGTGAGCCGTCATTTGGAAGAGCCAGCCCGGTAAGTAACAGAAAATAAACAAGCTGGACTTAGTGTTTTAGCTGAGTTCGTTATAGTGGATGTTAAACATGTTTTTTTGCCGCGTCAGTCTGCGGTGTTCTACTTCTGATTGACTAGATGCAATCGTGAATCTCCTCCGTGTTGTGTATCATGCGCTTGCCAAATTTAGCACGTCTGTTTATAAGAATGTTCTCGTTAAGAGAAAAACGGCACAAACCCATAACTATGTTCCTCATTCAAAAAAGGACAACTCCGCGGAGAAAAATATACAGACAAGCTGTGTCCAGGTGAATATAACGCGGCATAGTTGTACACTTTCAATTTTTAAATACAGGAGAAATTCAGAAAAAGTCATTTTTTTACTATTAAAAGGCTGTTTTACTATCTAACGCTGTAAAACGCCTCACAACACATTTTTATCATGTTTCTTAAACAGTATTACACAAAATAAACATTTTTCACATTTCTCTGGCTAATTTAAACACTCCCGACTCAAAGTAAAAACCTCATGAGCTTCTTACTTAGAGCTTTTTAATAGTAAAAATGTTTTACTTTTTTTCTGAATATCTCCTGTTGCGGGCTATTTTGTAGAACGTAACCCTCAAAATAAATGATCACTGTATATTGTTAATTAATTCAAATAATATAATATTGATTTAGTGTTGTAGTGTGTGTGCTGCTTTATTTTATATGTGTACTTATTTCAGTCTATTTGTGTTTCTTATGCAGAAAAAAACAAGCAACGATGGACAACTACATGGGGAAGAAGACACTCACCCCCCAGCAATTCATACCACTTACAAACTCTATTCTAAACATGCTGGTAAAAGACATGAGGCCACTATCCATGGTGGAAGGAGCAGGCTTCCAGCTAATGCTAAAAATTATTCTGGACTGATATTTTGCAATGTTTAGCTCATTTTATACTGCTGACTGTGTTCATGTGCAATAAAATAGATTGCAGTCAACTGCACAATTCTCTTATGTTTTTTTGTTCTTAACTGAAATGCATCCATCACTTGTATAGGTTAAATAGCTAAACAATAACAAACCGATTAATCGATTAATCGAAAAAATAATCGACAGATTAATCGATTATGAAAATAATCGTTAGTTGCAGCCCTAAAAAGCAGTAACAAATTTAATATTGTAATGAAATAACATGAATGCAAGGAAATTATCTATTAGAAACCTTTTCTTGGTTGTCATCAGAAAAAAAATAAAATTAAAAAACGCACAATAGAGCTATCTCAAGTTGAGCCACACTCAGACGGGAAAAGTGGCACGAGATACCTTAGCAGCACCTATGAGTTTTTAGGGACGCACCGATATGAAATTTTGGGCCAACATTGATATTCATATCGCTGTTATGGCCAATAGCCAATATTTGCAGATACCGATATTAGAGCTGAAACAACTAATCGATTTAATCGAATATAATCGATTATTAAAATAGTTAACAACTTTTTTAGTAATCGATTAGTTGTTTAATAATCATATTTTACCGCATAGTCTATTTTTTACCACAATCTGACATAGGCTACGAACTGTTAAATTTGCCGCCAGTGTGTGGCAGTAATGAGCCACTGATCTACCAGTGGAGCCGTAGAAGAAGAAATTAGCCAATAAGTGCCCTCGGTTTTCATGACGTATCACGTTACTGACTCTCATCTTGCTGTGAGAGATGGCGGATCAATAAGAAATACGGAAGAAAAATAGAAGCGACAAAACAAGAGAAACCCCGGACAAAAACCTCATGAGTATGGGAGCACTTCACTAGATGCCTTGAAAAGACCGGTGACCTGCAAAATATGCAAAAACCATGGCACGACGGAAGCACGACGTCCCTAAGTGAACATTTGAGACAAAAACGTGGGGGCTGATGCAGCAGAGGAATGTCCGGTAAGTAACAGAAAATAAACAAGCTAACGCAGATCACATTTGGGACTTAGTGTTAGCTGAGTTTGTTATAGTGGATGTTAAACATGTTTTTTTTTTTTGCCACGTCAGTTTACGGTGTTCTACTTCTGATTGACTAGATGCAATCGTGAATCTCCTCTGTGTTGTGAATCATGCGCTTGCCAAATTTAGCACGTCTGTTTATAAGAATGTTCTCATTAAGAGAAAAACGGCACAAACCCATAACTGTGTTCCTCATTCATTCAAAAAAGGACAACTCCGCGGAGAAAAATATACAGACGAGCTGTGTTCAGGTGAATATAACGCGGCATAGTTGTACGCTTTCAATTTTTAAATACAGGAGAAATTCAGAAAGTCCTTTTTTTAACTATTAAAAGGCTGTTTTACTGTCTAACGCTGTAAAACGCCTCACAACACATTTTTGTCAAAATAAATGATCACTGTATATTGTTAATTAATTCAAATAATGTAATATTGATTCAGTGTTGTAGTGTGTGTGCTGCTTTATTTTATATGTGTACTTAATTCAGTTTATTTGTGTTTCTTATGCATAAAAAAACAAGCAACGATGGACAACTACATGGGGAACAAGACACTCACCCCCAGCAATGCATACCACTTACAAACTCTATTCCAGATTCTACATTATTTTTTATGGAATTTACCTCTTATATTTTGATGCCAAAAAATTATTCTGGACTGATATTTTGCACTGTTTAGCTCATTTTACACTGCTGACTGTGTTCATGTGCAATAAAATAGATTGCAGTCAACTGCACAATTCTCTTATGTTTTTCTTTTTCTTAACTGAAATGTATTCATCACTTGTATAAGTTAAATAGCTAAACAATAACAAACCGATTAATTGATTAATCGAAAAAATAATCGACAGATTAATCGATTATGAAAATAATCGTTAGTTGCAGCCCTAACCAATTTATATATAGGCAGATATTTATGCTTCTGAAATAACCAGATTTTTTATAGACTGAAAATTATGCAAGCTGAATTTTTGAATGTCTTGCTTTATTTCTATTAAGTGCAACCTATATTTGTTGTTACACACACACACACACACACACACTTTTGCTTCAGAGATGATTACCATCACTGTCACATGACTAAACAATTACACGTCATCACCCCTTCACCCTCTGAAACAGATACACAAACTGAAACAAGATGGGGAAAATATCGTTTGATATATCGGCACAGCTGTACTTATTGTACCTATTCAAATAGGTTCAAAAATGACCAACATCGCCCGATACTGATGTACTGTGCATCCCTAATTACCGTAGCAGCCCATTTGTGAGAATTTGATTTTCCTTTAACATCCTGTTTGATTGGAGTGCATTCTGGTCACCTTTGGCTGGTTTTAAAAATATATCAGAAACAAAACTGGCAAACAAGACCCTAATTTAGAAATATTCCAGTTTTACTCACTCTTCATTGTCCTCTTCCACCGTGTCAATGGAAGATTCTCCTGATACACAGAAAGACAGTATTAAAAGGGAAGAAAAATCCTCTTCTGTATACACGTAAAAACCAAAAAAACACTTTACATCTCACCATCGACAGAGCTGCCATTTTTGGAGATATTTACGCGAGCCGACTTCTTCTTAAGCATCGAACGACGTGAGGCACGGCGAACCGCTTCCTGTGTCATGCTGTGCCGAAGACCGGCGAGTGAGTGGCGCAGCTTGAGCGAGTGTCGTACGGAGCTCCGCCTTGAGCTTTTCCTGGAGTCAGTTATTGCAATCTTGATAGCTGTACGGCCCGGAGAGACCTTGGGCCGTACAGCTAACTCTGCAGACAAGCGCTCCTCCCTGGAGATGCTGACAACTATCTCAGGTGTTGGAATCTGTGGGGGAGACGGCTCAGAGCTGCAAGTTCCAGCAGGTGTGACTTCAGCATCATTCACCTTGCTACTTTTGTCTACTTCCTCCTCTATCTGCTCTGGCTCAGTTTTACTGCCATTGCAGGATGTCTGGCTCTCATCAAGAGCCACCTCCAGCTTTGCCTGCTTGTTTCTGCGGGTGGCGCGTTTCGGACGCGTCGTGCTGCTGCTGTTAGAGGTGGAAGCCTCTGGAATGACCTCGTCTTCAGCAATCAATTTCAGGGTTTGAACAGCAGAGCCACGAAGATTACTGCGTTTTCCTTTAGAAAATCTATATAGTGGAAAAACAACAACCAATCACTAAAGTTACAGTGAGAATTTGAGAAGTTTAAAGGGTACATTTAAACCAACAAACCTTGTTTGATTCGCTTCTTGGCGACTTAGAGATACACGCTTCCGACGAGTGTTCCTTTTTTGAGACGGTGTTTTTGGCATCAATTCTGGTTCTGTATTAAAATCCCTGAAACAAATTTAGAACAGTGAGTTAGGAGTAAATATCCTCAAACCTGTGGCATGGACTAAAACCCTAGGAGTCTGGAAAAGGAAACAAGACTAGTCTTGTTAAGACAATCTTAGGCGTCATTCACACTACATGCAAGAACACCAATTCAGATTTTTTTTCCCCCCCACATGCGACCCATATCTGACTTTTTATGACAGTCCAAGCATATGTGGTACTGATTCCAATACATATCTGATGTTTTTGAAAGCGACTGCAGTCTGAACGGTCATGTTGCATTAAATCCGTCTCCTACGTCACTGAGTTTGTGGAGGTGAGCGTCGTGTGTTGATGTTCCTGAGGAGAAGTGCTGGCAGAAGGATTCAGGAGTCTGCCTGGACATCCTGTCATGTTTAGAAATTAAAAATACAGGAGACCCTGAGAACGGGAGCGGAAGGTGCTGCTGGAGCGAAGCGTCTCACCGTTGTCAGTCTCCATGAACAAACTTAATACCGGAACATTTTCGATGAATAATTCGGGAAGACGGCGGGAATCAGGAGTAAAAAAGTTTACAGATTTTAAAACAGTTTCCAGCCCAGAACAGAAGACTTAACCGGTTTGATCCTGATCCTGAACTGTCAGTGAAGGCTTTCTTATCTACTGTGTATGCAGGCCACTTTGAGGCTGTGAAGCATTCACATTGGAGAGTTCCATGTTGCATTTCAGTCATTTAAGCCCCATTCCCACCTGTACCGGGTCGGCCCGGGCCGGGTAGCGTAGGTTGTTTACATATCTGGGTGGCCTGGTATTTTTCCGGGCCAACCAAGGCTCATTCTCAGCCCTCTTCTCGAGGGGGTCTGCTTCAGGCCGACCAGGGCCAACACACCCACTGCTGACAGCAAATTCACACCTTCCATTAGAGCAAGCCTCTGATTGGTGGGTAGAATCAGCCCACATGGGCTTAAGGCAAGCTCAACTCATTATCATTCATTATCATGCTGATTACCCAGAAGCTGAAAGTGTCTCTGACTGCATTCCTTGCATACCTAAGCAAGGATGTGTGGAAACAACCGGGCCAGGCTGGGGCCGACTGGGGCTACCCGGCCTGGGCCGACCCGGTACAGATGGGAATGGCCCAAAAGTGAACAGCCACACACACAAAAAAAAAACTCGATTTACTCCAAAAATCGGAATTGAGCATCAAAGCCTGCAGTGTGAACGTAGCCTAGTTTCTTCAAGTTTGTGTCTTGCATTCAGGATGCCTTTAAACAGATTAATCACTTATCTGTTTAACTGAATTATAAAACTATATATTTTTTTTCCTTTGACATTTTTGGCTTCCAACTTATTCTGGGGTTGGTACGCTGAACATAACTTGGTCACATATAAAGAAACAGCCAAAAGGGCAAAAAATAAACAGAAAACAGTGAAGACAGGTAAAAGGGACACTTTAAATGTCACTGTATTGAGCCAAGCCTACCTCGAGAACATGCGATTGGCTTCTTGCTGGATCTCCTCAAGCCAAACAATGTGAACATTATTAATTTCATCAACAAATTCTTGTACTTTGTCATCAAACATTCCCATGAGGGAGCGCACGGAGGATAACACGGAGGTCATGGTGGCAGCCTGAAGAAACAATGTAGCAGTAAATATCAAAACAAAATCCAACAGACATGGCGAAGAACAGCAAATAGCCTTCAACTTATCAGGGTTATTAATTACTAATATATTTTTACTTGGGTGAAAGTGAAGGAACAATGTAGTCTGTCCTGAAAACTTACTGTCTTAAGGGCTATGAAGAATTTATTCTTTATTCATCACAAAATTAAATCTTGTAATCGGTCTTCTCGACCACGAACAAAATTGATCTATTCACAAGTAAAATGTCGGTGTCTAATACACATTCAGTTTTGAGTAAAAATATGATGTAGCTGCCATGAAAGGTATGACTAAGACCAATAACGATCTGAATTTTAACTTACTGAACATGTGTCATAACCAGCTTCGAGCCCCTTTTCTTTAATCACTAGTGTTTTATATAACTAATTTGAAAAAAATGTTAAAACATCCCAATTTTTAGCATTTAGATTGCTATTAAAATAACGTTTTCCCTGTGTTTAGTTGAAATACACACAAATGAGTGAAACTCATACAATACAGACATTACTTAATCAAAAGAATATTCTTGGTTTTATATGTTAATACATCAAAATGAGTACAATTTGACCAAGGTCTCATCCAGCTGTAGGGTTGTAGTTTTCGACATTTAATTTCTGCAAAACACTGGAAAGCAGCGATTTGTCTCCAAAAAGCTTTAATGGTAACATTAGCAAAAATATAAATAAAAAATAAGGCCTTTTTGTGTTTAGTTTCTACATTTTCCCAAAGCTATTTGGGTCCACTTGACATTCACCTGAACTGTGGTGTTTTTGTTTGTGTGTTCAAAAAGAAGACTAGTAGCATATTTTATGTGAACAAAAACTATTTCCTGACCAACATGCTGGCATAGCAACTAGAGAATAACAATAGTTAAATGTATAAAAATATAATACTCAGTAGTGAATGCTCGGTACTGTATGCCTACCTGTTAGGTATTTTTGACTGTCGAGTTTAGCAGTGTTTGAAAAGACGGTTTATTTTGAGCCAACAATCGTCTGAAAGGCTAATGTTACAATGCTGGCCTGCTAACGTTTGTCATCAAATCCAGAAGACGTAGATTAGATATCCGAGTGTCTTGAAGAAAATAACGACTGCCGTTCTGGTCTTAAAAGATAAATTAGCAGCATTACTTGCGAAAAATAACTTTATCAAACGTGGTAATTCCCATTTTAACGTTATTACAAACTGCTAATCGCACGTCCCAGTCTTCTTTCGTCCGAAGAGTCCCGCTCGCTCAAACGTTGAACTCGTCTCGTTCAAACCTCACCAGCCAATCATGAAACTATGCTGTTGGAGGTGTTTGATTTGTTGACTGCCACATCTAAAATGGGCGACACTGTTCCTTGTAAACTCGTGAAGAGGACGGTGCGGGGAGCAAATACCGACAGGAGCGGGCACTTTTGCACTAACCATTCGGGGATTTAAGGCGGGGTTAAAATCCAAATCGGTTTCAAATACACCAATCGACGTCGAATATTATTAGTGCTCCGCCCACGATACGTCAGCTTATGCTGGAGAAGCGCATGCGTTTAAATCGTGACTGTGACATGAGGAACTTTGAAACATTTTTTTCTTTTTTTTCTCTTTTTTTATTTAGTAAATTTACAAACAAACATGGCACTTTGACAAAGTTAAGTCCAAAAGGAGCAGTTAACTTGCTATAACATTTGCAAATATCTATTAATAAGACAACAACAAGAGACAAAAGAACAAAGTACAGCAGAGCACAGCTTTCAATGAGGGATGAGCATTTATCATATAGAAATAGGAAATCACTTTGGAAGTTCAGCTAACATGTTATATAGATTTTCGCTATATTTGTTGAGGTGTTTCAGGGATTTTAAATATAATTGAAATTCTATTAAAAACATTGAAGACGGGATGATTGTAAAAGTTGTTGTTTATGGATAAAAAATTTGGCTAAACAGAGGATGATATCATAGCAGAGTTCTTTATCTTTATCATTGAATATAACTCCAAATATCATCATATCTTTAGTGATGTGAACTGGGAGGGGTATTTTAGTTTTGATCCACACCTCTAGCTTTTTCCAGAACAATTGTGTTTTCAGACATTCGTAAAATATATGATCTATAGTTTCTATGTGATTTTCGCAAAAAGAGCAGTTGTTGCTATCAATATTAAAATGAGCTCTCAATAATTCTTTTGAAGGATACATTGCATTCATTATTTTAAAGTGGGTTTCTTTAGCTTTCGGTGGTATAGGTAATTTTAGGTAGATAGTTCTTATTTTCTCAACAGACGTTTTATCAAATTTGTAAATTACGTTATTTTTGTTTGTTTTTCCAGGAAATAGAGAATCATTTAAGGCTGATCTTATTGTAAGATTGTTGCATTTTCTGTCAGTTAACAGAAGACCTTTAATAGATAAGATAGGAAGGGTTGGAATAGAACATTGATGTTTTAGAAATTCTCGGGCTTGGATGATAAATTGATTTGAAAGTGCATTATGTAACCTGTTAAAGTCAAGTTCAGAAGCTTTAAAATTGTATCTTCTGCAGACATTGTCATAATTCAAGAGCTGACCATCTACATCCATTAAGTGTACAATAGACCATATATTGTTATCTAACCAATCTTTATAGAATAGTGATTTGTTTTGGTGCAATATAAATTGATTGTTCCAAATGATTATAGAGTGTGGTGAGTAGTTATGTACATATGTCATTTTCCAATACAATAAAATTTGTTTGTGGAACTCTGAAAGTTTAATGGGGAGTTTGTTTATATTGTAGTCAGTTAGGAGAAGAATTTTTAAGCCACCAATTTTGTTAAAGATGTAATTGGGGATACTATGCCAAAAGGCGTGTGGGTGATTTAACCAAAATTTTAACCAATTAATCTTTAGGGTGCCATTAAGATATTCAAAGTTAATGACCTTTAAACCTCCATCTTTTATTTCTTTAGTCATATGGGCCTTTTTAAGGTAGTGTGGTTTGTTTCTCCAAATAAAGTTAAAGTTTGTTTGATTAATTTTTTTAATTAGGTAGTTTGGTAAGGCAAGGTTACAGGTTGGCTAAACTAATCTTGATAAACATTCCATTCTGGTGTGATAAATACAACCTAGAATTAGCCTAGTGAACTAGACCAAATTCTTGCTTTGCAAAGTTTGGATGCTGGATACAGGATGCTGGGTTTCTTCCACTTTCATAAACACCTCAAAAATGGCAACAAATGATCATTTCCCTTGCCAAAAATTGATTACAGTGTCCTGGTCACCTGTAATGGGTTAAATTGACCTAAATATCTTTAGCTGGAGCTGGTACCACCTGGCTGCTCCTGTTTTAATATCCCCAGATCGCGGGGCAGAGGTGGAGGGCTGGTTGTTGTTTTAAAATCTAGCTTTCCTTGTAAACAGCTTACAACCACCATGTCATCTTCTTCTTTTGAACTGTGCCTATTTGAACTGTGCATCTCCCCCTGCCTGCTCGTTGTGCTGATTTATCGCCCTCCAAAGACTGACTCTAACTTCCTTAATGATTTCTGTGATCTTGTGGCAGACTGCATCCTAAAATATGACTATGTCCTATTTTTTGGTGATTTTAACATATCTGCTGCCCTGACAATGTGCTTGCTAAAGGTTTTCTGAATTTGCTAGACTCATTCAATTTAACTCATGGTTATCGTCCCCAACTCTTGCCAGGGGTCACACCCTGGACTGGTTCTCTCTTTAGGTCTCCCTGTCATGAACCTTGTGACTTTGCCTCCTGTGTTCTCTGACCCCTCTCCAATACTCTGTGATGTTACGTTGCCATGTCCTGTCCCTGTGTGTGAAGCTCCAGCTACTAGGTTCATACCCCTGGATGCAGAAACTATTTCAAAGTTTGTGGACTGTATGTCTGTAAGTTAGAGACCTTTAACCCAGATCCGTCTAACATTGATCACTATTCACAACACTTTGATTTACTTTGTAATCAGGTCCTGGACGTGGTTGCCCCTCTCAAGCTTTGCAAGTCTAGGCCTAGGGAGCCTTGGCTCTCTGATGTCACACGGGCTTGTAGGCGGGCGTGTCGATCCTCTGAGAGAAAGTGGAAAAAGGATGGCCTACAGGTCTTGTGTGAGTTGTTCAGAGCATCTCTGGTTGCTTATCAGGATGCAGTGAGGGCTGCCATAACGGCCTATTTTGCAGACATCATTGAAACAAACTCCAAGAATCCCAGGATGCTCTACAAATCACTAAACTCTGTTCTGGTGTATCAAGAGCCTAGCTTCATGTCTCCTACAGCTGCTGGAAACTCTGAAGCTTTTCACAAATTCTTTGTTCATAAAGTATCAGGCATCAGAGCAGCTATTTCTGGCAACTCTGTTGACCCTGTTCCAGTTCCTCTATCACCACCCAACCTGAGCTCCCTCAATACTGTTTCATATTCTGAGCTGAGTAAGCTAGTTGCGAGGCAGAAGCCATCTGGCTCTCCACTTGACGTTCTGCCGCCTCGTCTCTGGAAGGCTGCCTTTCCGTGTCTTGGCCCATCACTTGGTCAGATTATCAATGGAAGCCTCAGCACAGGTGTTGTCCCAGCTGCTTTGAAAGCAGCAGTTATTCGGCCGACCCTGAAGAAACCTGGTGCTGATGTCTCTGTGATCGAAAATTACAGGCCTATCTCTACCCTGCCCTTTACATCTAAACTGCTTGAGAAAGTCGTTTATCAGCAGCTGGTCTCACATTTAGCTGACTCTGATCTGTTTGAGGTTTTCCAATCAGGGTTCAGGTCTGGCCATAGCACAGAGTCAGCTCTACTGAGGGTCCTAAATGATATCTATCTTTCACTAGATCAGGGTACATCTGTGGTGCTTCTGTTGTTAGACCTAACAGCAGCCTTCGACACAGTTGACCACGCGATTCTACTCGATCGCTTGGAACGATGGGTTGGGATCAAAGGGTCTGCTCTGGATTGGTTTAGATCGTATCTCCACAACAGGACATTCTGCGTTAAACTGGGTGATGTTTTTTCTTCTTGGGAGGGGCTCCGCTGGGGGTCCCGCATCCTTGGTCCTCTTTTGTTTGCCATTTATCTGCTTCCTCTGGGGTCAATCTTTCGTAAACATGGCCTATCATTCCATCTCTATGCTGACGATTGCCAGATTTACTCTCCATTGTGTCAGGAGAAAGGTCACTCTATCCAGTCCTTTGTGTCCTGTGTTAATGAGGTGAAGTCTTGGCTAATGGCCAACTATCTACATCTGAATGAGGGAAAGCCAGAGCTCATTGCTTTTTCACCCCTACAGCAGGAATGTGGATCGTCATGTTGATCTTGGCCCTGTTTCTCCCTACTCAAAACCAGTTGTCACCAGTTTGGGGGTGAAAATTGATGCTGGACTTAAATTTGATGCACTCTGTGATCCGGTCCAGTTTCTTTCACCTGAGACGCCTTGCTAAAATCAAGCATATGCTGTCGAGAGCCCACCTGGAGCGGGTACTGCATGCATTTGTAATTTCTAGGCTTGACTACTGCAACTCTCTCTATGCAGGGTTGTGTCAGTCATCACTGCGTCGCCTACAGGTGGTGCAGAACAGCGCAGCCAGGTTCCTGACTGGGACCAGGAAACCGGACCACATCAGTCTGGTTTTGGCCTCCCTGCACTGGCTTCCGGTTTGCTATCGTTCACACTTCAAACTCCTCGTCTTTGTTTTTGATTTCTTCCAGGGTGGTGCTCCCCCCTATCTGGCCACTCTCCTGAACAGACATTCCCCATCACGCGCTCTGCGCTCCTCTGACCAAGGCCTGCTCGCTGTCCCTCGTTCGAGGTGTCGTACTCGCGGGGACCAGGCTTTCTCTGTCCTAGCACTGTCACTCTGGAACCAGTCGCCACCCTCAGTTAGGCTGTCCCCATCTCTGCCAGTCTTCAAGAGTCGCCTAAAAACCCACCTCCTCCGCTTGGCGTTTCCTGAACGTGTTTGAATTTAGCCCTCTTTTATGTTGAATTTATTTCATGGTTTTCAATGGTTCACTCTATCCATTGTTTTACACATTTGTCCTGTACTAGAATGCTTCACCTTTTTTTGTAATTTGTAATCTGTATTTTGAATTGCTTTTATTTTCTGATTTATTCAATATATTTAACTTTCTGTACCATGTTCAGCGCCTTGGGCTACCTGGCAGGATTGCGGAAGGAGCTTTATAAATAAAGCATTGATTGATTGATTGATTGATTGATTGATTGATTGATTGATTGAGTGATTAAATATTACTTTATTTATTATGATGCTGGGTGTCTTCCACAATCATATTCGAATAAACATGAAAATATTCCGTCCAAATATCTGTTTCATGTTATAAATATAACAGCCAGAAGGACTTAGTTAAAATAGGAGAAACATTTAAAGAAACTATTTACAATTAACCACAGAAATAGGTACAAATATGTTTTTAGACTATACAAACCATATACAGTGTTTTTACAGACATGCATCACAGACATATTCCTCTTTCTTTCCTTTTGGTGGCTTACTCAAGCACTTTTGGTGGTACCATCTTGGGCACACATCACATCCAATCTGTTTGAGACAAGAGGACAAAAAAGTACATAATAAAATAAGTAAAAATAATTCAGTTAGAAAAATTCTTAAGATACTTTAAAACAATCACATTAGTTTATCTTAAACTCAATTAGGTGCTATGTTAATACTGTGTATTGTAATATTCTTAAAAGTCTATTTATGACTAAAAACATGGATAAGTTACCCAGTGAGTGTCGCCGTATGTCATGCCACAAAGATGACACACTCCTGTCAAGTCATCTATGTATGTACATGAAAAATAAGAGGAAAACTATAATTTAATAGTCTTGTGTATTTAATATTTTTTAACTAAAAAATATATGCAGTTTCAGGACTATAAATTTAAGGAGTTTTACATGTGCATGATATTTCACCAAGATACCTGTGTTTTCCAAGAGACAGACAGCAATCTGCTCTCTAATAGCTGATAGTCTGATTGTTTTTGGTGAGTTGTCAAATGCCACAGGAGAGCCACTGAGAATGCACTCTGCAAACTGGTAAAGCAAAAGTGTAATAATGAATTTCATATGTAAATAAGAACTGGATTACATGTACATTCAATTAAAGTTTTGCTTTTTACAGGTATTCATTAGTTTAACTTGTATGACATACAATATTGAATTGACACTTTCAGTACCAAAATTTTTTCATGTTACACTCATTCAATGTGTGATCTACAGCTTATTTTTTTAAAGGTTAAAAATTAAAAGAACTTTTTTAATCGTCTTTTTTTTTGTTGCCATTTTTGAGGTGTTTATGAATGTGGAAGAGACTCAGCATCCTGTGATGAGACTATGACATCAAGAGATAATAAATAAAGTAATATTTAGGTAAATTTAACCCTTTACAGGTGGCCAGGACACTGTAATAAATTTTTGGCAAGGGAAATGATCATTTTTTGCCATTTTTGGGGTGTTTGTGAATATACAGTAGACAGTATGAGTACAATAACATCAACAGATAATACATAAAACCCTTATTTGGTCAATTTTAGCCTCCATGAAAATCTGAGCAATTCAATCACTTTTTGGCAAGTAAAATGCCATTTTTGTTGTGTACAATTAAATCATCAATAAAGAATTTAAAGATATTTTGAGGCGTTTCTTATAGGTAAACAGGAGGGTATAGTCACTATTTGGCAAGTGACAATCTTAATTTTATGTGCTGAAGTGCTTTTATCTTGTTACTTTTGAATAGAGCAAAGTAATGTATAGATAGTAACCTACACAGTTTCATTGTAAAGCCAAAGCTTGATCAGTTTAAATACTATTTTTCAAGTAAAAATGTGCCCCAAACTAGTTAACTGTGGCTCCATGTCAAGTGGACTAAAGAAAGGAAGGGGAAAAAATCAAATCGCTGGAGAATTGTGTATTTCCATTTATACAACGTTTGACTTTACATTCAATACAGGGCGCCATTTTTCACTATTTATTTTTTAGTATCAAGGCTGTAACATAAAGAAAGCCAGTTCTTACCACAAACCATCTTTCAATCGCAAATATTGCAAAAAGGATTAACATATGCTCATTGTGAACGTTTAAGACAAATAGCAACACTTAAAACAACTTCCGAACTGGAAAAAACTAATATCTGTGATAAACATCTGTTTAAGTACCGGACGAGGTTATATCTGCTTTCTCAATGTCCGTATTGCTAGATATGCCGAGTTTTAAGGCAAAATCCCGGGGAATTTTGTCTAGAAATGCAATTACCCTAACCGTGCTCCATCCCGCGGTGGCTAATCATTTTTTGGCAGCGAGTCGATTTATGGCACAACAAGGTCTGTGCCAAAAGTTAAACACTTTGTTGAGAACGTTATTCCTTTATACAGTCATTCTGACTTTAAAAGCCACTTCAGACTTTCCAGAGGACAAGTGGGGGTAGGCTTTTGTGATGGTTACCACTACTCATATTTGCTCAGACATCATGTTCACTTTCTGACTTTTCCATTTAGGATCAATGATGGCACTGGGACCATTCCACATGAACAGACAGCACACCAAATTACCCCTGTCCAAAAGTGTTCTTGCCTGTCTGTGGACGCTGGCAAATCAGGAGTCATACAGGGGAGTGGCGGACCGTTTTAACATAACTAAATCTACAGTTTTTGCACATCTCCATCACTTCTGCTCCCTGGTCATCACACATTTGTCACATTACATTTCTTGGCGTACTGATGAACAGCTTCACACCTCACAGCTCGGATTTCAGAGGGCAGGTTTTCCAAATACAGTCTGTGCCGTTGATGGATGTCACATTCCCATTGTCAGACCAAATTGCAATGATCCCACAGCATACTATAACAGAAAACAGTTCTATTCCATAATCCTTACTGGGTTTGCAAACAGTAATCGCCGCTTCTGTCATGTCAGTGTGGGCCACCCTGGCAGCTGGCATGATGCAAGAGCCTTTCGCCACACAACTGTTGCTCACCTACTTGAAGACCTCCTGGCACTGGTCCCAAATGGCATGCACATCATTGGAGATTCAGCTTACCCCCTATTGCCACGGCTGATGAAGCCTTACAGGGATAATGGGCACCTCACAGCCCAGCCAAAGGCACTTTAATAGAAAACTGAATGTGGCGCGTGTTGTCATTGAACATGCATTTGGCATGCTGAAAGCAAAGTTTGGGAGGCTAAAATGTCTTCACATGAAAGGCATAGGACATACTAGTGCAACTGTGACAGCATGCTGCCTTCTGTACAACATTTGTTTGGATCCTAGTGACCATGTGGAGGAGGAGCTAGAGCAGGACGAGAATGACCCACATCCACAACCCAACAATGAATATGCTTCAAAATACAGACAGGATTTGTTCCCAGATTTAAGCTAGCCCACCCTTACCCCAGCACCTTATTCAATGTTTGGTTTTATTCTTCATTCCCACACATTTATGTGAGCTAGTGTGCTGTATGCCACAGGGTGATTTGATGCACTTTAAGTGAAATCAGTCTGCTCTCCAACTCTGTACATTAAGTTTTAAACAAAGTACATCTCTATCATCAAGACTCCTGATGTGCCTCCCAGTGGCAGCTCATGGAAACTGGGTGATATGAACCCAGGGGAAACCATCAGGGGATCTCGGAGCATCAGTGGTCTCCAGAGGCAAAGTGACATTACCGTTTGTAATTTGACATGCCGACCACTGCTTTTATGTTAAATCCTTTAAAGATAAGAAACACAAAAATACCTTTAATGCTCAGATATACATTTTTATTCTGAGTGTCCTTCTAGCAAACTGATAAGTTTTTCTTGCTGCTTTCCAAGTTCTTTTAACTGATTCAGGATTTGACCCATGCATGTAATTACTTGTTTCTCAAACCCACTTTTCTTTTTTCTTTCAGCCGTCTCCAGTTGGCCAATCCTGGCCTTGTAAGTGACTCCAAGGCAGTGGTCCTGCACTCAGCATGGGCCTCATAGGACTGAAAAAACGCTGGGAGATGAGCAGTCTTGCTTCTCTTAGAGCCAGAAGCTTGTCTGTCCTGTATGGCCGATGAGGGACCAGGTTGCTCTTCGGTTTCAGCAGGTGATGACTGAGCTGCTGAAGGATGGGCTTCTTTAGGAAAGAGGGGAGTTGAACCAGTTGTGCCAGGTGGTGCACTTCCCACTGCTGTGTGACCAAAAAGTTCATCCATTTGCTGACAGAAGAGGGATAAACAATTTTCATTAGTTATTGTAGAACTTTACTGAACACTTTTAATTACAAATAATCCTTTTTGTCCAAAGAACTGGTCCAAGCACTTACTGTGTAATAGTCCCAGGTAATTTTTTCCTCTCCTGTCAGTCTACTTCTGTCTTTGGCTCGTTTGTATGTGGTTACCATGTTTTCCAGCTTTTTTCTCATTTTCTCTTTAGTGAAGTTGTATTCTCATCTAGAGAATTCCTGTTCCAGTTTTTTATGGAATAAAGGTTTGTTACGGTGATAGAGATGCTGATGTTCTCTTGTTAGCTCTAGAAGCAGCAGTGTAGTACTGTGAGTGAATTCTGTTCAAACAAAGAACTGTTATAGGACAGAATCTTCAAAATATGGTAATGGTAAATGGCCTGTATTTGATATAGCGCCTTCTAGAGTTCTTGAAACCCCCCAAGGTGCTTTACAACACAATCAGTCATTCACCCATTCACACACACATTCACACACTGGTGGGGATGAGCTACAATGTAGCCACAGCTGCCCTGGGGCACACTGACAGAGGCGAGGCTGCCAAGCACTGGCGCCACCAGTCCCTCCGACCACCACCAGCAGGCAACGTGGGTTAAGTGTCTTGCCCAAGGACACAACGACAGCGACAGACTGAGCGGGGCTCGAACCTGCAACCTTCCGATTATGGGGCGAGCACTTAACTCCTGTGCCACCGTCGCCCCAAAATATAAAGTATTAGTATCCAAAATACCACTGTACCCGTCGGTGGTCCATGGCATTCTGGCTCATTGGATGGACATGAAGATTGCAGTCCCTTTGGAGATGTTTTAACAGAAGTAATGCACTGGGTGAGTGGGACAACCGACTCACTCTGACCTGGGACTTTGGAAAGTTGAACCTGGGTACCTTGATTAGGGTGCTGATTGAATGTTTGGACTGATTGAACAGATGTGCTCATGGTTGAAGGTTTAGTTCCTGCTACGGGACTAGGGATGATGGACACTGGCATCTTGGTCATGGATGTAATTTTCACTTTAGAAGTGGGGGGGGACACGGGGGGGGGGGGGGGTGTTATCTTTACAGTATGCTCTAATGGGAAACAGGCTTCAAAACAAACGGTTGTTTTCCGCTTGGTCCTAGAGCTCAACCAGCGTCAATTTAACATAGCGTAATGTTGTTTTTGGATGGTAAAAAGTGCAGGGGTCAAAACTTGACTTTGGAAAAAAAGGGGGGGGGGGACATGCCCCCCCCCCCCAATTACGTCCATGATCTTGGTAACAGGGGTGGGACACTGGTCTCTCAAAAGTTGACCAATGGACAAAGGCGGGTTAATTTGTGGATTTCCTGCCGATGCTACTAAAGGTTACAATTGAAAACATTTAATAAACACACACACAGACTATGTGGAATACTAAGGGAAGTTTACCTTGATTCTGGTTTGCAGCTCTTACTTGCTCCATTATGTATGTTGCATAGTTGTTATCTGAAAAATACAACCCAACATTTCACTCTTTTGATAAAGGTTATAATTAAAGATTAATCAGGTGACTGAGCCATCATTGCACATCATTAACTTTGTTTCTTCCTAGTTGTGATTTGTCCTCCTTCTGCATGCATCATCAACCTTGGAGACTGGAGTTAATAATGTTAGAAATAAATTGTATAGAATCTGTAACTTACCATTTTTCATCATTTCAGCGGTTTGTCTGCTCACAACCCGTTTAAGGGTGCCCTTGCTGTCTGTCAAACACACAGCAACTTGATCCATTTTTCTGAGAACAATCCCTATTTTCAGGAGCCTTAAATAGCAAATTAGTTGAGTAGCTAAGTGGATTCACACTGTTACTTCCAATCACCAACACATTGTACCCAAATAATATTTATTGCAGGTGTGTCTGTGACTTTACTGATGGTGGAACTTATCATGACATTTGTTTCTTCATTAAAGCTTATGGTGACATAACCATTAACTGTGGCTGTGTCTCCATTCAACATTGAGAACTCAACAAACTGAGAAAGCTCTCTGGAATGAGAGGGTGAAATTTTGTTAAAGAAATAACACAGTCCAGTTGCTGTTTGACAACTTTTTTTAAATAACTATGACCTGGATGACTGAGAACCTCCACAGATATCAATAAACTCAGCAACTGTTCGAGTGTGACTCATATTGCTGTTCATGTTCTATTTCCAGGAACATTAATATATGTTTATTACAAAGAAAACATGAGTGAGCATGTTGTGTGTGTGATGTGCTGCTAAACAAATGAATCACAAATATAATAAACAGTGACATTTTGCTTCATAGATAGCTGATGAACAGTATGCATAGTATAAAATGGTGCATTTGGCTGATATAAATTATGCTATTTTTTTCTTCTGAGGTGTTTAAAAATGTAAGGATAAGTCTGAATCAATTCAATAAGATTTCTGCTATGATTTACACATTTTATTGTAAAGAACAAGTAAAATTCTGGTGCCTGTTAGCAGCTGAAACACATCCTCACATGCTTGTGGATATAATATAATGCATATAGAGACATGACTGTAATAATAAGTAAAGGTTATCAGCTGTAGGTTTAGCGTGCTTATAGGAAACGTGCCAAGAGAACACAAAACACATTTCTCTTTATGGCCTATATTGATGTCATCATCAAACCCTGATTTATAGCTACAACTAACATTTTTATTTGTTATTATACCAAAATTATTTTAAGATTAATCAGTATTGAGGTGTTTATAAACAGTGACACACACACAAAAAGACTTTACCATAAAATTAAGTGAAAATGTTTATTATTAGTGTTGGAGACTAGTAGGACTGATCCTTGTAATGATTTAAATTACATGTTACTTAATAAGCCATAAGACCTAGGATTCCATAGGAAATATGAAATCAACCTCATGGATCTGTTGGGTTATTTTAACCAGAAGATTGGAACTTTTTATTGCAGAGATTAGATAACAGCTTTGTATTCACTCAGAGACAACAGAAGAGAGAGTCAAGTTTAAAGATTTATTACTAAACAAATTAAACTACTCACTTTAACACTAAATGTATGGTGTAACTAAGGTGGATGAGACGGAGAATGGTGTGATGTGGAACGTTGCTCAGAACCAGCAAATCCGAAGAAGCAATTAGTTCTGATGGGAAATGAAGGCGATGTCTTCGCTCTAAGCTTTGGTTGGGAGATTCATAAACACGTTCAACGCCATTTCGTCGGCCTACATACCCTTGTGGAAGTCCCTGTTAGATCAGGAATGTTGGGGTCCAGCTGGACCCTCTCTGGAACCGAAGCCGGTAGGAAAAGCAGCGGTTGCCGACCAGGAATTGTTGCAGCAGTTGGAACAGCAACAGATTTTATCCAGCTTGTCGTTGGTTCTTTTGGCTGAAGAGGAAAGTTACGGATTGGCCACCCCGACACTTCTCTAGAACGCTTTGAACTGGCGTTAGAGATGACGTGGGCATAGTTTTATACTTCGGATGTTTTGGTTTATGGTCGAATGAAAAGATGACAGATTTACCAATCACCACCAAAACCCCGCTTCCGTCAGATCTGGCAGATTCTGATTGGATCAGTAAAAGCAATGTGTCATGTCTTAATGCTACATGAGATCAGTTCTAGTGGAAACATCATATTACTTATTATATTCTATAGGATTATAATAAAGTAATTAATATTTTGATTTCACAGATTGGTCGCATCTTACTTATTGACTAACACTTTGTTTGATTAGCTTTGGTAAAACAGAGCTCTTTGATTTATTAAAAGGAGAGTCCCTTTCTTCACTCTTCTCTTGAGCTGGAAAGAAAGCAGTTTATAGCAAATGCATGAGACCTTGAGGCCATATCTCATGCAGACTAGTCGTGTCAGAGGAGAGGGGGAAAATGACGTTTGGTGGAAACAGTCATTTCATTCCGTTACATCCTGCTTCTGTATCAGAGAGGCCAGCAGAAAGATGAAGAATCTATTTTACTAACACATCCAGGCTCTCGAGGAAAAGTCACCGGCTGACCTGAAACGGCAGGTGTGAAGCACATTAAGGTCTAGCTACGTTCACGGTGAAACAGTCATTTTAAAAACAAGTTGTGCTATATTTTTTAGCTTCGTTACAGCAGTCATATGCTTTGTTTCTGCAATACTGAGTTGATATTTAGTCATTTATGTGTGTTTTCTGTACAGTTTGATATCATAAACCCTCTTAAATTGCATCTGTTTGCTGTTTCATGATCAGTTTGTCAGAAGCTTGTTAAATAAATAAAAATAGTTATTAGACTACGATTTAGTGTCACTTCTCCCATGTTACCTGGCATGAGAGGGATTTTAACTCCTGATGACTTCAGAACAACTTGGAGTTGGTGGGGTTTTGTGTTTGCAGCCTTCTCCCTGAGGATGATACAAACTTCATCTCTCCTGAGCAGCCAGTCCATCTGACTGCCCAGGTAATTAACACCACGGACACAAAGTTCACAGATGTCATCAGGAAGCAGTGGGGAAAAGGCCAAGCATTCCTTCTGAACTCTGGGGAGGGATAAAAGCCGTTTATACCTTAAATGATCACATGAAACATGAAGAATAGTTGCTACCTGAAACCCGTGTAGCCAAACAGCACAGCTTGCAGAAATCCTCCCATGCCTGTGAGAAAGTTCACTGCTCCAGAACCATCTGATGATTCACTCCATACCTGTGTGCAGAGGGAACGTCACATTCCCTGGATAAATGCTGGCATTAAGAACGTGTGTGGTACTGATACCTGAAATGGTCCCTGGATGTTCTTGAAGCACTTTTCCAGTAAACGTTGAGCTTTCTCCGCCTCTCCAAGCTCCAGCCAGCCTATTGCAAACATGCCCTAAAGGAAAGAGATTAAAAAAAAAAAAAAGCTAGACTATCTGCAGGTTTTTTAAGTTTACGATTATAATTCAATGACAGTATAAATTATAAATAAATATCAATGATCTACCACTTGTTTAAATATGGTACAAAGTTTAGAAATTATTTGACTCTTTTTAGAAAGATAAGTATGAGACAAGGTGTAAAAAAATAAGACCAATAACCTCTTAAAATTATAATAAAAAAGGATAATGCTAAAATGATCTGGTGGAAACTGATTAGATGATTATTATCAGTGGAAAATGTTTAAAAATGGACCAAAAGTGTGAAGGAATTGGAGGCTACATTGAGTCTCATGCCTTCTTTCTTGTTTATCCAATGAAAAACACATTGTGAAGAATTTCAACACTTATTTTGCTTACCCACGTCATAGCTGGACCTTTTGGGTCCGTTACTGGCTCATACGCTTCAAGATCATTCCTCCTAACCTTCAGAGACATCGGCATGCCCAGAGGGTAACCCAGCATCACCGTGTCCGCCTGTTTCACCGGTTGGCCTGTTTTACAGTTAAAAAGGCAAAAAAAACCCTCTTGATTTCATCTAAAAACCTAATCTCATGTTTGTTGTGAGGCACCAATTTTAACCTTGCTTGTAGCCGTCAAACTCAGGGTGGTATTGGGCCTCCGGGTCAAAGGGTATTTCAATGTGTTCGGCCACTTCCTGCCATTCTTTTGGTGCAGGATGCTGCAGGAGATCAGCCAACTCCACGGCAAACTGCAGACTAACAAAAGACAAAATGTTT